TTAATTTCGATATTATTAAATATAATTAATTTTATTATTAAATAAAATAAATATAAAAAATAATAATTAATAAATATATAAAATTAAGTATAAAAATTATATATAATGCGTAATAAAATATAATTAATTTATTTCCGGCGTTTTAATTTATTTCGTTTTATTTAAACTTAATATTTACGCATTTATTTAATTTAATACATTTAAAATATAATAAATTATTAAATTTAATACATTTATTATTATATAATATAATATTAAAATTTAATACATTAATTTTATATATACGAAAATTACGTATATAACCGTTTTTATTTAATTTACGTTAATTATAATCCTCGAAATATTATTTAATTAATTATAATATATCGTTTTACGTTTTTTAATTAATTATTATTTTAACGTTTTTTTAAAATTAATTAAAGTTTTATTATATTAAAAAACGCTTTTTTAATAAAATTAAAAAATTTAATAATTTAATAATTTTTATTATTTCGATATACGTGGTTATTATAAAGAATAATACGGTTTTAATAAAAAATAATACGGTAAAAATTAATTAAATTAATTTTAAGTTAATAATTTATAAAAGAAAAAAATTATTTAATTAATTATATATAATCGTAGTTAATTTAACGACATTTTAAAAAAAAACGAAAATATAAGTTTAAGTTTAAACGATAAAAACGACATTAAAATTTTACGAAAAACTTTACGGAAAATTTCGTAAATAAATATTTATATTAAATTAATTTATTATAATAAATATTTTTATTATTAATTTTTTAAACGAATTTACCGTTACGTTAATTAAATATTTATATCGTTATTTATTATTTTATATTTATAAAAAAATATATTTTAATAATAAATTATAATACGTTAATTAACGAAAATTTATATCGATATATATTTATTCGTTTAATATTTATTTAAATAATATTAAAATTAAATAAATAAATAATTATTTAATAAATATATTAATATAAAATAAATATTTTAAACGTAAAATTTTAAAAATAAATTTTTATAACGTTAAATATATTTTTTTAAAAAAATATAATATTTAATTTATAATTTATTTTATTATTCGAAATGTTTTTTTTTATAATAATTCGAAATTTATAAAAAATTTATAAAAATTATATAAACTTTATTTTAATTTATTTAAAAAAATATTTTCACGATTTAATTAAAATAATTTAATAAATATAAAAGTGGAATTAATTAATTTAAAATTAAAAATTAATATATTTATTAACGAAACGTAAATTAATACGTTTATTATTAATCGTATTTTTAATAAAAAAATATAACGGTAAAAACATTTAATTTATTTAAAAAATAAAAAATCTTTTTTAATTATATAAAATTTTTCGATTAATTTTATTATTAATTTATAATATGTATACTTATAAAATTACGGGTTTTCGAATTATTATTTTATAACTTAAAAATATAAAAAAATATTTTAATAATTTCGTAAATTTACGTTTAAAAATTCGTATATATTTAAATGTTTATAATTTAATATTAATTTAAAATAATATTAATTTTAAAATTAAACGTATTAAACATTAAAAAAATTAATACTCGGTTCGTTTTTAATTAAAATAATTATATTTAACGTTACGACGATAAATTTACGCGTATCGATTATATTTTTATATTTAACGTATATAAAAAATAATATATATTTATTATTATTATTTTTTTACGACGAATTAATTTATAAAATTATTAAATAATATTAAAAATTTTAAAAAAGTTTAATAAAAAATTAAATATTATTAAAATTATAATTATTACGTTATTAAAGTTATATATAATTATTATAAAACACGTTAAAACCGTATTAATAAATTAAATAATAAAATAATTATAAATATTAAACGAAATAAATAAATTTTTAAATAAACGTTTTATTATTTATGATATTTATTAAATACTTAAATAAATACTTATTTATTTACCGGTTTAAAATTATATATTTCGAATATTTTTTATATTTAAATATTTAAACATTTATTTATTTATTTAAAATGTAAATACTTTTTAAACTTTATAATAAATAAATAATATTTAATATTAAATATTATTTAATGTTATTTATTTATTTATTTAAAGTATTTTTATTAATATAATTTATATTTAAATAAATATTTAATATCGTTATTAAAAAAATTAAGTTATTAATTTAAATAAATATTTAAAAATACGGTTTTATTTATTATATTTAATATATTATAATATTAATTTATTATAATTTATATTTTTTAAAGTTTTTTTTAAATTTTAAAAGTTATTAAATTTATATATAATATTTTCAATGTTTAAATAATAAATATAATTAACGTATTATTATAATTTAAAATTTAAGTTTAATTTAAAATTAAAATAAATTATAATTTAATATTATAATATCGTAAAATATATAATTTTAATTAATAATTTATAAAATTTAATTAAAATTTTAATTTTAAATATTTTATAACGGTTTATATATAAATATTAAAAACATGTTAAAACGAATTTTAAATTTAAAAAAATTAAATATTTAAAATACGTATTTATTTAAGTAAATATTTATTTACGGTATTTATCGATTAATTTTAACGTTTTTTAAAACGTTATTAATATTTTTAAAACTTTTTTTAATAAATATTTATTTAAATATTTATTTAAATATTTATTTAAATATTTATTTAAATAAAAAATAAATATTTATTATAAAAATATTTTTAATTTAATGTTAATAAATATTTAAATTAAAATAATTTTAAAGTTTTTAATTAAATAATAAAATTAAAATCGATTTTAAATTTAATAAAATAAATTTACTTAAATACTTATTTATTTAAATATTTAAAAATAATTTTATTTTTTAAAAAATAATTTATTTATAAAAAAATAATTTTATTTCTTAAAAAATATTTTAATCGCGAAAAAATAATTTTATTTTTTAAAAAATATTTAATAAAATTTATAAAAAAATAATTCTATTTTTTCGAAAATAATTTATTTATATAAAAATAATTTTATTTTTTTAAGAATATTTTATTTACTAAAAAATAATTTTATTTTTAATAAATATTTAATTTATTTAAAAATAATTTTATTTTTTAAAAAATGATTTTATTTATTTAAAAATAATTTTATTTATTTAAAAATAATTTTATTTTACATTTATTTTATAATATAAAAATTACTTTTATAAAATAAAAAATAATTTTATATTATTAATAATAATTTTATAATATAAAAAATAATTATATATATAAAATTAATAAAAATTAAAAAAAATTATTTTAATTTAAAAAATAATTTTAAACTTTATAAAAACATTACACGTATAAAATTAATAAAAATTAAAAAAAATCATTTTAAATTAAAAAATAATTTTAAATATTATAAAATAATTACATATATAAAATCGATAAAAATTAAAAAAAATTATTTTAAATTAAAAAATAATTTTAAATTTTATAAAAACATTATATATATAAAATCGATAAAAATTAAAAAAAATTATTTTAAATTAAAAAATAATTCTAAATTTTATAAAAACATTATATATATAAAATTAATAAAAATTAAAAAAAATTATTTTAAGTTAAAAAATAATTTATAAAAATGTAACGATTCTTAAATTAAAAATGGTTTTTTTTAATTTTTATCGATTTTATACATGTAATGCTTTTACGGGGTTTAAAATCATTCTTGCAATACGGGGGTTCCCGTTATGGTATTTTTTAAAAGTGAGGAAAAGCAGGAAAAACTATCCGAAATATGACCAGCTGACGAATAGATTATCGATTACGATGTGAATCATTTTCTTCAATGTTCAGTGCCCTGTATGCCCTGTATGCATTATCAATATGCAAGGGGAAACCCGTGAAGGAGGGGTGGTCCAAATTTGGTGTGGGAGGTCTGAGGCCTCGTGCTGTTTCTATTGCGACTCGATGAGACGAATATAGGAAATACAGAGGGAGAGCCTTGCGATATAAAAGCCTATCATCATAAATGAAAATATTATGCCGTGCGAAAGGATCTGCGGTAGTCCGTTAATATTGGGAAACCTAGTGATACACTCGAGATCTTGTTTCGAATCCTTCTCTGCAGCTGCCCGACGGTGATAGAACTGTACACTCTGTAGGATGACCGGTGTTTAAGCCTAGCGGAAAGCCATGTTCACACAATGGTTCCTGCGCTTTTCAGCTTCTACATAAAAAGATCGATCAATGGATGGTTTCACCGCATGGGCGTTTATGAGGCGCAACGCCTATCTAGCATCCTTGATCGGTCAGTCGTCATGGTCGCGTATTGATAGACCAAAGCGAACCCGAAGGCTCGAGAAAGCGCCCTTAGGAATGAGGGCGCAAAGGGCGGTTGCAGAGTCGAACTCGGAGTAGTCTCGTCTTCAATGTCTACACCTAGGTACCTAGGCAGGCAGATAAGAGAAGATAGTAACCCTACACCAGCACGAAAGAGGATCTCTGAATGAGACTATCTTGTGAAACTATCCCCAACGTAGACGAAGGGCAGTGGACCTTGACGGGCAAGACGGGTAGATCAGGTTTAGTGGTTCTCTAACTGCCTTGCAAAAGTGGCCTCGTGGCACACCATCTTCGCAAAGAGTTAAAGAGAACTAAAGAGTGCAGAGAGATAAAAATTACTCAGATGGTAGAGTGATGGTGTAAGGGTTGTGTCAAAGTCTAAAAAGGTGCAAGTGGAAGTATTCTTTCCCCCCTGGTTCGTCTAGCTACTCCCTTGTAAATTGTAACTCCCTTGTAATTCTTCACTATGAGCAGAATGTACAATACGTACCCAGATACTATGGAGACATATCGAGGTAATGGCGGTCGGTGCTGCGATCCACTATTGGTTCCTACACCTCTAGACCGAAAACGGTACAAAGTACCCATCATGTGGCCCGTTCGTGCAACCCTGTTAGGCAAGACAGGTAGACCATTTTTGGTGGGCTTCCTTGGGGGACTTGGGGGATTTGCTCTTTCCTGCTGGTCTTATTAGGCGCATTATTCCAGCCATTCCGTCTCAAAGCTCTCACCCTCCCACTTACACCTTACACACTTACACACATTTTCTTCCATAGCAACCGTTGATCGCCAACAACATCCGTCGCGTTACAATACCAAGTCGCCTGATACTATACTGATATCATAAATATTCTACTGTACACCTAAGAGTATTCAAAGCCACTCAAATTAAACTGCGCAACTACTTTCGCCTCCAGTTCCTTCTCAGTTGTCGCGCGCGCATCGCATTGATTCTATTACTGCGGTCGCAATCGCAACTCCACGACATTTCGCCTTAGATTATTTTACAGCGCGCGATCGCACGACACATACAAACACAAATTTCCGAAGGAATATTTTGGATAACCCGTCAAGATGTTAATGCCTTCGGCACTTTCGTGCGACTCGTCGCACCCGCCTGTCACCAGGCTACAATCTGCTCTTTTCGCGTCGCCTCCCGCCAGCCCCCCAACAAGCTCGCACAGCAGCACGCTCGGGAACATTTTCAGCTCATGCAGAGCGCTCCAGTCAATGCTTACAGTGCCCCCGACAACACCGTCAAACGAACACGTCGACACGCATCGAGATCCACTACCTACACCGCCAATGGCCCACACTGCCCTTCCACCACTAAAACTGCGTCTTCGATCGCGCAAAGCGGACACAAACGGGGAGGCCATTCCGCGCAAGAAGGTCGTGAAGCGATCTGCGGCTCCTCCTCGGGGCATTAACAAACGAAGTCGCGCCATTGAAGACGATATGGGTCGCGACGATGATATTGACAGCGATCTTGAGATCGGCAGCCCGCATAACAAAAGCCAGAATCAGCAAACTGAGGAACTATCAACTTTTCGACCCGCCACGCCAAAGCGCGCTCGCATCGCGCCGGAAGTGATCCCGCTCGGCCTAGACCGAAATGACTTTCACACCTTACATACCACCAATGGGGGAAGGGAGACTGCAGTGGAAGGCACGGAAGTGGAGGTAGAGACTGACGGCGAACGGTGGAGCAAAGAAGACGACCGGATATTGGTCGAGCTCGTGTTGGAGAAACTCAAACTTTCTAAGACAGACTGGCAAGACTGCGCGCGGAGTCTCGGCAAAGACAGAAGTAGTATAGGGCGACGGTGGAGGAGCCTGATGATAAATGGGGATGTCGGCCTCAAGTCGACGAGAAGTCGACGAAGCAAGATACACAGCACCTGGAGGTGAAGTCCGCGTGCTCTAGTCATTCATTCACACACATATTTCTTTTCTATCTATTTTTAAGGATCTCGTTGTCGAGTTCTAGTTGTACTTTGAACAGCATTAGTTATGGGGGAATAGGAAGGGTTAGGCGCACGAGAGGACGGATCTATTGGATGTGATATCCCATATCGCGCACAATGCGCTTGATACATAGTTAGGGCGGTGGTAATGTTTACCAGCATTTGAATATCTACAACAGTTGAAACTACGATCTTTTTTTGGTGTTTTGTGTTCTGTGGTCTGTATTCGCTATCTAAGACCACTATCGATCAGTACGACGTCTTCGATACGAGGGGGCGATCACGTCGCTCGTGGGCAGGCGACTGACGCCCATTGCGCGGTACGCGGTAGGTCCAAATGTCTAAACAGTTGTGCTCTTCGATCTACGAGGTGAACCACTTAGACCCGCCCTGCGAGCCCCAAAGAAATCCTAGGGATGGCTGAACTACAGCCTCTTTTTACGTGCCTACCCCTAGCCAGTCTGTTCTCATAGGTTCTTAAATAGCCAAACGGGTGCTCCCCAATGTCAATAGAGCTCATCGCTTATGATCTCCAGGATTATCTTTCGGGGTCTTTTTTTCTCGCTTCGATGATGGACCTCACTGGCTAGCGCTGGCCTACCTAACTATCATAGTTCCCATAGGCTCGCCAGGTTTTTGGCGGCTGAGGTTACGTTTACTTCTAGCTGGCTTCTGTGGGAAAAGAGACCATCGTTACGAAGAGGCTGGATGTAAGGGATATTCCATTGTGAGGTATGGTTCCACTTCCGGCCATCCCTTTGGGAGTCTGGGGTTCCCGTCCTCCCCCACCTTCTTCACTGTAAATTCCAAGGGCTGGCTGGTGCTAGATCATGTCTTTAGCTATGAGGGGCCTGCATATATGACTTGCATCAAGGATTATCCAGCCTCTTCGTCTCGGCTTCCCTTCCCTTACTTTAGTTCCAGGAGGTCGGTTTACTTAACTCGGATATTTTGATAGGGGAATAAATGATGCGATATATTAAAATAATTCTTCATGAACTCTTCTTCAACCAAGTTTCTCGCCAAGCTTATTAAAGTAACAGTTAATAATCTTCAGAGAAATCGTTTAGTTGGGAAAGAAAAGTCTGATCGCACTGTGAAGAATGAATTGTTAAACTGAGCAACACTGTATACTTTGGTACACACTAATGACATGTCCGATTATGTTATTGCGGCAAGCTGCCGATTGGCTCTATCCCATTCACGGATAGAGCCACTCAGATCGGTTGCAAGCACAGCTACCTAGTAGGTACCGATACTATGCTAGTAAGAAACCTTGAAGTGGGGGCGATACAGGATACCTACAGCTTGCTTTCCTACAGGCTGTCATCCACTTTTGTGTTCAATCTTTAACGTTCCCATCTATCTCATTCTCATCAATTTCTTGACCTCTATACGTACATACTACAAGTACCTACCTACTCAGATTCAATTCAAAAGCTCCAAAAAGCTCTAATATTCGAGCTGGTTTCTCACTCACATCTAGATCTACCATAAGAGTAATTTGCATGGCAATGATGATATCGAGATTAATTCCCCGCCTTGTCGAGGCAAGAGTGAAACCGTACAACTCCTCAGCCGTACATACGTGATGGTCATCTCCAACCGGTGCAACGGAAAGATGCATATCGCCAACAATGCATTGGATAGGCAACCATGGCCAATGGCCTTGAATCGTCTTAGGTGGCTTATCTTGCATCTTGCTGCCTAAGGAAGTCAAGTACATGATACTTTATGCGTCGTAGAGACCCCTCATACGAGATACTCTTCAATTCACATTCTCGAACTGCGCCATCTCAACATAAACGCAATGTATCGCGGAAGAGCTCCAGGATATTCTCGAGGTCGCGGCAGAGGACGCGGTCATGCTTTCAGGTCAAATAATTGGCGAGATCCAAGTGTACCCGAGAAAAAGGAAGATGTAGTAAATTATCCCCTCGGTCGCCTCGTGATGACGATGACTTTGGGCAACATCTCAGGTTATGGTATTCACAAGAACGATGCAAAAATTACTGATTGCAAATATGTTGCATCTTACTCTTTAGTCGACTCTAGTTCTCCCAGAATCATTCTTCCAGGTTAGTTGTCACAAACGGTCATAATTTCAATACTAAATCTTGCGATCAGGGCAACCGGCATTTTGGGAGCCACCATCGCTGCCCTCTCAACTTCCAAGGGACTCTGATAAGTACTTTCGTGATCAGAATGGAGCACGATTCCCCGAGTATCCCATGCAACCCTCCGTACAGTCTATTTTTGCTCTTAATGAGGGGTTCGACTCGGAAAATGTCGACATCATGTGCTGTGCTAGCTCCTTAGGAAACATCCTCCGCTTCATTCGGTCAGTTGACGCAACATTCCGGTTCGATGTTGAAATGATTGGAAATACATTGTTTCTCATCAGCAACTCCCGAGACCAAGTCATACCCGGTGTTCACGGACATGGCATGACCTTCCTCGAGAATTTCACCACTTATCCAGCCGATTTAAAAGAATCTAAATCCCACCAACGTATAATCTCATATTCATTCGGTGGACTGAAGTTTCTTGTTCGTTTTGAGTGTGATGGACATTTAGGAGATTCTAAGGATACATCTACTGCGACCGATGGCTTGAATGTCTCACAAACCCCGGTACCCGATTCAATCGCTGTCGAGGCTGCTGGAGTGGCCGTACCACAGAATTCGATCATTGAGATCAAGACGAGGTCCCAGAGGCAAGGGCAGGAGATTGAAATGAATGAACACTACCCAAGACTGTGGCTCAGACAGATTCCCAATTTCATCGTAGCATATCACATCAAAGGCAGCTTCGAAGACGTCCAGAACAAAAACGTCCAACAAGACTTATACGAGTGGGAATCCGCGCATGAGACCGAACTCCGGAAATTTGCTTCGATTCTACAGCAGCTGATTGTTGCGGTCAAACGAGCAGGTAATCTCAAGCTCGAGATTTGTCGAACGGGTTTGGGACCCCTGGAACTGAGAGAACAAATTGGAACACCTCGAGAAGTACTTCCTAATGGTTGGAAGGATATGTGGGCTAAGGAACCTAAGGATAAAGACAGAGATGGTACGTCTCATCTGGGTGATGGTAATGGTGATGATGATGATGATAATGATGACGACGAAAGTTATCCAAGCTTCTCGTCTCGGAATAACAGGTCTAGCGAATCGGATAGTTCTGAGGACGATGATAATTACTCAGTAGACTACACGGCTTGCGGCCTGGATTGCGGATATTGTGGTCACTGTGGTTAGTGGTTGTGTTGGTGTCAAGTAGGACTAGAAAGTTCCGTTTGCACTCGTCTGCCTGCATGAGATAACACGGCCCGCATTTATATTTGTCGGCGACTTGCTTCCAAGGCTGCCTGGGTAAGTACTGCTACATCGGCTACATCTACATACATATGTAAAGCCAAGACCTACATATTCACGTTCCAGTATCAGTTCATGACAGCCACCCACGTACATAGATGCCTAGCACTCTGGCCAGTGAAATCTCTCTGCTATCCGTTGGGTGTCATTTCTCCACGTCCAGACGGTCACACGCATGTGGGATAATTATTTTATTACCTGTACTCACATTACTTTTATTCCCTAGGCTGCTCACTAGGCTGTTCACCAGGCTTCAATCATCGAAGCCTTTCGATGTCGCACACTTCACAATGTCAGACAACCAGTCAGATTACCGGTCTCGAGCGCTCAATAAACTCTTCTACGATATCCTCGAGGGAAAAAGAACTGTCGGCAAGCTTCAAGATGCCGAAAAGTTTCTCGAGTCCATCGCAAACAGAGTCGATAAGGCGGACTGCATTGAGAGACTAGCTACGTCAAAATCTGGCCAAGATGCCCTTCACAAATCCCTTACCCTCGGAAACTCGTTCGACTTCATAAACACATTTACCTCAAGGTTTTTAGAACTTCTTAGAGACCCCACTCTAAAAAGCGTCGGCGATGGGGAGCTCATAAAGCAAATAATCTGGCGTATGGTCGACCCACCGTCGTTCTGGAATACTCTGGTTCAACATGTAAACACAAAACAACTTGGGGACCAAGCGATCGAAGGTTTCGCCTGGCTGTTGTTGCAGCTGGTGCTGCTGCCACAGTCACAATCCTCAACGTTTCGAGAGACGGCAGGGTCACTTCTACAAGACGGTTCTCTGGAGGGGTCGAGCTCCCCAGGAGCGGCAAGCCTGTTCCAACAGATCCGAGCTTTGACATCGCACTCGCAAACCGAGACACCAGATCATGTCAGTGATTTCAGTCCTGGTGGACGCCATGATAATGACTTTGTCAATTACCATGACATATCAATTCTTCCTACGTGCGCCGAGCTGCAGTGTACCGAGAGACCTTTCTATCTACAGGCCTCTAGGATATTTGATTGGACAAATGAAGATCGATCATTCAACCACCTCGATAATCAATTTCGTCTTCTTAGAGAAGACATGCTCGCCGAGATACGCGAAGACCTCGATCGTGCGAGAAGTAAAAAGGCTAATTGGAGAAATATGATCTTCAAAGATCTATCCTTGGAAACCCTCGATGAGCAAGCCATGAAGAATGGGCGACCGTGTACTCTGGTGCTCAGATGCAAGGAAGATGTCTTGAAATCACTCGGCACAAAGGTCGAAAAACGAAAGGATGCATTGAAAAAGAAGCCGGCATTCCTGAAGCACCAGAGTTTCGGATGCCTGATGAAAAACGACACTCTCCTAGCATTTGCAACACTAGATAGGAATGAAGACAGACTTGCTCTAATCACGCCACGCCTATGCTTGCAAGTTATAGGTGGCGAGAGGTTGAGCGATGTACTACTAGCCCTTCGAGATGGGACGGTGGACTTTTTACTGACATCCGCCCCTATATTCGCCTACGAACCAATATTGGAGAGGCTGAAGCGAAAAACTGATGTCGAGCTAAGTCGTGACATTCTTATTCATTCGGAGGATCCGATGGAGTCACCTATTCAACCACATGCTGTCATCGACGCCCTCGAAGCATCCCTTATCACTAAAGACGACTTGCAGCCGTTGCTAAATACGACCAAACAGATCAACCTGGACCCTTCACAGGTCAAGGCACTAATATACGGGTTGAGATACCAAACATATCAGATTCAAGGTCCCCCAGGTAAGTGGACGAATGATAGAGGCGCCATGATGCTGGCAGGTTCTAAACTTATACAGGAACCGGAAAATCTCTGGTTGGTAGTCTCTTAGCCAAGATTCTACACGATAACACGGAAGAGACGATGCTCGTTTTGTCATATACAAACCACGCACTGGACCAGTTCATCGAAGATTTGCTGGATATCGGAATTAGCGACAGTGATATCGTAAGGCTAGGATCAAAGTACACCATCAGAACTAGGCATCTCACACTAGGATTCCAAACGACCGACTATGCAAGGAAAACGAAAACCCGGCGAGAGTTGATCGAATTCCAGAAAGGCCATTTGGACTCCTTGGTGAAGAGCATAGAGAAAAGCTTTGATGTCTACCAACAAGGCAAGATCTCGTATCTTCAATTGCTGGAGTATCTAGAGTTTTCCGAGACTGATGACCACTTCTACGACATGCTATCGGTACCCAAAGCAGCGGGAGATGAAATTCGAGTCGGAAGAAAGGGTGCACCAATGAAACCAGACTATTTGTTTTATCGCTGGGCAATTGGAAAGGGGCCTGGTCCTTTTGGAAAAGAAAAGTCAGGACCTATGTACGGCGAAGTATGGCGCATGGCTCACAAAGATCGACGTACAAAAATCCAGCAGTGGGAACAACAAATCCACCAAGAAAATATTTCCAACCTTGTAGAAAAGATCACCGACTTCAACAAAACCCAGAAAGTTCTACGAAGTCTACAAAAGGAAAAAACGGAGCAAATTCTCAAGAGCAAGCGCATTATCTGTTGCACCACAACGGCTGCTTCGATGTATGCCCAAGAGATCCAGGCTGCCGCTCCTGGTATTATCATCATCGAGGAGGCAGGAGAGATTTTAGAAAGTCGTATGTATATTTCAAAACAGTTCATTCTCACCCTTCAATTGATTCCCATCACTCCGAATCCTATTAGGGGATGCTATCCTAACCCTCCCCCCTTTTTCTTTTGAATCCTATGCACATTGGTGTCAACCACTAACTTTACATATCGTAGACATTCTTGCTGCTATGGGCCCTAGTACCAAACAGCTGATTCAGATCGGGGATCACAAGCAGCTACGACCAAAGGTGAAGAATTACAAGCTTACTGTAGAAGCCGGGCATGGATATGATCTCAACCGTTCGTTGTTTGAAAGGCTCATACTTCAGGGACGGCCTCATTGCACGTTACTAAATCAGCATAGAATGAGGCCGGAGATATCAGCATTGATACGACACAATTACCCCGAGCTAGAAGATGCTACGAGCACTGATAATAGACCACATCTACTGGGCTTTCAAGACGACGTCGTTTTTGTCAACCACAACTACCCAGAAGTCAAACATAGTACTCTTGTCGATAAACTCGATGAAAACACTCCGTCTAGCAAACAGAACAGGTTCGAGGCGGACATGGTTTTGAAATGTGTTCGCTACCTAGGCCAGCAGAATTACAAGACTACGGATCTGGTGATACTCACCCCTTACCTTGTAAGCGCCGCTTCCAAACCGAGCAAGTGCATATCTACAAGTCACTAATTTTCAATAGGGACAACTGTTATTGTTGCGGGATGAGCTTAGCAAGGACCATGATCCGATCTTGAGCGATTTCGACTCTCACGATCTAGTCCAGGCTGGAATTATACCCCCAGAAAGTGCAAGGGTCAATAAGAGCCCCATTCGCCTCTCCACCATTGACAATTATCAGGGGGAAGAGAGCGACATCGTTGTTGTATCTTTAACGCGCGGCAACGATAACGGCGATATCGGGTTTATGTGTGCACCAGAACGATTGAATGTTCTAATTTCGCGAGCTCGAAATTCGTTAATCATGATTGGCAATGCGAATACCTTTATTAATGCCAAGAAGGGGAGCGAAGAATGGACTCGCCTCTTCGATCAGTTGAAGGCCGGTGGGAGAATACATGGCGGATTTCCGCTTAGGTGCGAGAAACACCCGGACACAAAACATATCGTTCGTTCAGCCGAAGAATTCGATCTTTTATGTCCGGATGGGGGGTGTACACTGCCGTGCAATGAGATACTATCCTGCGGCATACACATGTGTACAATGAGATGTCATATTCGAGTAGATCACTCCAAGGTGCCCTGCTACCAGCTTATGAAAGATGTGTGTCCCCAAAAACACAAGTTGGAATGGTACTGCTCAGATAAGAATCCACCCGCCTGCCAAACATGTCGCTGGGAGAAGGAGGAACAGGACCGAAAGGCTCGTCGGGACAAGGATCTCGAGAACGAACGGCAGGCGAAACAATTAGCATACGCCAAGCAGCTGAGAGCCATTCAAGATGATATTGCTGAACAGAGGAAGAGAATGCAAGACGTCTTGGAGGAGAGGAGAAGAGTGCAAACGATCATGCAGCACCGGATTGAACTCGCCCAGTTGAAAGAACAGGCCAACGAGCCTCTTAGCAGCATTCTCAATCCGAAACAACAGGCAAAACCGGCACCACAACCAGTCAAGAAGCCCAAAGCCAGCCGTGATAAGAGTAGTCCTTCTAAAGCCTCGCCCTCAGACGAAACTCCTGGCCAGTGCGCGACCGGGAAGGCAGAAGAACCGGACCAGACTAATGACGACAATGTATCCGAAGCTAGTCACGAAAGCGACCAGACGCCTCCCGTGGAAGAACCATCGCCTGCTGAAGCAGACTGGCAACACCAAAAAGAATTCGAAAATGCCTCGAACCCAGCTCTCGATTCCCTCTGTAAAATGATTGGTTTGGAGAGCATAAAGAAAGAGTTTCTCGTCATAAAGGCTAGGATTGATACCTCCCTCCGCCAAGGAACAGATATCAAGGATGAGAGATTCGGAGCCGCCTTGCTTGGCAACCCGGGAACAGGTAACTACGCAGACTCTTAGTATATCTGATTTTATATGGGTACTAATAAATGTATAGGGAAAACTACCGTGGCTAGACTATATGCCAAGTTCCTCTCTTCCGTTGGGGCAATCCCCGGTGACCACTTCGAAGAAACGACTGGCTCGCGATTGGCTAATGATGGTGTGCAAGGCTGTAAAGCTCTGATAGATGAGATACTCAACAAGGGTGGCGGTGTTTTCTTCCTCGATGAGGCATACCAGATCGTGTCGAGCGGTTCTTTCGGAGGCACTCAGGTACTTGACTTCCTCCTAGCGGAGATCGAGAATCTCAGGGGAAAGGTCGTCTTTGTGTTTGCCGGCTATCGAAAGCAGATGGAAGCATTCTTCGCGCATAATCCAGGTATTCCTAGTCGGATTCCTATCCAACTAGATTTCCAAGATTATGAAGATAGAGAGCTTTTGAAGATTCTCAATTACCAACTTGAGAAGAAATTCAACGGTCGCATGAATGTTGAGCGCGGATCCTGGGGACTCTATATGCGAATTCTAACACGTCGTATTGGTCGCGGTCGTGGAAAAGAAGGGTTCGGCAACGCTCGCGAGGTCGAGAATGTTCTATCAATCGTACTCGGAAGACAGGCCGATCGTCTTCACCAAGAACGACGAACGGGCAGCGTGCCGGATGACTTGCTACTCCAGAAGATCGACATTATTGGACCAGAACCAAGCCAGACGTTCTCCAAAAACAAAGACTGGTTGAAGCTTAACAGTATGATCGGATTGGAGTCTGTGAAGCAAGCAGTCAAAGCCCTCGTGAGCCGACTCCAGACAAACTATGATCGCGAATTGAAAGAGCAGCCTTTAGTTGAGTGTTCATTAAATAAGGTATTCGTTGGGAATCCTGGAACGGGAAAGACGACGGTAGCGAAGCTGTATGGTGGGATTCTCAAGGCTTTGGGACTTCTATCCAATGGCGAGGTAGTTCTCAAGAACCCAGCGGATTTCGTCGGCGCCGCGCTTGGACAATCTGAGAAGAACACCAAATCCATCCTTGACTCTACTAAAGGCAAGGTTCTCATAATCGATGAAGCTTACATGCTTGCGAGTGGAGGATCGAATTCTGGAGGTACGGGCGACCCGTATAAAACAGCTGTCGTCGACACAATCGTCGCGGAAGTTCAAAGTACAGCGCTTGAAGACCGATGCGTGTTACTACTGGGTTATAAGGAACAGATGGAAGATATGTTCCAGAAGGTCAACCCAGGCCTGACGAGGCGGTTCCCTATTTCGTCTGGGTTTACCTTCGAAGACTATGACGACAGCGAACTTCGCCAGATCCTTGACTTGAAGCTCAAGCAACAAGGATTCAAAGCTGGTGAAACTACGAAGAAGGTTGTCATCGAAGTACTCCGCCGCGCCCGCAACAAGCCCCACTTCGGCAACGCAGGTGAAGTAGACATCATTCTCGATCAAGCCAAGGAACGGCAACAGAGACGGTTATCGAAATTCTCTGGAAATCGAAACACGGACTTGATGGAGCCTGAGGATATCGACCCCGACTTCAACCGAAGCGAGCACGCAGGCACTAATATCCGCATGCTATTCAAGGACGTTATCGGGTGCGATGACATCGTAGAACAGTTGGAAGGATACCAACAGGTTGCCAAAAATATGAAAGCCATGGGCATGGATCCCATTACACAGATCCCCTTCGGATTTCTCTTCCGTGGCCCGCCAGGCAAGTATAATTCGTTAATAAATCTCTGAGCCCGCACTAATAATACTCCTCCTAGGAACCGGAAAGACGACGACAGCTAAGAAGATGGGCAAGGTTTATTACGATATGGGATTTCTCTCGGAAGCTACCGTCCTCGAGTGCTCCGCGACCGACATAATTGGCCAGTATGTAGGACACACCGGTCCTATGGTGCAGAAGAAGTTCGACGATGCTCTTGGAAGAGTTCTCTTCATCGACGAGGCGTATAGGCTTGCAGAAGGTCACTTCGCTAAAGAGGCTATGGATGAGATCGTCGACTGCCTCACCAAGGAGAGGTATCAGAACAAGCTGGTCGTTAGTAAGTATTCGAAGACCTATCTCCGGCTCTTTCCAGACGGTTTTTTATTATAATAGCTACTGACATGAAGTGATCTAGTTCTCGCTGGTTATGACAATGACATCAATCGATTGATGAACCAGAACCCCGGCTTAACAAGTAGATTCCCAGAGACGGTGGTATTCTCCAGCCTTCCACCGCGCCACTGCCGCGAACTTCTTTTCCAATGTCTCCAAAAGAAGAAACTCGACATCAAAGGCCTTGAAGACTCACCTACCTTAGACAGCAAGCTCTTAGATTTATTCGGCACACTTTCGCAGACTCCATCATGGGGTAGCGCTCGCGATGTGCAGACTCTCGCAAAATCTATCTTCTCGAAGATCATGAAGTCGAAGACACCCGATCCAAACAGAATCGTACCCGAGGACCTAGTCGTAGATGTAATCAAAGCCATGATCAAAGAACGGACAGACCGCGCCACAGCCACCCAGCCCAACTCCATGCTAAACATCCCATTACCAATGCAACTACAACAAGCCTTCCAAGAACCCCCACCACCTCCCCAGGTATCAACCGCAATCGAAACCGCAACAGCCCCTCCAGAAGAAAAACAAGAACAACAACCCGAAAAAGAAAAACCCAGCCCAGAAAACCCCGCCGCCACCAACGCCACCTCAACCCGCGACGCCGGCGTTTCCGACGAGGTATGGGAGCAACTCCAACGCGACCGTCTCATCAGCATCCAGCGACAAAACGCCCTCCTCGAAACCCAGCGCAAAGCCGCCGAACTCGAGCGCAAAGTGCGGGAAGAAGAGGAAGCGCTAAAACGACAACAAGACGAAGCAAAGCGACGGGAGCAATTACGTAGGTTAGAGATCCTGCGCATGCGGCGGGATGTCGAGGAGAGGAAGAGGAAAGAGAAAGAGGAGGCGGAGATGCGGGAGAAGCAGGCGCAGGCGAAGTTGAGGGCTTTGGGACGCTGTGTTGTAGGGTTTGAGTGGATTAAGCAGGCGGGAGGGTATAGGTGTGCGGGGGGGACGCATTGGATGTCGGACGGAGCTTTGGGGCTTTGAGGGATCTTAAGTATGTACTTTTGTATATCAGGGGCTCAGGTACGTGGATATTAGGTAGGTAGGGATATGTTTTATGGAATTAGAAGGCGGTTATCTCGTGGGAAGGTTTTAAAGATACTGGTGTTAGGTACGGAGGTCGGTAATGGGTAGGTATAGGGAGATTATGAAGAGATTATCACGTTTTATGTAACCATGAATGCTTTACAAATTTATCAAGTCACGGCGAGGGGACTGATTTGATTCTTAGGGTTGTCAACTGAAATCAAATGGGTATTCAAACTACCTTCCTTAACCAACCTAAATGCACTTGGGTATTGACGAAACTAACAACGCTGAAATCCTCTTCCATCAACCATACACTAGACGGCACGAACGGGGAGTGCTGTGGGTGCGTGAAGCACAGTGTTTGTTGGCGAGGAAGCAACGGAGAGCATATTCCGGATCGACTCCGGTATCGACCGCTTGGGCTTAGAATGAATCGCCGCACTCGAGCGTCGAGGGCCAGATGGACGGCGGATTTCTGCGATATTCGGGAGCTTCGGACGTTGCTGAGAGCCCATTTTCTCTTGGATGTCGTCGAAGAGATCGTCACACGCAGTAAAATAGGAGATGCGAGGGATGTGCTCAGTCCCTTGCAGCTGGTTGGCACCGTCGATGATTTCGCAGTTAGAGTACTCGTTTCTGCCCCACAAAAGGCCGTAGTATTTTTGGTTGCCGGCATCGATGATGGGAGAGCCAGAGTCTCCCGGAGCACCAGCACCATCCGTAACGAAAGTCTCGTAGCTCCGCTCATACGCGTGACATATCGCCCATTCTCGTGTCACCATCTCGGTACCATTGCCATGCTTGACGAGAAAAAAACCGTCATCTCGTTGCATGAAGTTCTCCGATCCAGAGAGGACGATGGAGGGGACAAGGGAGATGGAGGCTTTAGTCGAACCACTAGTCCTACCAGAAACCTTCACTCTCGCCCCTGGAACAACACGGGAGCTGCTGCGGATGTAATTATTCTCGGCATCTTCCCTATCGGTAATCCTCATCTGATTATTATGTATACCTTGGGCTTCAAATGCGGCCCAGTCTGTGACAACGTAATGTACATCTTTCTCGCTGAATGGGTGTAGGGATTTTCGTGTTGTCATATACGGCTCCCCAGACCGAGACGTAGGGGTCCCAAGAAAGTTGAAGCCTGGCCTATGCTGTGGCTCGTAGGTATCCATATAATCCGTATAATCTGGAACCGATGGCTGACGAAGTTTGATCTTATCAGGATCCAAACTACCAACAGTATCAGGAAGGATGTGACAGTTCACTACCCAATACCCTTTCTCGTCAATCTGGAGAAGCAGACCTAGAGTTCCACCAGCCTCTTCGTAGTCACTGCCTTCACAGCTGACACCTACGGAATCTCCCATCATTGGCTTTTGATGCCAGAAGGGGTTCTTGGCTTCGCAGAAGAGGTCATCAGGTGGCCTTTGGGCAGCCATGATGGTTCCTTGAGGGAAATAGAAGTTGAGGGTATTCCCAAGGGATTCCGGTAATGCTTCCTGGACGATAGCCCGCAGAGCATTCTTTCGAGAATCGGCTAACTTCGACCGGGTTAGGAAAATAACATTTGTCTTATCCTCCGTCGATGCCCGAACCACATCCACAGACAATACATCTGAGTGCTTCAAGATGGATTGTATTAGGTGGGGGACAACTTTATTCTCCCAGTGATAAGCAAACTCGGTAGGATCTGCAACTAGATCTTCGTAGTAGCGTGCGCAGTTGACGGTGGCTAAGGATTTCGGCTCAGGAGAAAGACTCGGAGGGGCGGTACGTGGTGGTCCGAAGAAATGTCGACTAAATTCATCGATTTCATATCTGATTTTCTTCTCCCTATCCTCGTCGAATGGGATTATTTGGTATTCAGTCTTGTCTCGCAGGAACAATGAAATGCGCACTTCCACTAGTCTTTCGGGTTGCTTTTGTCTGCAGAGGAACTACATCAGTGTGACACGCTCGAGGGGTAAAGAGGCGTCACATCCACATACTCTGCTTGATTCGAAGACACAGACCCTTGGTGTGCCTTTGTAGAAATGTCGTTACCAGCTGATAGTGGCCTTGGGGGCGACCCTGAGAGTGACATTTTGTTCCTAAGGAGCTTAGTAACTGGTTAAGGCTGAGGAGCAATAACCAGTCGAGGAAAGGATAACCAAGAAGAAGCAGCAAGTCCGCTCCAGAGTATGGCAGTCTGGGTCACTGCCCAACCCCTCTCTTCCAAGGCAGGCGCGTTGGGGTTATTGGCGAAGCCAATCAAATGTACAGAACGACGTCAATATACCTACTCCTAGTAAATGTCATGTACTGATGTTACTCTGTACTTGTATTGGACTGTACTCCAAAAATCCCATATTCAGTACATGTAAGTACCTGCTACGTAGGTGGCAGCCCGTACTAGGTAGCTTACACGTGCTACATGAGGTTAGCTGTGTAACGCAAGAGAACCTTGAATAATAGCTTAGCCCATCATCCCATACAAGACTTTTTTGACGTCATTTGACTTGAATATACCTAAAAAGATATAATGATAGTAAAGAATGATGTTATAGCTTTTAAGGTTAACGGATATATCTTAGGTACCTAGGTACATAACCAATAGATCGCATTTTATATAGTTATAGGCCTGATACATTCAGACTGGGTACCAAGACAAAGGACCATTGATTGATCAAGTTAATCCGAACTTCGTCAATTCCTAAGCAACTTTAATCAGCTTATAGTCCTTCAAGTCGTTACTCTTCAAGTAATCAAGTTCCCATATTAGAACTCATCTGCAAATAATAAGGGATTTTCGTGGTAATTCCTGTTACACTCGCTAAAGTAACAAGTTCCTTTCTAGAACAACTGAGAGGGCTTTGTCGTACCTGCATGATAGCGGATCTCATATATGATCATGTCTGTCCATACTAGGTACACGACAATGGGGTGGTCTTATTTTCCGTCCTTGAAGAAGGAAGAAAGTATCAGACTCGGAACAATGGCTCATATTCTTTTCCTGTCATGGTAAGAGAAACAATGGTTATCTAAGATTATCTATTGGTTTCACCTCATTCTATAAATGATTACATTTTTGCCTGTGGGCGAGTTTAGATATAGCGTGCAAACCCCCTAAAGATGTTACGGTGGTAATGATGCATAGGTAGTTCCTAGTAAGATATATATAACTGTGAATAATAGTAAAGGGTAAATGGTAAGTTGAAATTATTTCAGTGTACAGTTTCATAAATAGGCCAACTTAGAGAAATATTAAGATGACTTGAAGCGTCTGTTGAAACTTTTGGATTCCTTTAAATTGGGGGAGAAGAATGAATATCTGCTTCTGCTCTCGGAATTCACGGATCTAAAAGTAAGGGATAATTGCCAAGGTTAGTACATAATCTGATGTCCATTTTCAATCTATCAATCCGAGTAGGCCGAACAAAAGAGAAGTTGTGCCTTAAAAGGAGCTAGATTATTTATGAAATACTGTCAAGATTGAAGAATAAAGCTCTTGCGAAGCACCTTTGAAGCACGTGTCAATGGAAAAGTTTAAAGGCTGAAAGGGTAAGTGCCCCCTATTATCAAAGTGATCGCAGTATTAAAATGGGTCTCTACACTATCTAGCAGACCACATCACACATGACAGGCCAATCATATGATTACATTTGACAGTGACAGACCCCCTCCAATCATAGTACCTAGTACCCAGTACCCAGTAATTATCGTCATCACCGCCATTACACAATCGCGTTAAAATCGACTCGATCGACTTGTCAATAAATAAAAAATATCACACACACCCTTTCATCACAACCTAACCTTACCCATCCAGCCATCCGGCCATCCATCAACAATCATCAACCAGTCAACCAGTCAACTCCATTATCTCAATAAGCATAATCGTATATGGCAACGACCTACTGCATGACTGCATTCATTTGGTTAGATACGCTGCAACCTGCAACCTGCAATCTGCAACCTCCTCACCTCCAGAGACCTTTCGCTCACCGTCCATCGCCTCAGGGCTGAAATCTTGGCGGAACCTGTCTATCTAATCTGATCAATTCAATCAAAAAATTCTCCGGAAACATTTCGCATAGCGGCGACAGAAATTTCTCTACCAACAAAGCATTTCTCTACAAAGTTGGGCTATCACGCAGCCACCTACCATTCTTGACCACCTACCAAGAGAAAAAAGCCTGACACTCGCAACTATGGATCGAGGCGATTCCGTCATCATCGACGTCTTGCAAGGTATGTTCAAGAGCCTCATTCATCATGTCGTACCCTATATCCAATCTACAACCGTCGCTCATCACCATCTCCCATCCTCCCAACTCCCAACTCCCAACTCCCTTTCTCTTGCTACCCAATGAACAAGGAACAGTATCCACTAACACCCACCAGGCATCGTGCCCGAGCAGACCCTCGAACTTCTACAAGCCCATCTCCAGAACCCGTCCACGACCCTCCAAGCCGTATGGCGTCACTCGAGCGCCATCGCTAACAAACTCGGCACCGTTCTCTCCCCCCTCTTCGGCCCCATCCTCGCCCGAGCCCTGCAAGCCCTACACGACTCTCCCGACGTCGTAGTCCTCGGCTTCGTCCTCGGCACCATCGTTCTGATGCTACAGATCGTAGTCTGGGTGCACCGCACGATGATGTACATGACGCGTCTAGCCTTCCGCATGATGGGCTGGGCTCTCGTCTTTGCCCTGGTGGCCGTAGTATGGCGTCGAGGCCCTGAGGCGACGATCCGAGACGTCGTGGTATTCGTCGGAAAGATGGCCGGATACGCCGCGCTGGTGAAGGATATCTGGCTCAGCGAGTATAAGAAGTTCGATGCGCAGACCAAGCGAGGCGGCGACTTTAGCACCGGCCCCCGCGCCCCTTCCGGAGGATACACTCGTTCTAGGAATAACGGTTGGTAGTTAAGTTTGGTTGGTTGGTTTGATGGGATCAGATAAGGCGGAGAGTGCGGACTATAACTGCGAATACGGCCCTGGATGAATGGATGAATTTCTAATGACGAAGGATTGGAAGGGATGTCCATTTGGCAGGTTCCTCTTTGAGTAAATATTACGTTCTTCGTTTAGGACATGAGTGATGACTAAGGATGCTCTTTACAGAGAATGAATAAACACGATGCCAAATATACTTAGTAATGAGTAAATGTGATATGTCAAATGTGATCGATTTTTTTGGTATCAGCCAAGTTGTCTCAAATCCGTAACGCCATTGCTATGCAATTGTACAAACCCCAGAATGTTGTCTTCATGTTCCCCGGGTATCAATCTCCATATTCCCGTGCCTTTTTCGTCGTTACTTGTCATCCTTTGCTAATTCTAGCAGCCATTAAGAGCCTCCGGATATCAACCGTCCATGTCATCCATGTCATCGAATTCTTCATCCTTCAACTCCTTGGGCTCCTGTGCCTCGTGGTATTGGATGCAGTCATCGATGTAGCTGAGAATGGACCCAACACTGTCTTCATCTTGCACGTCTAACTTCAGGTAGCTAACCATACTGAAGTTCTCGATTAAACTCGCAACTGCTCGGTTCAACCGCCGAAAGCTGGCACCCTTCATCACAGCATCCTTATCTAAGGGATCTGCGGCCTCGAGTTCCTCTTCCGTGGTGCCCTCTGCCTTCTGCCGAGCAATTTCTGCTGGGTCATCGTCGAGTAATCCAGTATCCGGGGTGAGGAATCTCTTGAGGTCCTTCTTGCGAATTTGGTCCTTCACGAGGTCCATCTTGGATAGGATATTGATATGTGGAATCTCTAGCATGATCATAGCACTCATAGCACTCAGTGTGCCAGCGAAGAATTTGGCTCTCTCCACTACGAAAGTAGCTTCTAGGAGATAGGCGGCACAGAGTCGGATGTCAAGGGAACCGGATCGGGTTAGGAATTTTGTGAGGGCCGGCAATATAGGGACGTGTGTGTAGAGTTCGATCTGGCCAGGCATATCGAAGATGATTAGATATTCCTCCGTAAGAGAGTCTAGGGCTTCTGTGAGGAAGTCGAGGTTTTCCATGAGGAACTCGAAGCAGTAGATGAGACCACCGTTCGGTCCTAGGCTCATATCCTCCATTACATCTTCGAGAGAGATGAGGTCTTTGATGTCTAGGTCCGGGGCATGTTCGAAGGACTCGGCGGCGGGATCGAGGTTAACGTAGAAGCATGAGCGACGATTAAGTTGTAGATGAGTAATGAGGGCAGCGCAGAAAGTAGACTTGAGAGAGGTAGATTAGTACATTAGATGTGTATCATCAACAGTATACCTAGTATACCCAATATGGAAATAATATTCCGAAAGGTTGAATAATGACAGAAAAAAAAGATAATTGCATACCTTGCCAGCCCCAGCGGGGCCCATCACCATAACCCCAAACTTACTCATGATGTATGATTAAATCCTCTCAAGACAAATAGATTGGTTATCTTGTCTGCTGAATCTAAAGGCGACTAGGGATGAATGTACAAAAAGGGATATTCGAGCTTCAGCCTCGTGCTGTGACGTGATTCGGTTAGACGGTTGTCGCTCAGCGGCCAGTCGAGGATTTTTTTTCATGGAGGGGCAGAAAGTAGAGGGGTCAAGGATCGAGAAGACGAGCAGGGGTCTAAAGTGGTGGAGTGGTACGAAGTACCTAGTAACTTGGTACTAGAAATATGGGTCTCGGCTGACGAAGTTATCTCGTAAGCTACAAAAATTCAAGGTTGAACCTCTTCTGTTTTGTTACTTAAGCAGCTAAGTCACTTCGACAAACGCATACACATGATAATTGACAATAGAAATGAACAGATACAACATACGACTTAGCCCTTACTTTCTCTCACCGCCCGAATGGATAAACTAATACCCAGCCTACGATTGCGTTTCATCCCTGAATCTCTCTGCAAGTTTAGCAGATGGCCCGCTCCGCTACCTACGGACGGAATTTCCGGCAGAACCTTTCACCCATAGCCGCATCTTAGGTCCCATACAATGTCTATGTAAGCGGGTGGTCTACCGGTTACGGACTTTGTCTCTGGAATTCGAGGCATGAGAGATAAAACTGAAGGCACCCCGAGATCCTTCGCTCGGGAAAGACGCTTAACCGATCGACCTATCTGACAAGGAGAGTGGCTGGATGAGTTAATGATTTGATAAGTCGAGCTGACTGTTATCTGCAACTCTGCAATTCTTGGGCTGGTCTGGCACCAACATCACTTTATAAATCATAGACTCGTTGTCTTAGGCGGCCATTTAAGACTCGAAGACACATGCCGAAGTTGAGACCCTGTCAATTTACACGCTTGGTGCACGTTTTGGAGAGGGGCAGCCGTGGCAATCAGGGATCTATGGATCTATGTATGGATCATCGTAGCATTCAATAGGGTCCATTGAATGGACGACTATGAGGTGAGTTTCAATTGATAGATATACCTGGTATTTTACATAATATTCTCTGAGGGTACTTATTGTATTGCATGTGAAGTAACTGAAAAATAGACCGGAAGTCGGAAAAAGGTGAGGTTGGCTCGAGTAGTAAATTGGAACGGTCAATTGTTGAGTACCAGTGACATACCATTTCCACTATCATGGTACTTGCCTACCGAAACACTCCGAATATGAAAAGGAATCATCGGCGACATAGAAATAAAAGTACATAACCTGAGAATCATGTTTGACCCATGCACTCTTGCTGACAGGATGCGAGAAGCCAGGCAGCTAGCACGCCATCTTACCCTCTCTCACACATGTACAACGCTACCAATGAACTATTCGGAACCTTGAGAGACCCTGAAGAGGAGAAACAGCAAGATAAGCAGACGTCGGGATGGGAAATGCTTCACCCCGATAGAGTGATCGTTCTATACGTTATGTAATACAACTAACCGTATGGAGTTACTTTATTATCAAACATGGAACATCAATCAGCGGAGATACTCCGAACTTTTCCACTGAATCTAGAGAGAATCTACGCCCCTCTTGCTTCCTTTGGAGAAAAATTCCTTTGGGCTTGCCCCACTTCGCCTTCCCATGTGTACTCTGTACCAATGCCAGCAATTCAAGCGATCTACCACCAACAAAACCAACCCAAAGTTTAGGACCCACGGCTCAGGGACAGGCAGGACAGGTCACAGCAAAGGAAGGAACGAAGGGCTGCGAAAGGGGAACGGGCAGTTACCTAGGTAAAACTAGCGTCAGCTTTATTCGTTAATTCGTTAGATAATAGCTCTTAGCTTAAAGTCGGTATATTGTGTGACGGAAATTGCGCCATCCTGGGTATTCTTTTCAGTTCCTAGTACAGAGTACCTACCTACCTAGTCCTTTAGTTCCTGCCCCTCCGATTTTTTCTCTTTTTCGCCAATAGAAAAGCTAGAGGAAAAACTCCCGCTTCCAATTCTTTTCTTCTTAAACTTCACATCCCCCTCTCCGAATTCATTTTTCTTTTTATCCTACAGGAGACACTCTTGGGCTTTGCATTCCTTTGGTTGCTTAGAATTAATTACATAGCAGCTTGTTTGAACTAGACTTCTATTTTATCTCTCGCTATCCACATCTTCAAGATGCCTGCTACCAACGGCTTTGCCAGCTCCTTGAGCACCCCTCGGAACGCCGGGGCTTTCCTCTTCACCGTAAGTATGGATTGCGTGTCTTAACTTAACAATACTTCCCTCTAGTCTCTTATTAACTTGATGTTTCAGTCTGAATCCGTCGGTGAAGGTCACCCCGACAAGATCTGTGATCAGGTTTCCGATGCCATCCTCGATGCCTGCCTTGCTCAGGACCCCCTCTCCAAGGTCGCTTGCGAGTCTGCTACCAAGACCGGTATGATCATGGTCTTCGGTGAGATCACCACCAAGGGCTCCATTGACTACCAGAATGTCATCCGAAATGCCATCAAGGAGATCGGATACGACTCCTCAGACAAGGGTTTCGACTACAAGACCTGCAACGTCATGGTTGCCATTGAGCAGCAATCCGCCGATATCGCTCAAGGTCTTCACTACGAGAAGGCTTTGGAAGAGCTAGGTGCCGGTGACCAAGGTCTCATGTTCGGCTATGCCACTGACGAGACCCCTGAACTTCACCCTCTCTCTCACCTTCTCGCCCACAGACTTAACCAGGCTCTGTCCAAGGCTCGCCGGGACGGAACTCTCCCCTGGCTCCGACCTGACACCAAGACCCAAATCACCATGGAGTACAAGCACGATGGCGGTGCCGTCGTTCCCCTGAGAGTCCACACCATCGTTATCTCTACTCAACATAGCGAGCAGGTTACGACTGAACAGGTACGAAAGGAGTTGAAGTCTAAGATCATCGACGCCGTCATCCCCAAGCAGTACATCGATGAGCACACTATCCTCCACCTCCAGCCTTCCGGTCTCTTCATCATCGGCGGTCCTCAGGGTGATGCCGGTGTCACTGGCCGAAAGATCATCGTCGACACCTACGGTGGCTGGGGTGCTCACGGTGGTGGTGCTTTCTCCGGCAAGGATTTCTCCAAGGTCGACCGATCCGCAGCCTACCTTGCTCGATGGGTTGCCAAGTCACTCGTCGCTGCCGGCCTCGCTAGGCGAGCGCTGGTCCAGCTCTCTTACGCCATTGGTGTAGCTGAGCCCTGCTCTATCTACGTAGACTCATACGGCACCTCTGACAAGACTGCCGAAGAATTGGTCGAGATTGTCAAGGCTAACTTTGACCTCCGACCTGGCGCTATTGCCAAGGAACTTAACTTGATGCGCCCCATCTACAACCAAACAGCCAAGTTCGGCCACTTCGGCACCAACCAGGAATTCACCTGGGAGCAGCCTAAGACCCTTAAGTTTTAAGTCTGTTAACGTGTTGTAGATTTCCGCTGAGGGGACTTTTCAGATTTATAAAGTAGCGGAAGAATCAACTTCTTTCTGCATTGCGATCGGCGTTGTTGGGTGTGTTATCTAGAAGACATAGGATTCCCTCATCGGAAAATGTCATGAAAATTTAACGGGCATGGCAGCATGGCGTACGGTTTCAACATACCTGGTTTGGGCAAAGGCACAGATAAAGGTGGCATCTACGGGGTCACCGGGGCCTTTATAAAGGCGACGGATAGATAAATATCCGCATTGCATTTTTCAACACGGCAATATCCTATGTCGAACAGCGATCAGGACAAAAATATGATACCACTTTGTCGTAACCTACCTGTGTCAATTTTGCGTGATGTAATTGTTGTTGTTGTTTCAATTAGGCCACCTGACCTTAGCTAATCATGCTTCATCTTATTACTAAGGTATAGACATCTATCCTAGATTCTATTTCATCTTAAGCTACCTAGGTACTGCATAGGTACCTAGGTAGGTACGCATGAACATTATAGAACGGACGATATCTTCGATGCTGATTGCGGAATGTCCAAAATCAATTCAAAGCTATGACCCCTTAACCTTAATCCTTCCCGTCTGACCCCGAGCGACCCCGAGTAAACTAATCAAACCCATCCAGGTACTCGTTTTCTTTTCTTCTCGTTTACCAACATCGAGATCTCGCTAACTACACTGTGCGTGCTGACGTGTATTTACATTTTAACCTCCACATATTTGGGTACTCGCGTCGCGGCACTGAGTCTGTTACCTGTCGTTGTTGTTGTTGTTGCCTCTGTTGCCCTTGGCTCCACCCCGGTTCCGATCCCGGTCGGAGGATTCATCGGTATTCGGCTCTCTCGGTTCGTCGTCCGGATCGGGGATGTTCGGGGCAGAAGTAGAGATGGAAGAACGACGTGATGGTCCGGCTGATGTCGGCGATGGGGGATATCGTTGCGCCGGTAATAAGGTTAGGAGGGTTAGGAAGTTTGCTTGGAAGAGTCGGGTTCGTGGTGTTCCGGGGGCTGTCAGGGGTTAGTGACCTATAAGATGGGGTAATGGTGGGGGAGACATACGTTGTGGGATGTCGTCGGTGTTATCTTCGTTGTTGAAGTCGTTGTTGTCGGTGCTGGTTGTAGTCATGACGGTAGGTGTGGAGGTGTTGGTCGAAGAACGGGAGATAGGGGATGATGATAAAGAAGGAGGGTTGGAGCTGGGAGAATCTGGACGCGAGGTCCGACTGTGGTTGTATTGTGACGTATTTCGTTGTCCTGTATCTTCTGTTGCTCTTTCTTGTGATCTTTCTTTAGGGGTAGACGGGCTAGGTGGCATTGCCGTCGCCGCTTAGTTTCTTGTCCCCTTCCCCTGTGACTACCTATTACATAAGAAGTGTCTTGGGAAGATTCTTGGTCTGTTGGCTTTTATATCTGGCGTATGTAGATATAATGGCCCTTGCAGTGATAGGGCTAGTAGATGTATAGTCTCTCTAGATGGCGAGGGCACTCGGTCTCTTTATCTCTCAACTTCAGTTTCTTAGGGGCGGCCTTGGACTTGAACTAGAGGAAGATAATTACGGCAGTGGACCTCGGCAATATTTGCAAATTATGGAGAAGAGAGGTATATAGACGTGTTTAGGTCGATTGAAGAGCCCACAAAGGGACATCGTAAACATGGTAGAGACAACATGACCTAAATATACATAGTCAAATTTGATATCACGACAGAAACTTGCCCTCTAGTAAAAGTCCAGATAGGATTTGTATGGTCGTCATCCTGAACTCGCTCTCCAACAGATTTCAAATCCCGAACCTGACTCGGGGACTATTCAGGCGATTATGAGCTCAATGGCGCCATGTGAAAGGCTGAATATGACCCGTTACTATATCGTTTCGTTTGTGTAAGGCATCACAAATGATATGGCTGAGTCGTATGCAGGAAACACAAAGACATCCACGTATGCAAAACACCACGTCTTGGCCCTGCGTAATCTTGCGGTAAAGTGGCAAGAGGGAAAGATAGGTAGTCTATGGCTCGCCCAAGCCAACAGAGTCATCGCGTATACTCGTTAGCCAGTCTATATCTTGCTCAACACGGAATAAGAGCCAGTACTAGCGCCGCAATGACACGGCTTAGTCCTACGGGTCACGTCCCGAATTACCATCCGAGTTGATATCCAGGACTACGGATATCCATCTCAACAGGGCCTCCTTGGTTCTAGAACTACCCTCGCTAGAACCGAGACAAAGGAATGATAAAGCCAACCCGCCCTAATACAACACTAATTCCCAATACTATTTAGAAGTCAACACATCAATCGTACAGCATATATCAAAACTCCCTTTCGCGGTAACCCCTATCCGCAATACGTCGGTTCATTCGGTTCCGATAGGTTGGTAGGTTATGTAAGATGGCGCGGCGTTGACGCGCTTAGACGCAAAAAAAAGGGGGGCCGGGCTGGAAAACGAGCAATACGAAATACGACCGATCCGGGCGTACCACCAATAAAAGCCGCCTCGTTTAACTGCGGACCGCCGTCCGCATTGAGTAGGCTTTTCCGTCGGGAGATCGACGTTATATATTGCCATTAGTACCATTTCAATAGAGCCTCCCTACGCAGCCTACGGTACCTTACCCAGGGACATACAATATTGGAGATGTTAGGGCCAGCCATTGTACAGATCTAGGCATGTACTCTAGGTACAAGAACGCCGCAAATACCACATCATCCCTCCAGGATCCCGTTATTCGGGTTCACGGGAAATCTTCACTGCCGGGCATAATCACCTCTCCTTTAGCGGCGTACTTACTAAATTCCCGATGCACATACTCATGCGTTAGATTCGTTTCGAGTCTCCTGTGAAGCCGGATCGATCAGATATCATAACTGGCAAAACATTCATATCACTCCACACTCCAGCCACATTTTACACCGTCGGTAACAGCACCTAGGCAGTATTAACCCATATCCGCTCTATGTACTGTACCTAACTAAGCCTACAAGTTTTCTCGCACATAATCCCTCCCAAGACACAGAACGCCATCCCGTTCAATCCACAAAGGCACCCTACCATTCCCTCCTACGAAGACCGTAATTTGCGGTTGCCTTGACAAATAACATAATCTCGTTTATTCTTATTGTACAACACACAGCCCAGTACCTAGGGCAAGTAAGCGACAGATCAATCCTCAATATCGTCATCACTAAGCACCAGCTTCTGAAAAGCCGGTGCCGGCGCGGTTGAATCACTCTTTTGGCGGAAACCAATACCCACAACCCTTTTCTTCCTAGGCGAGCCCTCTTCAGTCGGTTTATCCGTAGCCCACGCCTCAGCGTTCAGCTCCGCATTATCGTCGCCGTCAAGCGCATCCTCGTCAGCGGCCGCGTCCCCGATCCCGGAGAATGAGGTGACTTTTTCGATATCCCGCATCCGGGCTGCGCCTACTACGTTTCTACGTCCGCGGGCTATGTGCGCCATGTAAGGTAAGCGTTCGAGGAGCAATTCCCTGCGAGCCGAACTTCCTAGGAAGAGCAGTGGCGCTGGTTGTTGGTCCTGAGCTGGCTCGGTTTGCTTAGGTTGACTATTATTACGCCATGGAGCTTGGTGCTTGTTTATCCATTCCCCATTGCCAGTTGCTGACTTCGGCCGTCTGAATGCAGAAGCGCCTTGGGTGAGATTCTGGCCCGTTTCGTCCCCTTTAAGCAACTTTGAGGCCCAGTGATCCACAACACCTTCCAACTCCTCTTTCTCCCGCCACAACTTAAGGCTTGTGGGGTAGAACATTTTATAAGCATCGCCGCCGCCTCTTCCGGATGTTTTCGACATCCGTTTCACGGGATTCGGAAGTGAGAACAGAAGTCCCCTTGTTGCGACTTGAAAAGTAATTTCATCCTGCCTTAATACGTGACTTGCCGAATCTCGACCCGAAAATGTGGACATGCTGGACCCTTGGCCGCGGAAGAATGAATCCCATGACGGCGAAAGCAGATCACTATCGGATAAATATTCGATGCAATTACTAATATAGTCAAGCGAGGAATTTGGATCAGACGGCCCGGTAGCTTCGCATGATAGCACGTAGTTTTCATGGAGAGCTGAAATGAAAGTGTGGGTATCGGTGCCAGTCTCATCGATAAGGCTATCGACAGAAACCTCAGACCGTTTTGGCCTAGAAAGGTGAGACATGAAATCAGGGAGTATTTCAGCTTGGCCTTCGGGCGTTTGTTGACTCATTGGTCGCTCATCTCTCTTGTTATATACCACCTTTCCAACGGCATGGAATATACCCAAACTAGCTTCTCGTTGTGAGACAAGCTGCAGAGTTTCTACTTCGCTTTGAGTTAGTGAGACTTCGTTTTTCGATCCGCGCTTAGGTTTTGTAAATGTAACTTTAGAACCCCAATCCGCTGTGTCTCCTTTGAGACAGAGAAATTCGAGCGATGAGACTGCGCTTCTTATGTCTCCTATTTCTCCTAATCTTTTTAAAACTTGTGGACCTGGAGTTCGGCGTCGACCTGATTTCCGGGCTTCTTTCTGGACGATCAACTCCAGCGCGCTCGAGAGGAGAGTGGGTGCAATGGCATTGAACTCTATAACGCAACAGCCTGGATGTCGCGTAATTTCAGGACCTAATAGCCGATGGGCAGTAAAGCTGTCTGCAGATGCCGAAGTAGTAGTGAGGAGAGTTTCTGATATGACCATAACGACAGGGGTTATAGGTTCTGAGGACGTTTGGCGGCCAAATGTAGCAAGCGATGGCGTATTTGAAGCCAGGTATCGTAGTATAGTATTCCGAAAGGCCGCTAAAGCCGTAGATGAGCGAGTAAAGGTGTTTGGAAATTCTTCAATGAGGATGATCTTCTTCGTATTATCATTAACATCGTTCTTGGGGAGACTCGAAGGAGTTGAGTCCAGATCAATATCTAACTGCCCAAATTTTCCACCTCTTCCCATAAACTCTTCAAATTGTGCCGATGCTGATAGGAACCCTTGGTTCGCCCCCAGAGAACCAACCGGATTCCTCCATTCAAGAAGTTCGCAGTGCATGTCCTTAGCAAGGAGCTGAACCGTAGTTGTTTTCCCCGTTCCCGCAGCACCTTTTAGTATAAGTAGCCTTTGACGCATTCGACCAGCTATGACATCTTCAAGCCACCGGCGAACATCAGACACTTTTTTCTTATGGACTACAAGTTCATCCAAGTTCACAGGAGCAAATCGTTCGAACCACGGTCGCTGTTCGTCGCTTGCCACAAGACCTTGTTGAGGGCGAGGTGGTTTCAGGAACTTCTGGCTTGATATAACGATCGGGACACTAGTCGGTTGACTGGATTGAGAGGCATCTCGGAAACGTTTACGAGCGTTCTGTCCGACTCGACTACTGCTTGCGGCTCTATGCTCCCCCACGTCGTCATCCTCTGAAATTGGATCGCTGATGATATCATCTCTCTTAGTTGGTGATATTGTCGGCGCCCGTTGTGCTTGTCTAGAAAACATAGTTACTAGATCTGCACTCTTATCTTTTTCTGCCCGTTTGCCCTTCGTGAAGGACCGAGTCTTAGGTTTTTCAGGGCTGGTACTAGCGCTCTTGAGTCCATTATTACTCGATTGAAGAGACTTTGACGTTTGTTTCGGTTTCGAAGGTTGTGAGGCTAGGGTACGTGACGTCTTTCTCACTGGGCTGGGTGAGGTGGGTGTAGCTCGAGAGATCCCTGCGGTGGTGTTTCGTTGTTCAGGTGAAGAGAATAGGTATTGGCTAAGAACGTTTGTCTTTGGTTTCGGTTCCTCTTCATCGTCCGAAGAAGCTTGCACGATATTTCGTCTCCGACGCTTCGTAGGCGGCGCCATGACGGTAAGAGAGGTAACGGGGGCACGGCATCTGCTAGCGATTATGGTATTTAGTGGAATTGCTCACATTGAATGGAGAAGCGACATGTATTTTCAACCAATCTTGCCGTTTTTGTCAGATTGAAGTTGACATTGATATCGGCATTGACATTGAGAAGTATAAATTAAAATTGGTTATAGAGAGGAAAGTGTTTGCTATTCGCCAGAGAGAAAAGGATAGTGCGGCTGATAATTCGAATTTACTTTGTACGTGCTTTCCGTCATATCCAATCTAATGGAACCTTCGTCGCGGCAGAGCCCTGGAGTTTCTGGGGTAGGCGCGTCTTTAGGGATCCAACCCACCATAACTTCCAAGGTTAGGATGCGACATCATGTGATCAATTAAACTTACATGTCGAGTATCGAATTCATGTACTGAAGTATTTATCTCAGTTTATTATTATATGCGTCGATTATATCAAAGCAATAGTTGATAGTTATTGTTTTGTTATTGATGTTCAATCCAGCAATTTACAATTTTCCATTCTTATCCTTTTCCCAGTCATTTTGTCATTCTGTCACACAATCCTCAAGCGCCACATATGAAAACTCCGAATTAGTATACATCGCACCCATCGCATCCATTCTTCAAGAGATCGTTCACTTGTGAGTTACCTTATGTCATAATTCATAAAGTCGGAAACTACAACTTTTGGAGGCATTGACCGTCTGTTTCTTTTTAAGTAAACACCCAGCCTTGGAAATCGTCAACAAATCGTATCGCGGAATTCAGGTACCGATTATGTACGTCTCCCCAAGTCATGGCTGCTTCCTTGATAGCACGGACAACTATATAGTAAGTTAGTACATGATCAATTTACTCTAGGGGCCTAAAAAGCAGCTTTACCTTTGACGAAGTGAGAGTCGGTGGCAAATGAACCATTCAATGCCTTCTCTTCCACATAATCCCATTGCGTCTGGCCACCGTCTCCGATATAGTCAGGATCGATTTTCGGACGAAGTATAGCGATGTAGACAGCTATCGCAAATAGCCACCATTGTCTAACTAGGTTGATACGATGCTCGTGTGGGATGAGTGGGAGCAGAATTCTGACAGCGTGACTCGTCGTAAGTATATGGCACAGGAAGAAATTGTACGAGTGAGTGCCGTTTGGGACTGTCGCAATCACGACGGCAACCGCTGCCTCCTGAGACAGTTGGAAATCTTTCACCGGGTCATCGAGACTCCACGCGTTCCAGTACTCCAGTACAATGTCCTCATGGTTGTTGAATAATGGCTCTATATTCTCAGCTCCAGAGCTCTTGAAGACTCCGTTTAGACGATTGTCGTCTGCCAATTTGTGCAATAGTTCCAGTGGCGAAGATGCCTTGATCGAAGAGGGTTTCGAATACGAGGGGTTGTCAATGTATTTATGAAGGAAATTATACTGCGTGGCGGTCATACCGAGAGCCTCCATGGCAATTTCGCGGCTATCCACCTCAAAAGCATACGCTAGGTGGAGGAGAGAATGGCCAACTAATGCAGTTAGTTCACTCTTATAAGTGATTACAGTTCATGGTTTATAGGTTAAACGTACGGCCTCCGAAAAGACCGTTCACTAGCGGTTCCTTTCCTTCATACAAATATTCCTCCACGACGCCTTTCCACTGATAGTTGTGTCTCAATACCAGAGCATCTTCGAAGAAGTCAACGTAGGCACGTTGGTAGTTGGGATCTCCGAGGAAGTCTTTCCAGTCATCCTGGGTTATTTCGGCCGGGGATGGTGTCCACGGCTCGAGTTCTTGAGCTTCTGCATCGTAAATTTTGTGCAAATGGTCAACATCTGCGCCGAGAATATAAGCAGAGGCAAGAATATGCGGCATGTGATTATGAAACTCTAAGCCGTGATAGAGGATAGAGTGGTTCACATGGTTTGCCCTCAGTAAATGCTTCAGTGTTCTCGGTCGTTTCTCAGGCGCCGTCTCCACACTGTAAACCTCAACAGGTGGGATGTCAATCGTCTGGGTTTGGCCGTTGTTTGGAACCATTCGGTTCACGATGGGAACGTAAGACAGTATTGAGGCCATATTGAGCTTCACATTAAAACATCACAACTTTTCTGCTATCTTGAAGAGGAGGTGGCGGAATGGAAATGACGTAGTATTAATAGGAATCTATACGAAGTATGATTTGTAAAAGGCTACTTATTAGAGGTATGCATTTAATCGAGGACCTCGAAATGGGAATATCGTTGTACTGAATCTTTGTGATTATGTAATGATAACCAATAGAGTTTAAGAGCTCATTAGAAGACAATGATGAAATATCTAAAACCAAACTCTTAATATTATATTCTTCAAGTAAAACAAAAACTCGCTACCGAATGACAGCATAAAGAATTCCTCAAAGCCGAAGTCAATTCCGAGACTGGGGAACACTGCGATACAAGCATGTATTTGCTAAGTAAATAAAATAGAAACTCTCCACTTTGGTCTGTGCATATTCGAAAATACTTACACTATATTATCAATCACGCCAGAACTGCCGAGACGTCCTCAACAAATTTCTAATTTCTAATCTGCAATATGAGTGCGTCGCAACCAATCTTAATCTACGCCGAACTTCTAGCCAATATACGCCAAGTCTCCGTTGTATGCCTATTGCCTACACCAAGTCGGGAGTCAACTAGTGCTATTATCTCATCTGATAGCTTAGTGTTCACAATTCACCACGATGATATAGAGACATCTGTCCGTCTTCCAGGAAAACTCAATGTATACAGCCCGCCCCGAGAGCAAATACTGCCACAACAGAAGTTAGGATCGAGATACCTTCCCTGGAGGTTACCTCTAGCAACTACCCCAGGACACTATGCCGTATCTGCGTTAGAGGACCAGACCGTTCCATGGTCTGCGAATGATCTCCAACCTGAGTCATCTGTTACATGCAGAACATGTCGTGCTCCAATTGTCGAATCTGGTACCATAAAAGTATGGAAAGACCTCCCAAGTGAGAATTGGGCCGAAATGATGGAATTCTGGCACTGCCATAAACCTCACGACCATGGACACGGACATGAACACGACAACGATGGCCTCACTTCAAAAGGGTATGGTGCGAGTTCTAGAATCTCAGCTCAACCCGGTGTCGGGTTTGTGGATCTCACTTCATTCTTGCTATCGGAGACGGATCTTTCTGCATCTAATGTAAGTGCATTACTCAATACCTCTTCCAATGGGTATATAGAAGGTGGCCAAACCTGCTTTTTAGCTTTCAGTGGTATGGTCACCGATACTCTTACCCTAGACTGATATCATCTTCTATTCCAGTACGTAGGCGTTGGACCCTAAGCTTAAGCTATGGGATCGACATTTGCGTGCTGGAATATTCCTCTGTTTTTCAATAAGAGTTTCCTTGGACGTGGAAATTTTGGGATTATCCAGAGGTACATTTCTTGTAGTCGCCGGTCCTCTGGTTTGAAGGAATTTCCCGGGTCTGTTGTCTTAGAAGTTTTGCTAATGCAAATTTCTATAGATAATAAAAGGCCCATCTCCATTAGAGTTACACAAGGGACCTGAAAATCAAGTTGAATTGGCTAAGAATGGACAATCGCATCATTCACAAGTCGAAAGTTTACCAGTTTTCTGCAAATATTGTAAGAGTCAACTGGGAGTACTAAACAACCAAGATTCATCTGTCTCCTTGTTCAAATGGCAAATCCATGCAAATGAGCAGATTCAACGAGATATAAATAACTCTCCGAGTCTTTCTCACTGCATCAGTGCAATGCTCCTGGCAACGATGGCCCGCTCGGGCTGTTCTAAATCCATTATACTGCCGATGAAATCACAAGAGCAGCTAACCCGGGACAAGCCACAAAGCGATGAAAAACACCAGTCACTGCTAAACGTTTGGGTTTTTAATAGTAATATTACCTTCTCTTCGACCGAGGAGATAAGATCGCCCATTAAAGCAGTCAAGGTATTTTACCGTATGGTTAGTCAGGATGAAGCAGACAAACTGCTAGATTCTATGATATCGGATGTACAAGATATCACTCTGCCAACTGATGCTATCGAAAAGGTCATTGATATTCTGAGCAACAGCAATGGCTTGTTACCTCCGAATGATCGTCAGCTCAAGGAATGGAAAGTTGGTCTCTTAGAGAAGTGGGATGGAAAAGGTCCCTTAATCTCTTCGTAGGTATATTAAACGATCTAGAAAGATGTACAGAAACCAATCTGTAAATTTCAACTGCGGCAGTTTATGAAATAAGACTGCTTACGTGATACCTAGGTAGATTTACATGTAAAATTGTGTTCAAAAGTCACTCAAGTGGAAGTTCACTAATGATGTTGTTACACCTTGGTTGTATTAATTTCTCCTATCCACCCCCTATGTCCATCACCATGCCGCCATGCAAGTTCATAAAATAGCAAGAGTTGCTCTCAAAGCAGTAAAGTCTGAAATCACAATGGATTGCAAGGCTGGTATTTTGGAAATAGGTTTCTTTTGACTAATGCACAGGGTGTTTATAAACACGGGTAGAGGGCCCAAAGGAAATATTTCTCATGCGCCATGGAGTATCTGTCTAAACCGTCTTGTCTATTGAGTCTTGGTAGACACAATTCCTAGAAAATGGTTAGCATAACTCTAATGTAATAGTTGATTGATATGGACGGAACCGCGAAACTTACTCTCTACGTCAGCGACGCTCTGTTGCAGAATCTGCGCAAGAGACTTGGGGCTCTCGAGCTCCTTCTTGACCTTGGCAATGATGCTCTCGGCCAATTCCCTTTGCTGGCGCTGCTTGACCTGGCCCTCGTACCTCACCCACGAATCCAAAACGGCCTTAGCCTCGTGCGCCAGAGCGGTGGTCTGCTCGAGCTCGTAGGCCTGAGCCTCGAGCTTGGCGGTCTCCTTGGAAACCTCGAAGAGAGACTTGGTGATGTCGACGACGCCACCCATCTGCTGGACGTTCTCGATGCGGTTCTTAACGGCTCGGGTGTGGTCGGCACGCGCGGAGTTCAGGATGTTCTTTATCTTCGCGTTCTGAGCCTCCGCCCACTCCTTGTACATGGGACCACCGTACTTGATGAGAGCGGCCCAGACGCTGAGCAGACAGAAGGCGACCACGGATTCCTCGTTCACGACATAGTACTCGTTGCTGATGGCGTAGATAGAGAGACCGGCAGCGGAGGACAAGATGGCGGTCTTGGAGACGAGCGAGTTGCCGGGTAGAGCATCGATGATTGATTGCGCCTTCACCTTAGGCTCGGGGACGTTGGAAGCAGGTCGGGTAGTAGTTGAGGAAATTGTGACTGCGGGAAGAGCTCGCGAAACAATCGACGGTCGCAGACGGGCGGCCCCTGCAATTAGGGATGAGCTTTTAAACACTCAATTGAATTCATGAGTAGTATGTTCTAACTTACCGACGGCACGGGTAGCCAAACGGGAGGCCATTGTGAGGATATAACGAGAGAAGGCGGCTTCGGGTGAGGGGAGATGTAATTCTTTATTTCAATATTAAAGAGGAGCTTCGGAATTGATGTCGATGAGGTTTTAACGGAACTCGCACTTTCCCGGTCTGCTAGGTTCAACGGGCAACAAGCTTCTTTGATTGGCTGTCAATGCACGTGATTAGCCGATTGTGCCCCACCTCAAACTCAATTTTCTAGGTTTAGGTACGGTACCTACGTGGTCAGCCTTGCATGGTTCATTTCTCGAGGCTGTTGACAATTTAAACTTTTTTTCTCTCTTTTCTTATTACAACTTCTACTTCATCACTACTCCGACCAATTTCGCGAAAATGTCTGGAAAATTTGGTGAGGAGTCTCTGAAGAGGAAACGATCGAAAGCCCCAGTAGAATCCAAGAAACGATCTAAGGCAGAGGATAATGGCAGTGAAGATGATTCCGACCCCCAGGCCGAGATTCTCCTACTCGAAAATGCAATTCTAGAGTCGAAGAAGAATTACAATAACATAACATCACTACTTGAACTCGCACAAAATGATGGCGACAACGAAGGCGATGACGAATCCATCCAGCTTGCAATGGTTTCATTGTGTCGAGTATTTCTGCGCCTACTTGCATCGGGAAATATGTCTAGACGGGATGGACAATCGGATAAGGACATCGTAGTCATTCAATGGCTCAAGAAGAGACTTGGAGATTATAAAAAGATTCTTCTCTCTAATTTCGACCAAGAGGAATCCGCATCGACTGCTCTAACTTTAGCTATGCGCATCTTACAAGCCGAGGGCAAGTACACGAATGACAAGGACGAATCCAACTTTCCCAAGGCTTTCTTAAGAGAAATAGTAGGTGCACTTGTTCGGGACGGCTCTGAGGATATTAGACAAGAATTTTGTGAGAAGTTCTTGGCTGAATATGCGGATATACGGTTCTATACTTTTAAAACGCTGAAGTAGGTGGTTGGCTTCCGTCGAAATCTCGATGATTTTGCTAACGTCCTTGCAGAGATATCCTGTCCGTTGACTCTTCTGAATCGTCCGACGAGGACTTGTTTGATAATGCATTTGACTTGCTCTCCTTCTTCGAAGATATCCCGGATTCTGCAGAAGATATGAGCCAGTTCTACGTTGACGCGCCTAAGAAAAAGTCTGATCCCGTCAAGTCCCTTAATCAACATAAGAGGCAAGCCCAAGAGGCATGGCTAGCATTGTTCGCTCTAGACCCTAATCGGGAGCAAAGGAAGAACGTGCTTCAGATCATAACCAAATCTATAGCCCCATGGTTTACCAAACCCGAGCTTTTGATGGACTTCTTGACAGACTCGTATAACTCAGGAGGCGCAACTTCACTCTTGGCACTTTCGGGAGTATTCTATCTGATACAAGAACGAAATCTAGATTATCCGTTGTTCTATCGGAAATTATACTCGCTGCTGGATGCAAACATCCTTCACTCAAAGCATCGGTCAAGGTTTTTCCGATTGTTGGACACGTTCCTGTCTTCTACGCATCTTCCCGCCGTCCTTGTCGCAAGTTTTATCAAACGGATCACTAGGTTGTGCCTCAATGCGCCCCCTGCCGCCATCGTCGTAGTCATACCCTGGATTTATAATCTATTCAAGAAGCATCCGCTTTGCACGTTCATGATGCATCGCGTACCAAGGACTCCGGAAGAGAAAGAGATCTTGGAAAATGAAGGGATGGCAGATCCGTTCATCGCCGACGAAGAAGACCCAATGGAGACGCGCGCCATTGATAGCTGCCTGTGGGAAGTGGTTCAACTACAGTCGCACTATCACCCGAACGTTGCGACCATCGCGAAAATAATATCGGAGCAGTTCACTAAGCAGTCATACAATATTGAGGATTTCTTAGACCACTCGTACAGTAGCGTAAGTTAATCATGCCGCCGGCTCGCCCATCAGTTCCCTTTTCGCTTACGAATCTCTAGTTACTCGATGCGGAACTTTCCAAGCAAGTAAAAAAGGCTCCTGTTGTGGAGTTCATGATACCAAAGAGAGTATTCCTCCCACAGGATCCAGCCTCGGGGACGGAGGACAGCCTTCTAGCCAAGCTCTGGGACTTCCAGTGATCGCCGGTCAGACGTTTCGTATAGCCTAGAGCTATGGGGACCACGTCAGGATAACCATCAGGATAGCTTGAGATTCTTGGCAGAAGGCTTCATAATCAACACTGTTAAGTCTACACACTATAGCTATCGGACCCGATATTGATTACGCCATCTTTTTCAATGGATTCGATGGATAGTCAGATAGTCCTTCGGGGTCGATGCCGAAAGGGAAAAGAACGAGATCGTCTGGTTACGAAGCCACCCTCACCGCTCCGACTGGCTGCGTCGCCACCGTCGCCGAGCCCTGTTTTTTAAGGTCGAATTCTCGAAGTATGTACTCTGTACCGTTGGGTTCTTTTTTTAGGGCCCTCAACGGCTTCACGCGACTCCGTGCTACCACGGCCATATTACTTAGGTACACCAACGCAAGGTACGGAATGACAATCTGCTGCGCATCGTTCGATTTGGAATATGCTTCGACGCGCAGCCTCAAACTTCCATCTTGCCCTACGTAACGCGAAAGTGGGGAAAGCACTATTTCAGGTGTTCACGTTGGGCGAGAAATACGTTTCAGAATGCTCACGTTCCGACGAGATGAGTGGCCGAAAATGCCAGGAAGGATTCAACCAACATGTCGAGTATATTATCCTTTTAAGAACTTGCCTGTTCTGAAGACAAGCCGCACCTAAGTACATGGTTTTTCTCGGACTATCGGGGCTACACCGCCATAATGGCTGACGCCTAACCCTGAATTTAACTTAGTGGGAAAAATACGAATCTCAGATTCGGCTTGGCAGACACGGAATTGACAATTGCAACAAAGACGACGAAGGCAGACGAAGAAGAAAAAAAAAACTTCGATATCGCTTTTTCCCATTGTGTGACAGCAGATTTAGATATGACTCACTCCCCCAATCCCCGATTTAGGCATGTTACAAGAAGTTACAAGCAAGTATCGGGGTTCCTGGTGGTTCGAACGTAATGTCGCATGTGGCCGGTGGAGCCAGACGGTACCTTAACAGCTTAGCTGCCATTGAAGCTGCAGGTGTCCGATGAAAGTTTAGATCTGAGAAACAGGCACTCGAAGTAGGCTCGAAGTAGGCCGATAGGTAGAAGCATTAAGACCATTTGCTTCGTCCGAAGCCGTCCACATCAACAAAATGCAAATGCAATTGCATCGAGCAAGCTGCTCCTTGGATAGGTACGCCAGGGCAGGCAAGCCTAGGGATCATCTAAAAAATCGACATTTTCATGACGAATTCTCCATCTCGCCCTGATTTCCTATCCCTTTGGGCAGAAACGAAGGTTTCGTATTTGACTATCAGTCGTAGTACTCCATACCAGGATCGAAATCCGGAAGCTGGTTGGTCGGCAAAGAAAAAAATGCCACTCACCGCCGATTACGAACTATCCCTTTTCGGCCTTGGGAGTCCCGAGCTGGCGCACATGTCTTGCACTCGGCAGGCTCAGACGAGCCAGAGAAGAGCTGTTGAAGTTTAGTGTTCTCCATCAGCCCCGAATCCGTCCTCTCATCACCATCAGATCGTACCAGAAGGGGGATGTGATCAATCTTATGTGCGAGTGGCCGCATAAAAGCCGGCCCGCTAGGTGTCACGGTGCTGCATGTGTGCAGTTCGTGCCTAACGAGGAGCTGTTCCAATCCGGGCAAGTGCTCAAGGTTTTTTTTTTCTTCGGTTCTTTTTTTTGTGCAGTTCAGGTGCAGTATTCAGGATGTGTGTGGTCGGTATCTCGGAATAAGGAACCATGCTGGCCGCGGCCATAGTCGGTGTAGGTCGCACGATTGGTTGAGCTCCTTGCTGCAACAGGGACGACCTGTTTCGTCCACACCGCGTCGCACCCACTGAAGGGTGGTGAGCTCGCTGGTGCGTCTGCGTCATGGAGCAGGGCGTTGGACGTAACGCCCAAAGCTACAGTACATAGCTACCCGCCTGCTACTACTACTGCTGCTACTGCTTGTTTTGATCTAGAATCGTCCAATTCATTCATGCTCAACCCGGTTTATTGTACATTGATACTCGATACTCGATACTCGACGTTGCGTATATCGCGGGTAGGGGAAGTAGACAGGCAGACAAGCAGAAAACACGCGCCGCGACAAGCGTGGCCTGGTTCATGGGCTTCTTTTTCAGCCGACCCGCAAGAGGATGCATAACTCACAGCCAATCACTCAGGCGAGGCGAACGAACATTAGGAACAGTAGCAGTAGCAATTGAATAGCACGTGCGGTTAAAGCATTCCCTCGAGCTCCTTGCCTCGGATTGAAACGAATTAAGAGCTGATCACCAAGATTCTATTCGTATCGTTCAGGCGTCAACCGGATTACCTACTGTCGCCGATGACAACTTTCTTTCGCTATTTCTCCGGTTGGCTGCTCACACCTGCGAACATCCAGTCTAGAGCCCATGATCATTCAAACTATGGTCGCGGTGGCTCGGGGAAAAATGGAAAAAATACTGGTTACTGGTCCTAAGTGCTGACAGGGCTGCGATTAGTGATTAGAGGATATTCAATGTTTACAACCTATTTCCTTTCGGACATCTACTTATAAACAGAAGTCCTTGGCTTTCATCCGATTAACCGTCCCCGTGATGCCATTTTTCCCCCTAGTAAAGCCTCGAACGGATCCTCCATGAGGCGTTCATTAACTAAGCGTCGTCGGGATCGACAGCTGCGCGCCATCGTTCGAACCGGAAATTTTCTTGTTGGCCCCCATTTCCATCCCTTCGACTTAATACGGGGTGGCTGAGTACGTTTCTCGGATTAATGGTTAATGGATGTTGGTGCATTCGCGTCGTCTTGCCCAAAGACCGAGAGAGTCAACGACGCACGAGTCAATACCAACTTCGATGACCAAGATATGCAGACAATTCTTTCCCCAAAAGTGCAATTGTATATTATTATTATTTTTCTTTCCTCTCTTGAACAACAGCGATCCATCCTCCCCTCCCGAAATCGTCAATAGCGCCCATTAGACCATTAAACCGTCAGACCCTAGTCCCGGAAGACCCGCCTGTCAGCAGGGAAGGGGACCCGTCGCGTCAAACCCGTTACGTGGAAATCGAGGAGTTGGACCCATCGTCTGTGCTCAATCTTCCATAACTTAGCCCTTATTATTCTCTGAGCCTTGACTATTTTTAACGATATTTGACAAAAGATCGTCTTCACCGCAAGAAGGCTTCGCGATTGAACCAACCATCCACATATATCAAACTAGAATTGAAATCCTTTTATCAGACTGAGTCATATGAATTGCGAAAAAAGGGTGAGAAGGGGAAAAAGGGTTGAAGGATTTCATATAGGCGACGCCGAACGGGAAAGAGGATATTCCAAAAATCGGTTGAATCTGTCAATCTGCCAATCTGCCAATCTCCAATCCCCAAATCCCTACCTATAATCTCCATACAAAGTAACCGACGAGATGCCGACAAGTTCCAAGGCTTCCAGGGTTCCAAGGTTCCAAGGTTTCGTAGCAAAAAAAGAGTCGCGCCCAAAGCATGGACCAAGGAAAAGATCGACCCCAGGCTCCCGGTTTCGCTTTAACCTGACACTTGGGTATCGTACACCCGTCGTCCCGTTCCGAGATCTGAACGTGGAATGACATGGTACCGTATGGAGGGGAAAGGGTTGTATGCTGTAGCAAGTAATCTTTGGACGGCCGCGCCGATGCAATCATCATCAATTCCGGTCGCCGCTGTCGTAACTACCTCGTGATCTACTTGTCACTGTCATTGTCAAATGTCAAATATTCAAATGTCAAACCTCTCGACCCGGGACATGATGGAGACGGACGCCGCATCGCTTCTCCGCGGTTCTAGGGATATGCTGTAGTCGGTGTTTGCTTTCACATCGAGACGTAACAGGCGGCCATGTCATGGCTGTAAGAGCCGCGGATGCACAAGTCGCTGCTGTTCAGGCTGCAATCTTTTTTTTATGTTTTTATGTCTTAAAAGAGCTCAGGCGCGGTATACTATACGCCTTCAGTACAAACAACAGCATGGTTATCAGGTTAGCAGCAGTCCTGGTTGGTCATGGTCAGGTGACACCGGTCGTAGCAAAGAGGGCATCAATATCTGATCTGGGTATCTTGAGCGTCTGAGTGTCTGAGTATCAGAGTATCAGGGTATCAGGGTATCAGGATGTCAGGATGTCAAGGGTATCAGGGTATCTTGGGTATCTGAGTACTGAGTATCTGAGTATCCGTGTGAGTTATCTTTGAACATCCTGGGTCTCGAGTGTCTCCAGTAGGATCTCGGGGAAGCCCATCGCGTTTTTGTATGGCGCAGCTCCTCCCGTGCGTCTCGAATTATAGCTAGACGGATATTCGTCATCGAACAGCGCCCATCACCTCGACCACTTAACAATTTCTTGGGTTAAGCTAAACTACCTAGTACTCCAGAGACAGTCTTGTCTATGTACGGCTCGGGAAGCGACCGTCGCCATTGAAAGCAAGAAACTAACTAGTCTGTCTATTGTATCGACCGATCCGGTGGACTCGTAAGAGCGAGAGTGCCTAGCAAAAACGATCTTTCATCACCCCACCACGTCCTCTGCTGAGCAATAGGATGCCCAAGAAGCCATCCAGAGGCTGTTAGTGGACATTAGATGGGTGCTCGTGGGCGTTCTGGGTGCATGGTTCAGGGCTTTAGGTAGCAATTGAACCGACTGAACCCAAGGCCGTCGATGCCCAACCTCGGCAGGGCTAACAATTTTGACCTATAAGCCTTTAGCTCTTTCGTAAACACCGTTTTCCCTTTCCAAGCATCAATAATCCTCCGTTTTGGTTTAGTACCAAGGTAGCTTCTCCGTCGATCTACTCCATCCCGTCCGCATAGGGAAGATCTTTCACCACTCTATTTGCTCCGAGCTTGTCCAGTCGGGGGAAGTGGGAGTGCGGATGGGGTCCATGCGGGCGTCGTTCTACATACGAATACAGATTTCTACCGTTCTACAGATCATACCTCTACGCAGAGTATGTACACAAATACCTACCTACAGACATACAGACAGACAGACAGACACCATAGTAGGTACATACCTACATACACCTACATACATACACCTACATACACACACAGAACATTACAATGATCCGCTGCCCTACCGTAACAAGAGCCCATACATCCCATACATAGTAGCTGCAAGTTTGGTGGCACGTATCCCAGTGGCTGGAAGAACAAGCTATACTATCGTACTATCTCCTTAGTCAAGGGACTTGTAAGCTTCCCGCGTACCTAGCACGCAAGAGAATCCACTCCAACCGTTATAGCTAGGCTATCTATCTTCTCTCTCGCCGTGTCGTCTTAGAGGGCCAAGTTTATCCGTCGCACAAGACTATTCGGGGAGAAGATAGGAAGAAGAGGGCAAAAAAAAGAGAAAAATACATACAAAAATACAAAAAGACAAGAGAAAAAAAAGAAACGGTGCGAAAGGGAAAAAAACGGTGGACCGATGGATGGACGATGGGCGATTAGCTCTTCCTTGGCTGAGGATCACCAGTGAACCGGAACAACTTCCATCTCGCTGCCACACACCCCCGTACCGTACCTACAGGGACCATACCCACGTCCCTCCCACACCATTCCACGAGCGAACCCAAGCATAGAAAAGATGCCGTTCGTCAGTTGGTAAGTACTAAGTCTCATGGGCTCTTCCTTTTCCCCACCGCGCTCTGAATGACAGTATTTCTGTGAACCCCCCGGTCTCCTTAGCCCACAAGAACCCACACAGATTTCCATAGGAGTCAAGAAACCTGACATCTCTTTCTTTAAGTACGACTGCCATCCCTCCACCCCCCATCAATATCGCCCCCCCGACCATAAGGAATAACTTATAAGAAAAACATCTGGATTGCTGTTGAGATCGTTTAATCACGCGATAACCAGCGACATCTATTACAACCACATCTCATCCCTTCTTTCTCTACGACCCTTCTGTTTTACATAAACACATCTTTGTAAGACGGATCCAGACCGCGAACATACATTATACTTTATACTATTACTACCTACTATTTCCGAATTATCTCATATAGCTGGAAGAAGTTGTAAGTAAAGAAAGATTGTTTCATTGTGTAGTAAAACACACACATTCTCCTTCACCTTTTCTATTTTCATATAATTCTTTTTTTTTTTCAATTTCTTTAGAAAAGAGAAAAGGAAGAAAAAAAAGAAAGAGAAAAAAAGAAAAAAGAAAAAAAAGATTGCCGGCTCTCTCCTCTTCCCATCCCACCCTGCAAGTCTCCCCGCCGCCACACACGCCGCCAATACTACTACTACTACCTACTACCATCTTACCATTACACCTCCAAATCCGACCAACCTCTTATCGGCTTCCCGTACATACATGACTGCAACATTCCCCTCCCCATTGTCTCTCCATTAGCACTTACACATACATCCTTCCCGCATACATACACACACAAACGCATATCCTCTTCATATACACACTCATAACACAACATTGTTCTTTAATCATCGTCTCAAAACTTGGCTATAATTCCGAGTTAGGACTCGATTTTACATAACGGAACAAGAGGAGAGAAAAAGCAAGAAAAAAAAAGAGGCTTATACCGCTTAATACCAACGACCAACTACCCGGCACTAGTCGTATTCTATAATTATTCACCGCTCGATGCACTAACAAGAATCAACCCTGCAGAGCAAGACGGACTTCTTTCGACTATATTGTACACAACCTGCAGAGCTCCTGACTCTCATTTCTCTTCTCCCAAGACATTTTCATACACACTTTTACCCTCCACACCACACACACAAGACCAGCAATGGTCTCAACATTTCAGATGCAGGCCTTCTACCGGCCGAATCACCTATCGGTCGACACCAACCATGCACAGAAGTACTTTGAGGAAGAGGACCAGATCCTCGACGACAACATACTTGACAGCAGTGGGATGGACTCGGGGTTAGAGTTGTCGCCGCCCATGGCCGGGAGCCGAAGAGATTCGTTCGCCGTGCCGGGATCGATATTCTCGCCCAAGACGGAAGTGGGGGATTGGCAATCCGTCGACATGCAGTCGGTGCCTTCTAATAACCCCTTCCTAGAGCCCCAGAACAACAACCCGTTCACGAGAGCTGACCCGCAGGCCGCATACGGCTCGCAAAACCAGCAATGGATGGGACAGACCTCTGGAACCTGCACACCGCTACAGTATGACGGCCTCGAGACTGCGTTCGACAACAACCAGTCTATCTTCCAACGACCTCTTCAGATGCAAACCCCCTTCAGCAACCCCGGACACCAAGTACCTCTCTTCTCCACCGTCGGCCCCAACAACTCGTCCATCCAAGCCTCATCAGACAAGGACTGGATGGGTCAGGACTTAAAAAACCAGTCTCTCGCCAAGCGCATGCGGCCGGATACGCCGACGATCAGATCGCATAACGAGCTTCGGCGCGGCGACGGCATCCGTAAGAAGAACGCGCGATTCGACATACCGGCGGAGCGCAACCTCGGCAACATAGATCAGCTCATCGCGTCGACGACGGACGAGCAGGAGATCAAGGAGCTGAAGCAGCAGAAGCGGTTGCTGCGCAACCGACAAGCGGCGCTCGACTCCCGGCAGAGGAAAAAGATGCACACGGAGAGGCTGGAGGACGAGAAGAAGCACTTCACGACCGTCATCAGCTCGATGGAAGAGGAGATGAACGAGCTTCACATGAAGCTGGAGCAAGAAAGACGCGAGAGGGAGTACCTGGTGGCGCACGTCGAGAACTTGACCTTGGAGAAGGAAGAGTCGATCCGGAATCACACGATCGAGACCGGCGACCTGCGCAAGAAGATCAGCGTCCTCACCGACCACGTCCAGAGGCTCGAGCACGCCGCCATGCCCAGCAACACTGGCTACGGCAACGGCTTCAACGACATGGACAGCCTGACCATGGACACATCCTGGGACGGCATGGGATTCATGAACGAGTTCCCCATGGAGACCGACGTCAAGCAGGAGCTGCAGATCGTATCCCAGAAGAAGCCCGAGGTGTCGCTACCTTCCGACGTCGAGAAGTCCAGCACCCAAGGCGGCCTGTTGTTCATGCTCTTCCTCGTCGGCGCCTTCGTCCTCTCCAACAGGTCGACGCCAACCATCCCGCGCGTTTCCGAAGACGTGCGCGAGGCCTCAGCCACCCTTCTCAACAACATCTTCAAGGATGCCGGCCTCCCCAACGGCGCCGAGAACGCCATCGTACCCGCAGGCCCTCAACCCTCTGGCGCCGCTGACTGGACGTCTAGCGCGTCAGTGCCGATGGCCAGCGGAAACATGGAGGGCGTTGCGCCTTCGATGCTCGGCGACCTAGCAGACTCGCTGACGCAGCCGACGCAAGAGCAGACGAACGAGCAGATCTTCTCGCTGACGCCGGCGCAATACAACGGCGTGACGTCGCAAGACTTCCTACGCTCGCCGCCCCCGCAGCGGTCGACGAGCCAAGGACGTCGCAACCTTGCCGAGGCGCTAAGCAACATGCGCAGCGGCGGCACAGAGAAGCAACAAGGCGCGGCAGAGGTGTACACACGGTCCTTGCTCTGGGACCAGATACCCGGCGACGTCGTCCGCAACTTCGCCAAGATGGTGGCCGAGTGCAATAGCGCCGGTCAAACAGCAGGCGGCGGCGGCGATGCCAACTCATGACGAATTTTACGAAGACCCACGACGAAAAAAGAACGAGACGCGACATCACAACAACAAGAAAATTTCATGCAGTTGGTGACGAAATCACTTTCCACAACTGGCACACGTTTATGAATCACACGAGAGACCGAACAACAACAAGAACGACAGCGACAGCAACACACAACTTCATTCCTATATTCATTTTTTTGGTTCCCCCCAATCCGTATCTATTTTTCTCTTGTTGGTATTTTTACATTTTTATTCGTTCATCGGTTTTTTATGCCTCACTACGCGGCGTATCAACCAACCCTACGACTACTACTACTACTTTTTGTTCATACACTACAACTACACTTTTTTCGTCTTTTACGACTTGGTGCTCTCGCGCGCACGAAACCCAAAATCAACAGATCCGACGATGCTCACGCATACCGAAACGAACTATGACTATTTTCTATTATCATCATCCGTCATCATCTATTTTGTCTCTCTCCCATCATCTATCTATCCGCGCAATCATTTATTTGTCGACACTTTAGCAAGCGAAGCCAGCATTCATCGTCATTTTTTCCGATCTGATTTTTTAATCTTAACCTTCGTCTGTCCCATTTATTTCTTGGAAAAATCAACAATCAAACGACTCTTCCTTCACTCACCACGAGTATGGAAATTGCTCTTGTTGTTTATTCTTCCAAGAAAAAAACAAGCCCGATATTTTGTTCATCGGCACCACTTAACGTTATTTTTGCATGGCGAAAATGGGTCGGTCATTGGGATGGGGGTGGGAAAGGGGAAGGGGGGGTGGGCGGTGGCCCGGAACAAGGGGGGGGGAGGGTGGAAATTGGCATGCTGTAAGCCCTGGGGATTCGTCGAGGCTACACATTTTTCATTGTACAACGTTCAAATGGGATCATTGGGAACTTGGGGCAGAGCCAGTGCGGCATCTGCGATGGAGGCCTTTTCTCTTTTTTATCGGGGGACAGCTGATTGATTTTTTATTTTCTTTGGTTATTATCTTTTTTCTACTTCTTCTTTCCTCCTTTCTTACACACTTCTATTCATGTTACCGCCGTCCCAATCTTCGTCGACATGTCTCCGCCAAGTCGGTAGGCTCTCACGAAGGTGGGCGGGGTTTCATAGCCGGCTTACTCGTCTCTTGGGGGGAAATCGGATCGGGATAACGTCTCACGACATAATAGGGTTGATTTGTAGTTTGCCCTACTTGGAACTCCCCGACAGGGTTGAGACTTAGTAGGCTTACGAGAGCGATCGAAGTCGTGGGACTGTTTACTCACCCTTTCTTACATTGTTTTCCCCTCGTTTCGATTCAAGCGGCAGCGATTATTTAGGCCTGGGGCGAGGGCGGTTTGGTTTATTGGTTGGAGTGAGAATCATCCATCATCATACGAGAATGACGAAGACATGTCACGGACGAACAGCACACAGGAAGGGCAGTCAAGAGACAGGCAGCTTTTAACCCAAGTAGCTGAAAAGGGACACTACTACTACTACTATTACTACTTTATTATTGGGAACAGCAAGCAAGGCAAGAGAGAGAAGAGAGGGCAAAGCACATTTAGAGGCCAACCCATCATCATCACCCATTGCGGTTGTTTTGTTCGTCTTATTAGTTCAGCTCAGTTCAGCTCATCAGTCAGTTTTATTAGCGAAACGTCTAAGACGAACATGAAAAACCCAGCAAAGCAAGCAAAGCAAAGCAAAAACCAAACAAATATGAAAACTACAATGATCCCCCAAAAAAGACCCAACTATTTACTCTCGCTCTTCTTCTCCTTGTCTTATGATCTCGACTTTAGTGGATGATGCGCCTCTTCTCTTCTCGTTCTCTTTCTTCTGTCCTCGCTTCTCGTTACTCGCTACTCGCCCTTAGCCTAGTTACAAGTAAATGAAAATAAATTCCAATCAAATAAACGACCGTCGCCTAAGCACTGTAGTCTGTAGCATTGTATGTATTTTGTAGCGAGTAGATTGTGAGTCGACTTATGCCGAAGGAGCATATGCACGATACGGATACATTAGGTTAGAAATGTGAGATCAGATGGGGTGCTTCCACTTTCCTAAACCAGTTATACTACTTCGCTAAACTAGCCCATCTTAATTAACGCATAGTGTTTTTTAAAACCATCAATATATGGTTTGATTTCATAAACATTTAATTATTAAAACATTTATAAAATTAAACGATTACTCGCATTTAAACGTTATATATTTTCAAACGTTGGAAAAAAGTTCAACGTTTCTTTCAAATAAATGTTTGGCGATAGCTCGAACTATTCGAAGTCCCTGATCTGGTGTGTGTAACCCTTTCAGTACTTTGATCTTGTTGTTTTGATCTAATCCACCTACCTTAAGTCTATATAAGACCTTGATCCCACCCACCTACCTTCAATCCTTCTTCTTCTTCTTCATCTTCAAAACCTCCAAGTCTTTGAAGAAGTCTACCCACCCCATATACACCAGGATCGCCTCCAGGATCTCCAGCCTATCCGATTTGCCAGTGACTTGAGGCTCAACTCAACTGCGGCTCTTGCAGGTAGGTAGGTAGGTAGGTAATCCTGCAATTGTAGAAATCGTAGAAATCGTAGATAGCCTCCTACATACGTAGGAGGCCTCGTAGAAGGCTAGATGATTCAACCTGATCTGGCCCGTTTGGTTGTTGGTTCCAAAGTGAAACACTTATCCGCTAGCTCCTGTAGCTTCCCGTCTAAGTACATCGAAGGCTTCATATCTAACGCTTGAAGATTTATTAAATGTTTAAAATTTCCAAACGTTTCGAAAGGAAGTAAACACTAATATAAAATATAAACGTTTAAATAAAAAAACGCGCAGTCGACGGTTTCTTTTTTTTCAAACGTTTGATCTTGCAAACCATCAATTGATGATGAATTAACGGTTAATTGCACCCTGCGAATCTTTGTACAGTATGCGTACCTCTACTGTCCCTTCCTTTTTGACTAGCTACTACCTAGTGTCATTCTTATCTAATACCACATACAGAGTACCTAGGTAGGTATGTTACAGGTACATACGGGTCCTATCCCTCCCTATGCCGCCCACGGTAGATATACAGCGTACATCCAAGTACCTACATACATCATGTAGGCTAATTAATTTGTTTTCTTGGAGTAGTTCGCTGCGCCCCGACCCGGCGTGCACCAGTAGCATGACAGAGAAATAGTAATAGAAGTCGCACCCTCAACAATGCCCGATCCCGATTCGCTGACTTTTTCTTACCTTTACGGTAGACCGTAGGTGGGTATGAGCCAATGAGATGTCCGGGATATATCTAGTATCCATACTATCCATTCCCTACCCCCCCTTCTCCCCTCAATCGAACTAATAATAATACCTAAAGAAAGGAAGAAAGAAAGAAAAAAAAGAAAAAAGCCGACTTTGCGCGCTTATTGGAAGAATGATCCTGTAAGCTTCTTCTCCGCCAAGACATTTTCTATGCAGCTGAGCTCACATGGGCTATTGCTTGCGCGTTCCTATTCTTTTTCTTCGACTGCTTTGGACGTTACGGATTACGCTCTTTATTTTTTTGAGTCTTCGAGAGAATACGCGCATCGAGTTTTCCACGTATTCCCGAATATTCAATGTCTTATGAGACTACCTACCTACCTATTAGTCATAGTTGGTATATCTATGGCTGATATATGGTTCGAGGCCTGTGAAAGTGGCCGTCACGGCGCATATTATATGAATATTCCAAGACAAGAGGTAACGGTGGATGGGTAACAATACGGACTAGTAGTCAGGTATGACAAAGCGTTCGTGTGTTCGTCTGTATGTCGTGTATCCCATGTCTCCCATGTCTCACTTCTTTTTAAGATATCCAAATCTAGATGAAAAAAGAGATAAATAGATAAAAATATCCCCGAAAAGAACAAGATCAGATTAGCAAGCTCAGGCATGACCTCACCCCCTTCATCATGATCATCATCTACTACTAACAGCACCGACGCGCCCACATGCTGTCTCAAACACGGGACTCCGGGGGAAGCATGCAGTTTGGGTGGGTGGTGTTCACGCGAGACAGGTTTACGGTCCGGTCGAGCAGAAAGGGGTGGTAGATTACGAGGGGTTGGTTGATCTCGTGGTTGACAGCTGGCATCTTCCCCATTCCCATTCCCCCATCTCTTTCCCCAATCCGTCCATTCAGAATCCCGTCCGTATACCTACCTAGGGTAGATATGCACACACAAGCTTCTCCCTACAGTAGCGCAAAGTACCTTACCTAACCAAGCCAAAGCCTGGCCAGACTGACCTCGAAGGTTGGTACGGTAGGTATGAACGTATGTATTTAAGATCACAAGTGAGATCGGAATACGGATGTTCGCATCTGCGCATCTACTACCGGTATAGGTAGGACCTTAGCTTTTAGGTCTGCCTGCTCTGCCTTGGTAGGTAACCACGACTCCCTAGGTAACTAACCTCCATCGATCATCGCAAACCTCACGATGACGATATAGCTATATTATGTAAACATACCTAGTAGAGCAGGCATAGTTACCAACTCTATGCTAAAGTAGGTATCTATCTTAAGCACGTAAACGGAAAGGCACAAAAAGCGTTGCATCATCATCGCTATGCCAAAAGGTCTAGACCCCCAACCCAAGCAACAGTGACTAAGAAACACAAGCACCTGTATGTCTTCAAAATCACCAATGCACCATCGCCGTTACATACCACCATAACCTATAACCTACCATCTATCTATCTGTCTACTAGGTATCTATCTAGGCAACTTCACCCATCCCCAAACCGTTAAACCAAACCACCTCGTCCAACGCCCTCCACAAACCAACGACCAGGCAGCCGGGAACCCGGCACGCCCCGGAGCCAGCGCCGGGGGTGCTGCTACTGCTGCTGCCACTGCTGCGAGGGAGCTAAGTTGCGTGCGCGGGTAGCTGCCTTTGCCTCTGCTGCTTGCTTCCCGTCCTGCGCAGCTGCGTACGTGCGTGCGTCCCTTAAGTTTCCGTTTCGGCGGGCGTCATGCCATCGCCCACATTCGCGTGGTACGTGTCAGGTTTCCTCTGGGCGGTTTGTCGCACACTCGGCACTTTTAATTCCCTTCTTTTTTAATGTGCATGTCCTTCTGTTTCTGCTTTTCTTTCCCCACGGGGAATGGGGAAGGCGTGGTTTCAAGCAGGAGGAGAGGATGGTGTCACGGACCTGGCCTAAGTTCTATGGATGTGATACGATGGTGGCTTGTGGGTTGTCTCGAGTAGAGTGCGGTTTTGAAGAATGTTGAGATTCATTCGCTATGAGATGGAATGGCAAGTCATGATACAATACCCAAAGCTGATTTACGGGCTCGGAGTTTACTTTTCGTGGCACGTCTGGGGAGATGGTTAAGGTGATACAGGGGCTAAACGGCGCCCGCCCAGGTGTGATTTGTAGCTATACCATCTAAGCATATATCATCTCACATATTACCCAGATCCACTGGGGGGCAACGACGCAAAGATTAAACAAAAAAAATGTATCACCACATTCATTGCCCGGTCCGTGTATGTGTTGTATCGACTTTTCTACGATTGGCATCCCTTTACCTACTTCCTATGACTCCTTTTCGTCATATAGGGGTTGATCAAGCATATGATCCCACAAGGGTCTAGATATACTACGTCGCCCACGTGCGATGTAGTATTTAGGTACGTTATACACAACGGCGCATCACGCAGCACCGGCGTTCTACGGGATCGCCAAATCGCCACAGACCTTATTTGCCTTATTCGCCTTGCCAGACGTCCCCTAGGTAAGGTAAGTTTCGCGCGCCCACTCACAGCGCACCGAACACGTCTTACAGAAACACACATTTCGCACCATACATACGAGAGAGAGGCCGACAACCCTGACGATAAGACGACAGCAGTGGAGGAGTGGTGCTAGGAAAACAGGACGTCTACGCACGAATATAACACGGGGCGATGGCGGAAGAGGAAGAAGATTGATCGAGATATCCGAGAGCGAAGGTAGGACAATGGCAGACACCGGCGGAGAAAAAAAGGATGCGCATGGTTTCGCAGCATCATGTTTCTACTGTTTCTATTTCTCCTTCGTATACACCACGCTTACACGGCTTACGCCCATCCGGGACGTGCGGCGTCTGCCCCGGCGCCACAAGTCAGGGAGCGTTGCTGATCGCTGCGCGCGATGAGACGTAAGAAAGCGACGACGTATGTAAGGCTTTCTTCATTCTTCATTCTTCATCTCTGCCTCTTCTATCTCCATCCTATCGTAAAGAGAAACCGTTATTCGCGGCGCGTTACACCAACCCGTCGTAGATACGGACTGGGGGTCTTCGGGTTATACAGATTAGGAGACAATGCTTGAGGCAAGGAGTAGTAGAGCGAAGTAGGTAACATCGCTAGGCGAAGGAACGGATGACATCGGATGGTTGATCGTCGACATTCTCCATGAGAACATATGTATTGTATCGTATCCAATGCTGATGCTGAGCTGACTGTATTTCATGCACGACATAGGAAATAAAACATCTAAACTACCTAGCAGCTTACCTATGTTCATAACGATGCAACTGCTATATTCTAAGCCTAGACCTAATCTAAGCCGTCGTAATCTACGCAAGTAAAAACAATAGCACATGTCTCCCGAGGTCCCTAACCTACAGGGTCAAAGTGCAAAAACTCAACTCCTTACCGGTCCATCCGGTATATTAAAGATATATGAAACAGAAGCAGGCTCAGTCAGCCGCATGTATTCTCCACACGGGGAAGCGAAGCTAAGTCGATGTATGGAGGGATAGGACGGGATGGACATATGGCACGAGACAACAGTATCCAGTCGATCCCAAATCATAGCCATAGCAATAAAAGGAATCTGCCTCGCCCAAGACCGCCGAGAGAAAGCAGCGCCAGCGACCAACCAACCAAGCACCCCAATTGAACCAATTCATCATCACCCTGCTGCCTTCAATACCTACTCCCTAGCATTGACAAATCCGCGCACGGCGAAACAAGCGAGAGGCGCGCTGCCGAGATACCCCAAAGTGCACATCCGTCGCATCGAATAGCCAGGTAAAAGCCGTAAGCCAAGGGAATCCGACAATCCACTCGGCGTCCCATACTCAACGGGATCTACGGCGTGCGTGAGCAAGCCACCTATCTCCTCTAACCATTCTATCTATCCAACCTAGTATCCAACCTATCCTCCCGCTTACCCACCCCCCCTTTCCCGATCCCCAAAAACACGCCCCCCAGAGCCAAAGTCCGACGAAGGGAATCGAGTTAAGTGAGTGAATGAATGAGAGGGAAAACAACCTTACCTTAGAAACATGCAGCATTCCCCCACAATCGTCGATGCATACATATGCAGAGATGATGTACAGAAGCATATCTAGGTATCTACTCGCTACTACAACCTCACTGACCCTCCTCCGACATAAACCCCACGAATAAGAAAAAAGAAAAAAAAGCAACCAGCCCGAAAAGTCCAACTTTCGTGCTCCCCCCATCCCGCCACCCCATACCCGCTATTCACTCCATCGGTCAACCCTCAAAATCTGCAAAGTACAAAAAGGAATCTGCCCTGCCTTTTTTCCAACATACCAAGAAATATATCACATACACACACCGGTGCTACAAGCTGTGCATAGGTAGTCAAAGACCCCGTATCAATTGCGCTGTGCTACCTAAGATGCCGTAATAATCGAAGTAAAGTACCTAGAAAGGCCGGAGCACCGCATGACCCAAACCAAGCCCTCAATTGACAAATGGCCATCTTTTTTTGCACCTATCCCAATATACTCTCTTACCCTATAAGCAAGCAACCCCGATCTCGCGCGGGATGCAGCTTATTTCTTGGAGTTCTTGGAGTTCGTAGGATTATACTTGTCCTTCCAAATCCTAAGCGCGGCGCGTCATTGGTTAGTAAGAGGGAACAAAGACGAGCGTTGCAATATGAGAAGTATAGACGATGTAGGTAGGTGTATGCTAGATCCGGACAAGTTCGGCAAAAAACAAAAACAAAAAACAGCTAGGAATAAAAAAAAGGAACAGCGCAGAGTAGGTAGCAGGTAAGCAGAATGGTTGGCCAGATAGACAAGTCGATAGCGTAAAAGACAAAAAGAACAGCCAGAAAGAAAAATGTAATCATCATCGACCCAAGCGCCGGCCAGCTCCGTGACTGCAACTGAGGCATTTACATTGGCCAAGGCGATCGAGCGGCCGAAGACGAGACCAGGTAACCTAGCTACCTAGGGACGAAACAAGTGGAAGAACCCAAGAAAAAGCTGGCACAGAAGCCAAAAGGCGACAATTCCCGGGTTCGGTGAAAGATGAGGCTCTGATTCGCCTGACCCCAACCCGCGAGACCCGTTTCCGCGGCCCGTCCGTCGTTGGAGAAGAAGAGGAAGAATCATCGTCGTCGAAACCCAAATAAAAAACAATAACCAAGAAACAATATCAAAAAAAGAGGAGACTTGGTTCTAGACCCCGATATAGTAGAGTAAGAATCAAAAAGGGGAAGACAAAAAGTAAGGCGAACACTTTCGCTAGTGGTGCCGGGAGCACGGAGAGCCTGTCGTCTACCTAAGGGGGGGCCACTCACCCGCGACGGCCGGGGTCCTGCAGCATTTCTCCTGTTGCTGCGCCGCCGACGCACGGGGTGGTGAGGTAGCGAAGCAGCGAAGGGGGGGGGGATGGAGATGGGTCCGTCATACGAGGGAAACCTTACGAGACTGGACGAAAGTGAGTAATGAATCGTCGAACTTACCATGTATTTCCCAGGGTCTTGTTGCCATTCTCCTCCGCCAGCCGGTAGTACCTCGCAGCAGCGTACTATAGAGCAAGCATACGGTTAGTCTCATGTGATCTCCCTTCCCCCTTTCCTTACTTAGGTAGTGCGATATGTAATATGTATGTAAGTATATGGGTATATGGCTATACGGCTATACAGAAAGGGCATGTTAGGTACGTAAGCCGCTCAGTTCAGGTATATGTCCCCGAGTGGCCCTGATTTGCGGCCGAGCTTAAGCCTCATTGCTGCCCAACGGGAGACCGATCGCGATTCACGAACAGCCAACACGCCTACTTTAGCTCGCCGCTTCTCCCTTTGCAGAGCACTAGACGGCAGACAAGACATCTTGATCTAACCGCGAACGCTAAGCGAGCCGAAGCTGATCATGAACAAGCCACAATCTAAACCACATGAGGCTGACACCTCATCGATGTCTAGCTGTCGCTCATCGGTGCATGGCGTGTTATGTGCTATGTGCTGTTTGAGAGCTTTGGGCAGGGACGTGAGGCGACCGATTTGGAAGTGATATGTGACGGAGAGAGGAAATAGATGAGCGGCGAGGGAGAGAGACAGAACAGGAGAAGTGAGACTGGGCATCTCGCTTTCGACGCCTAACCTAAGACCTAAGCTCAACAGACGTACCTTGTCTTTCTTGCACCCGAAGCCCTCAAGATAGCACCATCCGACCTCGTTCATGGCATCTGCGTAGACCGAGGGGAATTCCCCGTACGTTAGCCTATTGCACAGGTGGCCGTCTGTCATGTTCTCGACAGCTTGGTCGGTCCACATCACTTACCGGTATCTCCAAGGTTTGCGGCCGTTTCGTAATACTGCCCGATGTTAGACATTAGCCGATACGATCATCACATAAACTGCGGGACTCTCAACGACAGCGACATATCTCTCTGGCCGGGTAAAGTAGGTAGGCAGGCGTAAAGTGTCGTAATCATCCCTTTCGATCTTTCGCTCTTTTTCACTTTTCCTCTTTCTGTCTTTTTTCAGACACACATACACGCACATACACACACACTTTTCTCGATATTCATTAATCATCCACTTGACACAACTCCCGCTACCCCTATTCCGGCCGGGTGCTTCAATAATGAAACGGTGACGGTGACAGTAACGTAGATATTGGATTGGACATGACCCACCTGCTTGGCGGCGACTGGATCTCGGGGGATGCCCCAACCGTGGCGGAAGCAATTCGCCAATTCGAAGATGGCCAGGACGAGCTCGCCCTTGGCGGCGCCGCCTTTCTTGAGGCCCGCCTGTAGCGCCATGCTCTCTACCGCTGCCGCGTTCGACGCCGCCGCCGAGAGGTATGTGACAGCTCTCTCGGGATCTGGTTCGCAACCCCAGCCGTGCCTGAGAGGTCCGCCAAAACCGGCCGTTAGCTTCGCTTTCTTTGATCTTTTTACATGAGATATGCTCTTCGATCTTTCATGTGCTGCTGCAATACTTCGTATTCGTATATCCGCCAGTAAGTAAGTAGGTTGGTAGACAACTTTGCCACCGTCGGACTATTCGCAAGTTTCACCCATCCATGATGTTTGCTACCCAGAAGCCGTAACTCTCCTTCGTCCGTCCCGTTTTCCCGTCTTCCACTTCCCAGGAAAGATAGAGCGAGAGAAAAGGCGCTTCTAGACCCGCAAGGGGAAACGTGCGCATGACAGATAGACACGAGTGAGATGCGCAATGCAAACTGCAATCTGCAATGCTTCCATAAATAGTAACACATCGCATCGCATCGCATCGCATAAACCAAACCCGAAAGGAAAAAAATAACAAAAAAAAGCAAGATGCAGATGGTGGCGATCCAAACACCAAAATAAGAATAGCTTAAGGTAGGTAGGTAAGTAGGTAGGTAGATGTAGGTACTAACCTCAAAGCAAGCCCGTAAAGGACCTGGCTCAGGGGATTATTCGCCCCCTGGGGATCAGCCAGACGACCGAACAGGCGCGTAGACTGGTCGAGCTGGCCGCCCTCGTGCAATCGGATAGCCTCCTGGATCTGTTCGTCGATCACCTTGGACGAGACAACTCCGTCCGATCTCCCATTCCCTCCGTTTCCGTTTCCGCCTCCGTTTCCGACGACGTCATCATCGTACAGTCTCAATCCGGCCAAGTCCGCCGAGGAAGGGTACGGCGAATTACGCGACGACGGCGACGGCGAGACGTTCACGCTAGGTGATCTGCTCCGGCGCTGGCCCCTCTCGTTCGCCTCCGCCAGTATCGTCGCTCTCTTCTCCCACTGGCTCTCGTTCGCGTCTTTATCCACCGCCGCCCCTCCCACCCCTCCTCCAACAGCTCTTACTCCCCCGGGTCCTAAACCTACCCCTCCCTTCCCACCCCCCGTCGTCTTCCCGTCCGCCGCGTACACGTTGATCTGCGGCAGGTTCTCGGGCACGAACTCGGACGTAGACGGGGCCTTGGAAAGGTGCAGGCGCTGGGAGAGGCGGCGGTGGGTGGACATAGGCGCGGGAGTGGATAACTGCTGCTGCTGGTTTTGACCATCGCTCAGAACGGACGAAGTACTAGAGCCTCGCGAACGGGGTCTGAACACGTCGAGACTTCGGCGCGTCCGCGACCCGCTTCCTCCTCCGCTCGCATTATTACTATTATTATCTCTGGCCGCGGTGGTGGAGAGGTATGTCTTATTTGTAGGTGGGTGGATGATCTCCTGGGTATGTGTGTCGGAGCGGATGAAGGTGAACTCGGGCCCGGCAAGCCTGTCGAGGGTCTCGCGATCGACGCCGCCGTCTAGGTGGTCCTTCTTCTTGATCAGGTCGCGGAGCCCCATCGTAAGATCGGTTCACGCAGGATGTACGTTTCGTATGATTGGTCGCGGTTCGCAATTGGCTCGTCTGTATTTTTTCTTTTCTTTTCGTTTCTTCTCTTTTCTTCTTCCCGATTCTAATTCCAATATTCACGCAAATCCAATAGTCCAATGATCGTTGATCTTAATCGCAAAACACTGTAAAGTAAGTAATTATAGAAATTGAATTCGTTCGAGCGGTATTAGTCGCAGTAGAAGCAGGAGCAGTAGCAACAGCAGCGGATAGTCGTCCCTCGGTTCTTTAATAGGCGTTCATTATTCAAGCTAGCCTATTCATTTCAGGGCCGGATCTTACGCGCCGAGTCGAGTTCTTCGCTGCGCTTTTGAACGACCAAAATGCCTGTAAAAAAGGGCAAAAAAAGGGACAGAAAGGGGCTGTGATTTTCAGCTTCCCAATTCGCAGCCCCCTTCGAGTAATAGACAAGACAAGACAAGACACATAACCCTTTGTTTCAATCCATTCGGTACGAGGCACGGGTTAGCCTCTTTCCAGAGAACTGGTGTGCCAAGATTGGTCCAAGATTGACCGTACCTGTTTCGGAGACACTTTTTCGGGTCGCAGGATGGATCTTTGGAGTCTTCTAGTGGGGTGGACAGCTGACCAGGTAGGTGGGCGAGGTGGGCGAGGTGGGTGACACCTACCTGTTGGTCGCAAAGCACCTGGGCAACCACCCGGACCTCCCTCTTTCCCCTAATTATAAGCCCCTTAAAGTTTATAGCAGTGTAACCGCACATGTGTAGCGTGTTATTTGCTAGTAGGTACTCCAATATAGCAGATATACAGTGCCTACCTAGTAGTACGTGTACCTATGCAGTCTGAGACATAGGTACTAGGTAGGTACAGATAGAGGCATACAACACCACATACATACTAGGTACTATTCAATATAGCAAACTCGTCGAGACAGTTACAAAGCAATTCATTTTATTGACTGCAGCAATTATCTACCTCTCTCGTTATTTTCACTTTTCTCTATTTCTTCCACGTCAGGGGTATCAACTCCCTAACGAACGCCTCGTCCGAAGGCGCATCATCGCAGAAAGGGGTATCAAGTCCGTTGTACAAAGGGCATTCCTCAAACGCCAAACTAAAGGCCATGGCATATGTGCGCCGTCTAGATACTAGCCTAAAAAGACTAGAAGCCGCATCGTAGAAAACCAGAACACTGTCCTTTAGCATATTGAACACGAGTCAAAAAGACGAATGTTGAGATGACCTAGATGCGTTAGTAAGAGTCGCGGCGGGACTCCTTAGAATCCGATGTAGTCCTTCTGCTGAGCAAAATCAAGATCGTCGTCATCTTCTTTCTTGATGAACTCCTCGACCACGACGGAGTCGATGTCGTCGCTATCGGCAGCAGCGTCCTCGTCATCGCTTGACAAGTCCTCTAGGTCACCAGAAGATAGCTGATTGTTCTTCTTGCGTAGGACACTCGCCCTTTCGATATGGGGACGCTTACAACCCTTGTTCTTACAAGTACCCGTGTTGCTAAACTCGGGACACTCGAATACGTGGCGATCGGGACATTGCGCTCCCTGCTCGCAGTATCCGTACGTACCAAACGAGCGGCACACCGGGTCTGCCGAAGAGTGCTCCGCGTGCACATACGAGCACGATGCGTTATGGCAATTACCCTTGGCGAAATGCACGCAGAGGGGGGTACGCTGCTCTGTAATGTCATGTGAAAGATCACAATGGGAACCTTGAAGGCATTTACCCTTGACTAAGTAGTCTCGGCATATAGCCGTCTTGGACGCGTCGTGGACATAGCGGCATGAGGGACCTTTGGGACATGATCCTGAGAAAAAATAATTAGTATCTGTACAGGGGATCTTACCACGCCGCAATCCTCCGTGATTCGCGAAATGGGCATTTCCGTAGTTATTTAAGGAAGACGATACCGGTCCATGCGAAGGTCTTGCAAAGTTCGTTGACCTTCATTATTCCTCCAGCGAATCTAGCAATGCCATATTATCAGTATCAAGTATCAAGTTCAAAATTGATATAGACATGCATACCGCTGAGCTTTAACGACACCATGTCGGATAAGGTTGCCGTTTTTAGTTCGATAAAACTTGACTCCACCGATGGTAGTCATCTTAGGGGTCGCGGAAGGGGGATTAACGTCGTCTGCAAGCTGGTCAGTGACTAGAATTATGTACCTTATCTTAGAAAGAAATATTTACCGCGATCCTTGACGAGCTTGCTACCTTGCTGAATAACCCGAAAACGAATGCCATCTACGACAACCTCGAATGGAGAAGCTGACTGTGGCGTGCTAGGGCCATCAATTGGGGCAACACCAGCACCACTTTGAACCACGCTGCTCATGAAAGCAGCCTTCTCCATCTGATCCCTCTGATGTAGCTTCTGACGAAGAGTCTGTTTCATCGCATCCACACGATTCTGCGATTCCTTCTTGTAAACATCGGTCTTGATCAGCTGCAAATGGCGATCGTTTCTGGTGACAAAAGACGTAGTAGGCGTGGGAGGGTCGGAAGTGTCATTGGTGCCTTCACCCGAGTCGGAAGCGGGTTGATTCTGGCCATTGAGGACCAAGGTCTTGTTGCGATAGGTTGGTCGGAATCCACCTCGGCCGCCGCGTCCACCACGGTAAGTTGAGGGAGAAGGATACGGGGAAGCACGGTAGACAGAGGTGCGAGAAGGGCGGTAAGATTCTTGAATTGTTAGCATTGCTATTTGGATTGCCGAATGTATGCAATTTTAAGGGACTTCAAACCTGATTGCGGCTGGCCGTCGCGTTGGGCCTTGAATCTATTGATTCGACCTAGATAAAGATGAGTAGAAGATCTAGCAGGGTGCTGATAGTTTCTTGAACGCACTAGCGAGGTTGGAAATCTTAGTGATTAACTCTTCATCTTCGGGAGACGACATTATGGCAACTAAATATGATAATGTAAGCTGATAGAAGGTCAATCGTCAGAGTGAAAGATGAATGTTTTTTGTGGGAGACGGTCGCGGAATAGAAAGAAGACAAAAGGTAAGTTAAGTTGGAGGGTGGCGAACGAGAATATGTGTAGCGGGGTTTTTGGCTTTTGGTTTTTGATTTTTGAACAAGATCAGTCGTATAGCGATTAGTCTTGTGGCTCACGCGTCTATGATGAACAAAGGAGATACCAGGAATACGCGAATACCAGTACTCGTTACCCTGGTGCGCGGTCATGGGAAGGTTGGCATTTAAGTAAAAGCGACGACAATGGTTTCGATGATGATTATGACGGACAATTCTTGATTCTTGAGAGGAACAAACCTTCAGAAAGTATTTGGTATGAAAATAACTGACGGTACCGTAGTGGTTACAGACACCAGTATCACGATACTTTCTTAAATAATTGTTGATGTTTCCAAGTTGTGATATTCTGAAGATAGGTGATAGGTGAAGTTGATAAGTGACGAAACTGAATGAATGATCCATTGCAGGTCATTCCACTGACAGTTCCAATGGTGGGGCATGATCCTTATCTAATCTAAACTCTATTTACTTCCTACCAATCAAAAGACATCCTTCCTGACGCCTCCAATTGTACCTGGATCCACCATCTTAAGTAATCCACTGCCTGTTCGCAGCTTCAAGGTTGCTTAGTACCTAGCAGTTGATTTAGGGCGAACCAATTTACATCATTCTTTGATCTCCAACACTTGGACTTTCAACACAAGCCGCCTTCTGCCGTCTGTCTTTTCAGCTTTTTACCTTTCACCTCACAGTGATCTACCGACTTGTAAACCCAACACCGATCGAAAAATTATAAATCCTCAGATCCCGAAATCCTCTAACGTCGAATATTATCAGTCGCGTCTCGTCTATCAAGATGGCCACCCCTAGGGTCAAGGCCGAGCCGGTAATCAAACCCGAACCCGGCCTTAAGTTAGAACAAGATGAACTCGGTCGCTCTCCTGCCGCTATGTCGGAGGATGACATCTATGAGGATGCCGGGGACCTCGAATTCTACGATCCGAATAACATCAGCGATGCATCCGCGTATCTAACTCACGTACCCAAATATCTATATGATGCTTGGAAAGGCTTGGATGATGATGCCGAGATTTGTGTCGGTACAGTTCGTCGATGGGACGAGCGAGGTCCCAATGGCGAGATCAAGGTGAATCACCAACAACTACCGCGCAATATGTAGGTATTAGGTATAGTTCCAATCATACTAACGAATCTATCGTAGCAACGCATGGCAGTCTTGCTGGACCATAACCTTGCTCCTCACCAACAGCTACCCAAGGAGTACAATCTAGACATCAAGGATATGGCCCTAACCAATACCTTTCTATTCACCGAACAAGATCTCCCGGGATTCAAGTCCAAGTCACAGGGCAACAGTGATATCCCTGCCTTTCTCCGCCCGAAGCCAGAGCGTCGCGACAATGCGCAGCAAGAAGGCGACAACAAACGCGGTCGCAAAGGCCGTTATACGCCTTACTACCGAAAGGCTATACCTAGTCAGTGACCTCTTTGTCTCCTGCTACAGCATTAAACATTGCTGACAAACCACAGAGAAAACCGTTCTCCGAGGCCGATTCCGTCATGAATTGAATTGCCAGCCCGTTTGGACGGCAGAAACGAGACATTGGCTGAGCATTCGCAACACCGATGCCATGAAGCCCAAGGCGACAACCACGCTTACTTCTTCTGCCAGACCTACCAATCTCATCCAGGCCGGCGCGCACGTTTCTAACGATAGATTCAGTAACTTTGTTGTAAGGATTACATTCATCCTGGTGTCAAATTTGTAGTACTCTAACATTATCTGTAGCGTACAGGACCCGAGACTAAGAAGGGAGGCAAGAAGCAGAAGGAGGAGAAGGCCGCCCGTCTACCCAAGAGCGACCTACGCGACAGAATCTTCGAGTGCTTCGAGCGGTACAATTACTGGTCCATGCGAGCCTTCAGGAACGAACTACGCCAGCCCGAGGCGTGGCTCCGAGAGAATCTGGACGAGATCGCTATCTTGCACAAGACCGGACCATTTGCCAACCAGTGGGAGCTTAACGCGGATCACAGAGGAGCTCTCAACATTCTCAAGGCCGACGGCGTGGCACCCGATACTGCTCCTGAAGGTGAAGGTGAAGGAGATGTATCGGAGTCAGATGCAGAAATGGAGGACGTCAGAATGGAAGACGTTATTCCAGCTTAATTTAAGAGCGAGAGGAGTATTTGTTGAAGGCAACGATAGTTGTATGCCTCAGTACGGGGAAGTAAACGGAAGTACCCGGAATTACACAGAAAAGGAGTTACGGCGTCTTTTACAATTGCATCGATGATGATGCGATTTGCCTTATACCACACAAATGATACCCTCGGCGTGACAACCAGGACTGAGGTTTATTGGCCATTGCCTGCAGAAGTTTAAGCTAGCATGATCGCCTCTGCATAAGGGACTCCATAGATATTTATAAAACGAGTTTCTGAAATTGCTTTTGATAGACTTATTCATCCTGACGTATGTGTCTGCCTCTCCAGGTCTTGGCGACTGAATATAAGGTACATAATAAACCGCCTAGACGCCTACAGCTCCTTCCATTTAACAAACTCGCCATTGACGTAGTAGCTTCTTTACCATTAAGCCAGTCACATGGTCCTCGTCACTAAATCTCCCAACTAATCCCCGCAAATATCCCTTTCCTCCTCCTCCCCCCACTCCAATCATCCATCATCCTATTCCTGTACAACACACCAACCCGTCACCAGCTTACGTAACACCACCAAAATGAGCATCTTCCTGGACTTCGACGGCACCATCACAGCGCAAGACACCATAACCCACCTCTCGAACTTCGCGCTCGGAATCCGCGCATCGGAAGGCCAGGATCTAAAACAGCAGTGGAGCCAGGTCGTCAAATCGTACGTCGACGACCACGGCAACCACGTCTCCTCGTATGTCCCGCACGAGGACGCGCGGAGCTTGCCCGAGCATGAGGTTGCGTTTTTGAGGGACTTGAAGACGGTGGAGAAGCGCTCGTTGGTGAGGATTAATGCGTGTGCGCTTTTTCGAGGGATTGGCGATGAGGCGTTTAGGGATGCTGGGAGGAGGTTGGTGGAGGAGGGGACGGTGAGGCTGAGGGATGGGTTTGCGGAGTTTGTGGCGAAGAGACGGGCGGAGGGGTGGAGGGTTTGGGTGTTGAGTGTTAATTGGAGTTCCGCGTTTATTGAGGGCGCTTGTGGCGGGTTGGAAGGCGTGGAGGTTATTTCGAATGATGTGAGGGAGGATGGGTCGATTGCTGGGCCTGGGGTTTTGAATACTCATCTGGAGGATGTGAGGAGTTGTGCTGTTGTTGGGGAGCAGAGGAATTTGACAAACTCTCGCGATAAGTTGGATGCTATGGAGGCTGTTCTTGCGGCTGAAGGGCTATCCACGAAACCATCGGTATACTTCGGCGATTCGACTACGGATCTGGAGTGTCTGCTCGCTGCAGATAGGGGATATGTCATCTCGGATAAGGATGATTCCTCGTTATTAGAGACGCTTAGGAGGATAGGCAAGGAGGTGCCTCACGTACGAGATCGCGACCAGAGCACAGCGGGTAAGCTGGCGTGGACTTCAAATTATGAAGATATAGCTTTCCCATCCTACGAATCCATTTTGCGATAGCTTCAATATATACTTACTTTCCTATGAACGACGCAGAAAAAAGAAAGAACGGAAACCAAATATTGAGAGAATCAAACCCCTAGATCCAATGGTATCATTCCCTAAGCTTCATGGTCACATACGATAATGCATTTATTGACGTTTGAGTTGAGTAGGGTATCCTTCTCTTTATACCCGTTCCAAGTATTAGGTGTAATGAATATGACGGGTATTATAGGTACGTTACTCTCCAAGTAATATCGAATTCACTTTCATACTTTCAAGACTCACTTTAAATATAGTTACCGTGAATGTCTTTCCATAGAGCGGAACAGGGATATAATCGTCATCTCATAGTATTTTTGTTCAATAAATGTCATGTAAATGAACAAGGAGGCGACATATCGAGTCAGGGGTTAGACTGGACGAAAGCCGAGAAACTCATACAGTCATTTCTTAATTTCCTGGCTCCAGTATTAAGGATATCATATCCTCGACAGGTTCGTTGTGAATGTACATTTAACTGTATGGCTGAGTATTTGCCCAACCTATTCCCATTCATGTTTTACCCCTGAACGGTTTCCATATACTCTATTCAAACCTGGTCGTACAATTTTGGCGATACGTCAAACAGCGGTAGCACAAGTTGCCGTGGTCTTTTGACCGTGGTATAATGACCGTAGCTCCCAGTTCTCATACACGCATTCTGATTTCTTGTCGGTGGTGGCTCACGTCCACCTGGCATTAATAATGAGCTGGACTACAATGGAGAAGAAAACCTCGACCACAACTAGACACCATACAAAGACATTAAAAGGCCTTTCAATACCACTGCAAATGGTATTGATATTCTCCACTTGCCAGGTTCCTCGCCTGTGATAAAGAAACATAACCAACATTTTAATGTCTGTAAATCACCTTGTATTCAGAATATCAAAAATCTGACACCGAGCCGATAACTTCAATATGAAGAGCTGGGAGAGATTTAGCCACAACGAAAGGCGTACGTGGATACCAACACCGCCGAACCCAGGCCAATATGCTCCTCCTCCTTTCCCTCCTGGAGCTGAAGCTCATCATCCTCCAGGAATGACTTCATTTCAGACCTCGTACTTTGATCGCCCTCCTCCACCACCTCAAGCTCCTAATCCCCCATACGGGCAATCACACGGACAATCATATCGACAACCGCATGGACAGCCACATGGGCAACCATATCTATATCCATATATGACAGCATACGGACCAGCCTATGCTCCGGCATATGGCCCACCACGTCCTCCTCGACCTACTCCCGGCTTTGTGCCGACAAGTGGTGGCTATATCCCGACACCCAACAACCCCGTACCTAATCCACCTCCTTACTACGGCCACGGCTATTACCACGTCAATCCGTCCGCTGGACACACTCAGTATCCAGGACATCCTCAATATCAACCACCACAGCAACCACACCAAAGCTACGCTCAATACGGGCCACCACCACCACCACCCCCAGGCTACACCCACCACCAAACACACCAAGAACAAGAGCGAACCCCCCCATACCCCCCTTACACCCGTCCCACATCGCGCCAAACCCTCCGCCCCTTCCCACACCTCCCCCACTGGCCACCAAACGAGATCCCCATCTCCGCACGCACAAACACGCACCCGCCCTCCGCGCCTCTAAACCCAGATCCAATCCCCCTCATGCTGCGTCCAGAAACCATGACCTTCCACAGCGAGCCGGAGCTGCGTATACGTCTAACCTCGGTCTTCAGACCCATGGTCGGCGTTTTAGGGAGACAGGTGCAAGAACGCCTAGGGCTCGCCGAGCAGCCGCATGTGAAGTTCGATTTATACCCCGTGCAAGTGGACGAGCAAGGGCGTTCCCCCGCGATCCGCTGGCGGACGCTGTCGCGCGCGCCTGTGTACTGCGTCACGCTGCCTCACGCGGGGGTTAGTGAGGAGAGGTTACAGGAGGTTAGCGATGCGCTGAAGGAGATTCTAGCGGACTATCCGAACGCGTGGTACCGGCAGGCCGGGTACGTGTTCCGAATCTCGCGCTCCGCGGTTCTAGGGGAGGGGGAAGTGAGGAAGAGGTTTTGGGTCCCGCCGATGTGCGTTTATAAGTTTTTTCGGAGCGAGGGGGTGTATCGCGCTCTGTTTATTGAGGTCTCGGAGGAGGCGGTCGAGGAGGTGGATGGGTTTCATGATTATGGCGATACGAGTGAGGATGATCAGGCGGCGCTTGTGGATGAGATGTGGGCGGATGTTAGGAGGAGGAATGCGTATGGGCCTTGGGTTGCTAATCCTGAGTATTTATAGTGGTTTTGAGGATTAGGGGTATAGGGGCGTGAGGGTTGGAGGGTGTGTGGGAATAGGGGGGAGCGGGCTACCCCCTTTTAGTTTTCGGTGCTTGTTTTAGTATCGATGGCACGCATTGATGTACAATTATAATGCTGTTCGATTGCCTTAAACATGTTTTTGATTGGAGTGGTTGCTATACGTGATGTGTCTTGAAAACTAGGAGTTACGTCCTACAATGAAGCGCGGGACTGACTTCTTCATGGCAGTACGGAGACAAACATAAAGAGCACTATGTGTTCAGATTCCGTTTTCCGTACTTCTCTACCTAAACAATGTCTTTTAGAGAAACAATATATTGTGAGCCCACGGTAAGCTAGTCTTCGTGGACTGTTATGAAAATCGGAACAAGGCAAGATTACAAAGAACTCGTAACTCAAGGACAAACAGCGTTGAATGAAACACGACACAATCGTATCGTGAAATTGTGTCCATATAATACGAATAATATCTTCTTATTTTTTCCATCTACGTGTCTATGCCACCCGTGCAGTATCTAGCATCAACGCCAACAAAACAGGTAAGTCCTAGTTCTTAATTCTTGTTCAACTCTCTACCAGATTATCTACTTCCCTAGGTATCTACCTTTTATCACATATACAAGATGTGTCAATATCGTAAGGTTCTCTACCAATGCAACCATTCCACGACCTCCCCTTCGCCTCAAGAACTCTGCCAGGAGCAGAAAGACTACGAGTCAGGCCAGAGGTCGGAAGCGTGCACTATCGTAGAGACCCACGCACGAATTAATGTCAGAATTCCACAACTATGTGATGCTTGCCATGAACGCAAGGAAACTACCGATAGGCAGTTTCAGTCGATCAAAGAGCGTCTAGGAATCATGAAGGACCTGCTCAAGGCGAAGCACGACTTATGCAAGGAACATTTAGATGAGGCGGGAGTAGATTCCGAGGAGGGTGAACCGTCAATTTCGCCTTCATCGATCGAATCGTGCATTGATGGCCTTACTTCACTTGAGGAGTTCCTGAAGATGAAGATGGAAGAAGAGCATGCCCATATGATGATGCTGTGGGATTACAGGTAAGTCAAGCGCATATCGCTCTTACGTATCATTTACTTCATAGTCTAGTTATGAAGAGTACTTAACTTAATAATATATTCCCTTGGGAAATACCTTACCAAATTAATTGTGTAGATGGTCCTTTTTGTGAACATTTTATGAATCCCGATTTTCAGGGGTAACTTTCAATTTAGCAGTGCTCAACCATACCATGGGAGAGATGCATTTTATTGACTAGAAATTGAATGATAGCCGCACCCAAACAACTTACTATTCCGATTCAAAAGACCTTATGAAAATCATTTGGAAAATGCTAGACGCTTGTGAATGTAGCTCCCGTCTTCTTGAACATATATTACCTAGACATATGTTTCGTGTACCTTCTCGCGAAATAGAATTCAAACAACAATCAATGCATTTATATCCCACCTCCCTATATAGATCTAACATTTGTTAAATCAGTCCGACATATAAAATATATATTCCCCAACGAGATCATCAAAAATGGAAGGCATACGAGACTACGTAGACCTATCAGACTATCGCAACAACCTGGACCTGCAGATTTTCTACCATCTGGTCACGTTTCTTATGGTACGGTCGTTTATATGGCTATACAATAACTGTTTCTTTATTCCCTGGCTATGTCAGCAATGCAGAAGTCAAATATATATAATATTGAAGATTATGGTATGAAAACCTGCGATACGCAAATGAACCACAAAGGCAGGTATCATGCATACTGCATAGGCTATTATGAAACGCAATTAGAAACATGTTCTAACTGTGAAAAGATTTAGGGAAACCCGTCGTAGTTTGACTTGATGTAAAATGGTATATGGGTGAGGGGAAGAAACATTGCGTTTCGATCTGGGTTGGAGTAGTATATGTTTGGTTACTAGCAAAGGATTTGGCCTCGGATCTAAACAGGGCTGAACGTATTAATCTTAGTACTTTAATCGTTACGTAATTCGTACAGGTGACCATCTATTGAATGGTATACTGTTTTGGAGGCATTTTCGGTCAATTCGTCTTGGTATTGTTCGTGATTCGCATATGTGGGGGGTTATGAGCCCCCTACCGCCAATATATCTCAAAATCTTTGTTTTAGGCATTGCTGTCCTAAGCCTGAACCTTGAATGTTCTTCCACTTGCTGTCTTTCTCTCCTTCTCTTCGTTCTCTGGTCTCGCTCTTCGGAGTACTACAGTCATAGTTAGTATTTGATGCCGGCAATGTCGACGAGTGATCTTACCTTGGAGGAAGTCTGCTGTCCGCCTTCTCATACGAGAATGAATGTATGCCTATGCATTTCGTTAGTGTAAATAAGAATAATTTCGGTCGGGATCCTCGTACCTTGGACGCTTTGATGTGGTAATGGAAGTAGTCTCGGAAGGTCTGGATATGGGAGATGCAGTCGGGCATTCGTTGGGGAGTCAAGTGTCGCGGGAACAGAACTTTTCAAGTTAGTAGAAATCCTTTAGAGCCAGTCAATAATAGAACTTACCGAAGGTAACATATCCAACCTCTCCATTGGAACCAGCCTGTACACCAGGAACCCCTTGCAATTCTAACGGTGGATCATTCCTGAACAGGACTTGAGGTGCATTTTGGATAGCTCTCCTTCGGGCATCGACGAATTCTTGGATGAAGACCTTTCCAAATACTCGGTCTGTCTCTTCACGGAAAATGGTGCTGAAGATAACAGTTACACGGTCGTGGCTTGCTTTAACGTAGATGGCTTCCTCGTCGCGGTAGTGGATGGCCATAATCTCACCGCCCTCTTGGACACCCTGTGGTGCTTCTTCCGACGTAAACTTCGAGGCGGCTTCCTTGAGCTTGTAGTGTTCGGCGTAGGCGTGTTCGAATGGGGCGGCCATTGCATTTCGTTTCAATAAGGAGACCTTCTTCACTAGCTCGTCTCGTTCTTCTGCAACGTTGGTTAACATCATTTCTACCTATATTAAATGCAGTCTGTATGTTATTACCCTTTTCTGCCGGGAGATTATCTAGATCAATTTGAATAGAGAAGTCATAGCTGGGCTCTGGAGCTACGACGTATTGACCATATTCGCGTTGAAGGACCTGCTCGGCGCCGTACTTGACAAGTTCCTTAAAGCATCGGATTTGGATAGATACTTGGATTCTTGACTTAGCCTCGGGGGTCGATATATGGAAGATTACGCCGTCGAAGTCGGACACTGTCTGATCGATAGAAGTAGGGGGGGCTCTAAATCACACCGTTAGTCTTTAAGCTGTAAGACGCAAAGGACTCATTTTCTAACTGACCCATAGAGTCTCTCCTTGAGTATGGACTCTATTAAAACGTTCTGGTAATCTAAAAGAAGCATGATGGGCGAGATTGGCAGATACACTTGCTTCTAGGCTGTGTTGGTGTTGTATGGAGCTGGACTTGAATGTTGAATCGTGTTTAAGGATGCCTTTGGTGGGGCTGATTCTGCTTACATACGCAGTTACGTAGGGGGATGAGGTCTGTGCACGATATTCTGCGATAAGCGATAAGAGATAAGAATTTCTTATCGACAGTCCCTTATTCTTCTACAGAAAAAAAAGTTATGGATCGAGTTTCTTAAGCAGAAGCAATCGAAGCTTTCAAGAGATCAAACCGGTCGCAACGATGGTTAAGTCATACTTGTGAGTTTCAATTCATCGGTATATTGTCGCATACAACCTAGGCTAATTACAACCCTATTTAGAAAGTATGAGCATTCCAATTCCTTTGGTCTAGTAACTTCCAGTACATCGAATATTCTTTGGACCCAGCAGAATCACTCTAGCACCGGTGCTGGCCAAGCAGTTGTCGCAGCAAATGAAGAGCTCTTATGCTGGGATATAAAAACTGGAGATATTCTTGAACGGTGGAAAGATGAAAAGTCATCCGCCCAAGTAACTGCCATTGCGCAGAGTAAGCTCAATGACGATCTATTTGCAGCCGGCTATGAGGATGGTAGTGTCCGATTATGGCGGAGCAAAGACCCGAGCCCTTTCATCACCTTCAATGGACATCGATCAGCCATTACAGTCTTAGCATTCGACCGATCCGGCGTCCGACTCGCGAGCGGCTCGAAAGACACCAACGTCATCGTTTGGGATCTAGTGGCAGAAGTAGGCCAATTCAAGTTAAGGGGACACAAGGACCAAATCACAGGGCTACAGTTCGTGGAACCTCAGGAGGAGATTGCGGAAGAGGAAGATTCCCAAGCGATGGTTCTCGATGGCACAGGTGATTCTTCGTCAGAGGGTTTCCTGCTTACTACAGGAAAGGATGCGTTGATCAAACTCTGGGATCTGGGATCGAGACATTGCATCGAAACACATATCGCGCAAACGAACGGTGAATGTTGGGCACTGGGGCTCTCACCAGATTACACCGGATGTATAACCGCGGGAAATGCTGGCGAACTCAAGGTCTGGGGCCTCGATGCTACGACACTAGCCGCGTCAAGGCGACAAGTCGACATACCTGCCAACATACAATATTTACAAGACCGAGGAACTTTATTTCGACATGGAAAAGACAAGGCTACCGAAGTCGTCTTCCACCCTCGCCGAGATTACTTCGCCGTACACGGATCAGAGAAGTCTGTCGAAATATGGAGAATACGTAGTGAAGCTGAAATTAAGAAGAGCTTAGCTAGAAAGAAGAAGAGAAGACGGGAGAAGCTTGCGCAAAAGAAAGGAAATAAAAACGGCGACACTAATCTAGACGAAGAGGATGAGCAAGACGAAGATCCTAGCAGTGCAGATGTAAATGATGCTTTCGCTCAGCATCTAATCATCCGGACAGGTGGAAAAGTCAAATCGGTAGATTGGACCGATACCCGCAGTAAAAAGAAACTTGAGCTGCTGGTTAGTGCGACGAACAACCAGCTAGAACTATTCAGTATACCATTGAAGGAGAAGAAGTCAAAGCAAGAAGACGTCCCCGATTACGAGAGATCCTTATCCGTCGAAATTCCAGGTCATCGAGCGGATATTCGATCATTAGCCCTGAGTTCGGACGACAAGTGGCTAGCTTCAGCCTCCAATGGAAGTCTGAAGATATGGTCAATGCTAACACAGAAATGCGGCAAAACTCTGGAGTGTGGCTATGCGCTATGCTGTGCGTTCTTACCTGGAGATAAGCTTGTTGTCATCGGTACAAAAAGTGGTGAAATCGAGTTGTTTGAAGTGGCCACGGGCGCTCTGCTCGATAGTGTAAGCGCTCACGAAGGCGCTATCTGGTCATTACAGGTTCACCCTGATGGCAGGTCGATAGTGTCTGGAAGCGCAGACAAATCAGCCAAATTCTGGAAGGTTCAGGTTGTCCAAGAGGAAGTTCTCGGCACAACTCGGACTACACAGCGTCTAAAATTGTCGCATTCGCGAACACTCAAAGTCGCCGACGATATTTTGAGTCTCAAGTTCTCGCCCGATGCGAAGCTCTTGGCTGTTGCTTTATTAGACAGCACGGTCAAGGTTTTCTTCGTGGACTCGCTTAAGCTCTATCTCAACCTCTATGGTCATAAGCTACCCGTATTAGATATGGATATCTCATACGATAGTAAGCTGATCGTGACATGTTCAGCAGACAAGAACGTTAAGATATGGGGTCTGGATTTTGGTGATTGCCACAAATCCTTACTAGGGCACCAAGACAGTATCCTCCAAGTCAAATTCCTCCCAAATAACCGAGAAGGCAACGGCCACCATTTCTTCAGCGCCAGCAAAGATCGGACGATCAAGTATTGGGACGGTGACAAATTTGAGCAAATACAACGGCTTGATGGTCACCACGGGGAAATATGGGCTCTTGCGATCAGTCAAAGTAGCGAACCTCCCTTTATCGTTAGCGCTAGTCACGACAAAAGCATACGAATCTGGGAGGAGACAGATGAGCAAATCTTCCTTGAGGAAGAAAGGGAAAAGGAGATCGAAGAATTGTATGAAAGCACATTAACGCAGTCCCTAGAGCAAGATGCCGACGAGGACGGCGAAAACGGAGAGATCGGGGCTGCGACAAAGCAAACCTCGGAAACACTGAACCATGGAGAGCGAATAGCGGAAGCCTTAGAATTGGGCATGGCTGATTTGCATGTCATGCGGGAATGGGAAGAAGCCAAGGCATCCAACCCAAATATTGCTCCACCTCAGCGCGACACGATGTTCTTAGCGCATGGTGGAATCAGTGCTGAGGAGTACGTGATGAAGATCCTCCAAAAGCCGGCAGCCTCGGCGCTGAACGATGCGCTTCTTGTCCTTCCATTCGCCTCGGTCCCCATGCTCTTCACCTTCCTCAACCTCTTTGCTATGAGATCGATGAACATTCCTTTAACATGTAAGATTCTATTCTTCATGTTAAAAACTCACCACCGCCAAATAGTAGCGAGCAGGACGATGCGAGTTATGCTGGATGGCATCAGGTCAAACCTACGGAGAGCTCTTCAAAAACAGAAAGATGAGATGGGATACAACATAGCTGCCCTTAAGATAGCGGGGATGCAAATCCAGGATAAGGGAATCAAGGAGTATGTGGACGAGAACTGGGATGACGGATCTGATGCTCAAAACGTTAAGAAACGAGCATTCGTACATGTGTCATGATAGGGTTAGACGATACTAGGTGTTGAATACAGCACAGTAAATATTCTACAAAAATAGAAACCGGTATATACGAGCAAACTCAATTCGAGCTTCAACCAATGATATCATGATCCCGAGGTATTTAGCTCCGACTAGACGGAAAGCCGAAAGGGTTTAAAGGTCTTGGCAGGAGACTAGAGCTTGCTAAATGTAACCCTATACCCCTCCCCCGCATATTTTTCCGCACTTCGACGAGGGATAGCGACCAATCAAGTGGAGCTAGCGGTTACCGCCTTCCAGGTCCGTAAGTTACCTCGGCATCGATTTCGACGTCAGCTCTTTGCTTTTTTGTCAGACTGTGGCTTGCAATCGTACTCCGTAAATGCGAGATGGACGGTCAATCCCAAGCCTCATTTCCCTATCTTCGTTTCTGTTCTCGACGATTGGCTATACCCCGACGCCACAGCATGCGATGATACTTCAGGTTTGATTGATCGCGAATTATTACTTTACTTTTATCCACCTTGAGAGCGTGCAGCTGAAACGATGGCTGGGAAAGTAAGGCATCCGATTGATACTGCGGCGCTAGAACGCTACATTACCGAGCATGTGCCAGAGATCAAGGTCCCGTTGGATGTGAAGCAGGTTCGTCGACATTCTAAGTTTACCTAATCCATTCTATACCGATTACCCAATTCGGTTTTCTGGGCTACGGGGGCGAAAAAGGGAGAGAGCATGATATAAATATAGCAACAAACTTACCAAACCCTCACAGTTCGGCTTCGGTCAATCCAACCCAACATACCAACTCACCTCCCCCTCAGGCTCCAAATATGTCCTCCGCAAAAAACCCGCCGGCAAGCTGGTCTCTCAAGCCGCCCATAAAGTCGAGCGCGAGCACCGGATAATCCACGCCCTCCGTAACACCTCGGTCCCCGTGCCGCAGGCCTACACCCTCTGCACCGACTCATCCGTCCTCGGCACGCCATTCTACATAATGTCCTTCATAACCGGGCGCATCTTCGAAGACGCAGCCATGCCAACCGCGACCCCAACCCAACGCACCGAGCTCTGGAAAGCCGCCGTCGAAGCCCTCGCCTCCCTCCACCGCGTCGACCCGGACTCCGTCGGCCTAAGCACCTACGGCAAAAAAACCGGCTTCTACGACCGCCAACTCGCAACCTGGACGCAAATCTGCGCCCTACAAGCCGCAACAACCGACATCGAAACCGGCGTCCCAGTCGGCGAGATCCCACACATGAGCGCCTTGATGTCCTTCTTCAGCAACGCCTCGCTGCGGCCAAAAGACAAAGCCACGCTCGTCCACGGCGACTACAAGATCGACAACGTGGTATTCGCGACGAACGAAGCGCGGGTAGCGGGGATCTTGGACTGGGAAATGAGCACGATCGGACACCCGCTAAGTGACCTAGCGAATTTCCTCCATCCCTTCGTCAGCGCTTCCATGTCCTCCCGTATCTCCACTTCTTCCTCTTCCTCTTCCGACAAAACCGCCGTAGCATCAGTAGTATCCCATCCCTCCTTCCTCCCCAACGCAACCCCCGGCCTTCCCACCCCCGCGCAAATCCTAACCTGGTACTCCGCGGCAGCCGGGTGGACGCCGTCCGCCGAAGACGTAGCCTGGGCGTGCGCGTTCAGCGTGTTCCGGCTCGCGGCCATATGCCAGGGGATAGCGGCGCGGGTGGCGCGGCGCCAGGCCAGCAGCGCCGAAGCTCAGAAGCACGCCGCCGCCATGCCTTTGCTGGGCGAGTTTGCCTGGGAATTAGTTAGGCGGGAGCAGGAGAAGGCGAGGGGTGCGGGTGCGGGTGCGAAGTTGTGAGTTTAGGCGAACGATAGGTGCGTATATGGACAATCTGGGTAACTTTTATGTGGGTTTATGTAGGAGGATTAGTTGAGAGGAAGGTCTAACGGCGATATCGAAGAAGGTTTATGTTGAGGCTTACGTGCTAGTGGAAACTCTACTAATGGACCTTAAATCAAGACACATGGATAGCGGCCGTTTTAATTTTACATCTTCTACAAGCGAATCGGTGCGGTATACAAGCTTTTTTAGTCCCCTCCTAGACCACTCATCTCAACGTTTTATAGTCTCCTTCCACCTCACAACCTAAACAGCAACACAAATCACATCATATCACCTAAGAAGGCACTCAGACTAGGAATTGCCGAAGCATAGCGCTCTATTAAGAGCCTATTTACCTAGCTGAATTAAGGCAGTATGATCCATCGCGTCAAATTATTTAGCGTGGAAACTTCGGGGGTGATCGGGAATTTGGGGGAATTGGGGAGAGAAGGGGGCAATGTATGTACAGTGGATGGGTTGACCTATCGATCTGTCTTCGCCCTGAGGCGGAAAAGTACCCACATAGGGATTTTGTTTGCGAGGGAGGAGACTATCCCAGTCTAGCAACTTGTCTCCTGCAGAAAATATGAACTCATGCCTTGTCGTCAAATGAAGCTCGGTCCGCAAAGGACGAAACCGGCCGTACGTAAAAGAAGAAAACAATCGTCGAAAACCTAGTGCGTATCGTGCGTTTCATGGCCACCCTGGCCGTGCCGTAGAAACTCCCCTAACGCCGAGCAGAGATGTTCGTGGAGTTGCGTAGAAGTGGAAAAATGAGAAAAAACCGCCCATCAAATCTGCCTTTGCGTTTACCGAACCATCGAAATGCCGTAATACGAAAATGAAGACGATGCAAATTTCTATGTGAATCACCTATTCCATTAAACGTCACATGCGTAAAAAAGAAAAGAGGGGATGAGATCCATATCCCATGGGAGTCGTTAAGGGTTGTGGCTGTCGTTTAATGGTTGCCTCGGCGGTTGCGTCTGACTCGTCGTGCTTGCTCCCGAGGAGAGAGCGCGGAGGCGGGGCGTGTTCTCTGGAATGGAGAGCTTCTAGGTTGCTCTCGGTTTCTCACGGCACCGTATCCCTACAACTGACCGTGTGAACCTGAACCGCCATACATGGTCTCATCTGCGTTCGACATGTAAACCTCCGGGCCCGCATATGTTGGGGAGAGCGGCGCATTGTGCTGTGTGCGCATGTGAGGCAAAGAGGTATACTCAGTCGAACCCTCTACGTTCATCGGGTAAGGCTCGTGAGGGTGCGCACCCATCGCGGACTGGAATGGGAAGGCGGGGGGGCTGTTCGCCTGAAATAAAGTTCGACTAGCCGCGTTCTGTCCGGACACTGAATTCTGTCGGTTGAGTGAATGAGGCGGGGTTGTCCGGTGCATCCAACTCGAATATTGCTATGGTGATTTGTTAGTCGTGCCTTGGTCGCTTCGAAAAGTGGAGGGCAATACAAAATGGAATTGATTAGCAAAACTAACCTGAGGCTGAGGGACGTTGTTCGTCGGGGCCTGTGAAAAATGCGGACGTCCCGGGGTGAATCCTCGTAAGCTGCCATGACGAGGACGCACTCTACGTCTGTTCTCGCCAATCTCGTTGAACGGGAGGGGAGAATGGCGCTCTCCCGAATTTCCATGCCAAGCCGGAGTTCGAGAACCGTACATCGACATGCCATCTGCTCTTCTTGACGGAGGGACTCCAGCGGCTCCGTACTCATACTCCGCGAACGGGCTATACAATACGTCAATATATGGATATTATCTTGTAAGTGAAGATAAATAAATACCTTGATGCCAGAGAACCGAATCCACTTGCCATAGACTCAAGTCGAACACCCGCATCCGAATCGCCTCGATCATGTTCTCGACCAGGTCGCATCGTCTGCATCTGTACCTGCATCTGGTGATGTTGGCGCAGGAACCGGTACACATTATGTGCGTTCATTGCCTGGCGATACTGGGGCTCAGAAGGGACTCTGTCTCTACAATAAGGGCAGCTGTCCGACTCCTCAAACCACTTCCTGATGCAGTGATCTCCGAAGACGTGCTTGCATCGTGGTAATCGTAGCGGCTTCTCGCTAATGCCTTCCGGAGTCTCGGCTCCATACTCATTATAGCAGATAACGCAAGCTACGCCTTGTTAGCTAAGAATATATTCGTTCATCTACGGCCAAACTTACTTCTCTCGCTCTCTGGTAGGCTCGAGACAGCCACAGACTCTAGGGATGTGAGCGCCTTCTTAGATGCCACTCTCTTAGTCGAAATACTACCTCGCATAACCTGCTGTGCTCTGAGGCGTCCCTCCGCTGCACCTTCTGCAGCAGGTCCGGTCACTGCGGCCTCAAGAAGCGACATTGCAACTGCATCAGGATCAGAATCGTCGTCACTAGACCAACCAGATTCGGAAGACGGCAATCGCGTAAGGCCTCGTCTATCCCGGTTCGTATTCACTCGACGTGGTTCATTGATACCGCTATCAGGTATCTCGGCATATCTAGGAGACACGGCGGTGATAGGTGCGCGGCGGGAAGGCGAAGACGATGAATCTAAAATACCATCAGTAACTGATTTTTTTTGAGAAAAAAAACATGAAATTTTTAAACAAATAACTAATAATCGAGAATGACATACCGTTTTGGGCAGGGGCCTGCTCAGCTCCTACACCAGGTGACGACGCACTAGTTTCCGACATTGAAAGTGATATTGCTGGTGTACTATACTGAGGGAGAGGAGGTGGTGTGATTCGACCAGATTGTTGAGCCGCACGAGAATTCTGGGGATATGTTTGCGTTTGCGTTTGCAAATTGTTGTTTGTGAGAGGCGGAGGAACCGAGTTCATAGATGGGAGGCGACCATTAGTTAGCCCACTCTGTCTGCCAGGTATTCCAGAGTTAATCATTAGAGTTCCTGGGCCACCTTGACCACCTTGGCTGCCCGGACCACTCAGGCCATTCGCAGTTCCACTTCTAATTCCACCCTGAGATTGACCTTGGTTGGTGCCTGAGAAATTTCCTTGGCTATGTTGGGTCGGAGCCGTGCCTCCAATTCTCGTCAAGCTCATTATCGGTGTATGGTAATAGGATCGGGGTGACATGTGGGGGTTGTATTGTTCGGGACCCCTCGGCGGATAATGAGGTGGGCTGCCTTGACCCGCATTCATTGTCGGCGGCATGCCCATGCTTAGCATGGTAGGTTGGTGGAATTCGGAGGGCGGCCATCGACCATAGGGAGAAGGCATGCTCCAAAACGCCGGAGGATTGGTTGGGTCATTACGATACTCAGGGCGGGATGCTGCGAACATCGGAGATTGTTGGTTCCGTTCGGCGGCAGCACGCAAGGCCGGACAAGCCGAGCGGGCAGTGTGGTCTATATTGGGCGACGTGGTAGGAGATGAGGCGTTGTTAGACGAGTGCATGTCTTGATGCATCATGAAGTCCATCGCTGAAGGATCCATGCTGGAGAATTTTGGAGAGTGGCAGCCTTGCTAAAGAGGCCGTCACTCCCGCTCCTATGTCTCGACGGTGATCGGACTTATGGTCGTCAAGGTGATCGGGTCGATGTTCTTGGCGTTTAACGAAGGATATGGGTTTCTCGGCTACTTAGTACTTAGAAAGATAGAACGTAATGGGAAATGGTTGATTGTCAAGAAATTGATCAGTGTTGGAAGGACTAAGATCATGCCCGGAAATATGTAAGATGTAGGTAAGTGTTTAACGGCGGGCGGTGGTGGTAGCCGTGAGTAAATATTTAACACCGGCAGTGAAAAATACCTAGGTATCGTGCATCCCAGATGCCGTTGCTTTAAGGTACAGTGCGTGTCAAGGCGTCAAGGTATTGTACGTTCACGTACTTCGTACTCGACACTGTTCGCCCTGTACAGGCACTGAAGCATGTGCGGGGTGACGAGAGAAAAAAGTATGGTGACGAAGATCCAACTGTATGAGACCAAGTTTGACCAAGGTCCAAGGAAGCCAGGGTTACTGTATGGGAGTTTTGTCTGCCTACGATGCGCCGATGTTCTGTTCTGTTCTGTTCTGTTTTGATGTTCTGCAGTTCTGGTGTCTCGATACCCTAGCGGTGTGACTCTTTGAGATACTAATAGGTTAGGTAGATAGCCCTGGAGTTATCTACCTGGGGATATGCCTAGGTAGGGTTTCGGGTATACTGGGAAATATCGATATTGTCGCTGGGGATTGGAAGTTTGATTGAATATTCGACCCTTTATAACCTTGAACTCTTTTTTCTTTTACCTTCCATACGAAGACTACCTCTTTCTCCTAACGCTTCTTAACTATCCACCGGGATATCGGGTAGATGTGGTAATTGAATGGGCAAACGCTTGCCTTTGACGATACTTCAATATGGAAATATTTGACAACGAGATTTAAAGGATTAGATTCTTGGTGCGTATAAGTAGTATCACGGCCTTTGGATTATAGGTGGTTAGGCTGTAGGGTTGTGAGAGGTGGTAAGGTGTTGGGGAAATATTGTCGCTATGTAAGTAAGATGATGAGATTGTAAAGATACGGTTTTAGCGATAAGTGGAGGTTTGGGTTAAATGTTCATAGACCAGCGTCCGAGTTTATTCGGACCTACCTGTGGAATATAGAATCGTCTACCTCCGGAAGGAAGGTTGGTCTCAGGCGAACGGAAGAAAGAAGAGAAAAAAGGAAGAGCAGGAAAGGTTAGGAGAGGTAGGAGAAGTCGGATGGTAGGAAGAAGGTAGGAAGGAGACGGAAAAGAAACTAAAGAAGGCTATCAAGGTAAGAAGTTAAAGAGGTAAGAGGCAAGAACAACCCCAAAGAGCACCGAGGCAGTGAGTGCGATGCAGCATACATACCTACCTCGCCTACTCCCTTCCACCTACCATCCATACAGCATACAGCATACAAAATAGTGCACTGTACGATACGACTGGACGAGGTATCTACATGCATCCAATTGCGATAGAGTGAGAAGTGGGAGGTGGGTAAGTACTTAGACCGGACGAAGAGAGACAAGGCCTAATCCACCTTACATCCATGACCTACCATGACATCTGGACCGACCTACCTAGCATAAGCTAACATGCTTAACATGCGTGAGTGCAAGTTTTAGGTGGTCTAGGTAGTTTGCGTTATTCAAGGGATTACCCATTCTGCCCATTCTGCCCAGGTAGGTTTTATCGACGGATGGTTCTTGGTGGCTCTTCAAAAACAACCGAATCAACCGAATCAGAATCACTCGCTGACCCATGCACATACAGGCAGAACAGGTACCATTAGTTTAGTACCATTAGTCTCATTAGTACCATCAGTACCATCATCAATCGACTGAGTACGTACTGGGACAGCAGGGACAACTGGGCACATACATATCATACAGATGTATTTGTATGCAATAGTATGTTACTATTGGAGTTGTGGATCGAATCAAGGAATCATTGCCTGCGGGAATGGGAATGGTAAAAATGACGGAGTTGGATTTTCATTCACAAAAAGGACCTTTCTGGCTGACTACCTTTGATCCTGGTCTAAGCTGAGCTGGGACTGGCTGGGTTGGCTGGTCTGGCTGGGGTCTGAAAGCGGGCGGTCCAAGACAGATGGATTACCGATTACATACAGGCCAGCCTAGCTGGCTTGCTTGGCTTTTTCTTCTCTGAAGGGTCCCTGGCTCCTTTGAGCGGCTTAAGCAGCTTCAGCAGCTCGAGCAAGCAGGCTTTTAGACGCTGCCAGCTGGTGCCTGCGTCCGGGCACTCGAAAGAGAATGAGCCATTAGAGCTTTGTTTTGTAACTGGTTGTTGTTTGGCGTCAGGAATCAAAACAAGTCGACTCGTGAACATGTGTCGTACCCATATATGTAGGTGCGGTGCAACCGGTGCTCCTTGCTGCATTGATTCGGCGGCTCGGAACTATCGACGTTGGCAGTGAGTGCTAGGATGATGCCGTTCTATCATGTATCCTGACTGGGTCGATAGATTTCAGAATTGGTTTCACATTGTGATTTAGGTATTTGTACGAATTGCAGTGGCTAAGTGCGCACACTAATCTCAATGCTGTCTAATATATGTACATACATAATTCCTTCAATCCCTTATCATTCTTTGATGTTGCCTTGATCCGTCTAAACTCCATAATTCCGTCATATCAAATCACACCTAAGCAATACGAAAGGATACGGTTAGGATTCATATAAACGAGTCTAATATAATAATGAGAAAAAAAAAACATAAAATGATCTGAAGTTTTATTTGTTGCTTACTTACACAGTATTTTCTGTTCAGTGCTTTGGACTTGTTTCAATTTTGAATAGCTGAACCTTTTGAAGGTCTGATTACATCTTGTTATACAAGCGCTGCAAACAACGGTTACTCAAACTTCCGGCACCTTAACACTGTTTTTCCTCATTAAGTAATTCTTAGACCGAATAGCGGAAACCCATCCCGGCTAGTCTATTGCCGTAAAATACGGTGGGCTGGCTGGCTGCAAAAAGACAAAAATGATGGATAATAACCCCTCTATCAAGCAGGTCGCCCCTCCTTCTTAATGGATGTATCCACTTACGAATGTCGCACAAAGTTAATGAACTGTTGAATCACTTTTCTTGAAGGTCGTAACATCCCACTAGGAAATCGAGCGGTTCCAGCCATTAGAAACTTGGAAGTTAAATACAAGTCAACCCCAACCCCGTTTTTACCATGTACAATAATCGACACCTGAATGACTCGCTCTCTCATCCACATGCCACATGATAAAAATCAATGCCTTGATCAAACCTATCAAGCCTATCAAGCCCAACCGGAAACTATAGGGATGAAGTCTTTTGTTGATCACTCATCCATATTCATCTTGTTGTCATTAAACCCCCCCAATGCCCCCCCAATACCCCCCCAAATTCCCCCCTCTTCAATCCCTTAAATCCCCCCCTCCCCCTCCATCTCCACCTCCAATGCCTTGTCATGCCCTGGCCTGTCCTCGCTCCATTACTTAGAACATGGTAATAAGAGCGAGACAACCGAAGAGCCCGGCGCCTCGCTGCAGCTAGCATGCCTTTTTCACTTTTTGCTAACCAACCAAAGGATTGCTGCACCAGTGAGTAGCCCGTAACTATATATCAGCCGGCCATACAGAAGGTCTTGTGAACGGCTACACGATACCATAATAATATCATAATGCTACTCACTAGGTACTCGCCAGGTCACCCTACCCTTGGTCCTTGGAGTTCGATTCCGATGAATCATCCCAGTGCTTCGTAAGTACATACAATATTGACTTACCTGTAGCCTTGGCCGCCAATGCTGCGACTTTTCCACTCTACATAATATGTGGTATAACCCACCGACGTACCTAGTAGGTAAGTCGGAGGTAGGTAGCCCTAGAAGTATCTTACCATGATTCATCGCCTCTTACAATCCTGTCTGTGCGCGGATATAGATTGTTACGCGCCCAAGCATTTCGCTGCTTTTTGTTTTGTTTTTTTTACTTTTTTTACATGTTACAGACAAACATACGTCGCAACAAAGAAGTGTCCGACCCACGGACCGACCCAAGGAAGTCAACAGAGTCAAGAAAATTCTGAGACGGACTCCCCGATTTTCGACTATGCCGTGTGCGCGGATAGTAATAAGTAGGGTTTTCAGGGATGGTAACGTCACCACCAATATCTTTCTCAGGAAACAGTGCATTAGAAGAGGAAAAAGAGGAAAAGAAAAAAAAACGAAAATATCCACGGATGTACCGATTTACGGAGTATTTGACACTGTTTCGTACCAAACGAACTCCATTTACGCAGATCACGCACCTGCATACCTAACTGTTCTGCGGGTACACACATATATATCGGACCGCTATCCATTAAGCTCGCTACCAAGCACCCCACGGAGCAATAGATACCTGTGTACTGAAATGGTGGACGATTTACCATCATGTTAGGCCATGTTGACGACCCAGTACCTAAGAGCGACGATGAATTACTACGTGCAGATTAGCCACTGGTAGCGGTCTAGCCGGGAATATTTCAGTCTTTTACCACGTATGAAGTCAGTGTTCCTTTGTCGATATCTTCCGAGGCTCTAGGAGGTAGGTAGGTAGGTTTCATCAGATGACCCGATTCAACGCACGGGTAGCCAAGTTCTTGTCTACGGCCGTTGGATATCAATCGCAAGCCCGCTACGGCCAATGTAGAGCCGCTTGGCTTGCATCGCCTATGTTCGCTTGCCTTCTCTACGTATTACTTACTTATGTAGCAGCCTATCCGATATCATGCCCCGCCTCTGACGCGGTCATGTTGAAAAAGGACCCTGTGGGTAGTATATTCCTCGTAATCTTGTTGAAAACTTACATCAGGGAAACAATTAATCATATGCTGTCCTACCCAAAATTACTTACTTGTGATGCATCATACTCATTTACGGACGGACCCTTTGATTGCAAGGGGTTGATAACAAGAAGAAGGCTTCCTTCATAGATAGAAATAGCTTGGGACTAGCAACCCTGTTGTTAGTTTACCTACCACTAGGTAGTGGCCAATAGAAGGCATCTCTGAACTTTAAGGAAACGTCTAGGTAGCTATGCGGATATATATACGAAATGAATCTTCTATGGACTCGTAACAGTCGAGGAAAGGGCATCTGAAGGTAGATAGGCAATATAAGTTCGAACTTACCTATATGTACATGAGAGGGGCTACTTAAAGTGGTTGCATATGCAGCTAGGTATTAGCGAGTACCGTAATAGCAGGGAATCGTTAGATAAGCGTTGCAATTAAACGATAAGCTTGAACACTTTGTGGAACACCTCCAAGTCACATACAGTTAAATTCATTACGTTAAGCATTTATATTCCTTCTACGTACATAAATTTAGTCCTAGGGATGACGAAAGTTAAGTATTTAAGTGCTAATATTTATACATTGAGCTATCTCCGTATCAACTTACCGACTCATCCTATTCCTCTTGTCATTCTTGGTAAGCGGGTGAAAACACCAAGCTCTATGATTGGTCAAACCATAAAAGGATCGACTCAGGGTTCGCCTGCCTAGTATGTATTCGGTTCGCCTTGCAACTTACAACTCGCAACCTGGAACTTGCAAACTTACTCATCATAATACTGGGAGTACTTCACGGATTCATCCATGGATCATGGAATCTCTCTGCCTGTTCACTTACATATTATTACTGTATTTCGATGCTAACGTGGACGGACACGACATGGATTCAAATATGATGCGTGGTCAGCTGGCCGAAACTTACGCAAAGTATTCCTCGGAGGCTTTCGGACTTTTGCCCCGTCCTACCGTCGATATGCAGCCAATGCTTCGGTGCCATCTATTCGTAAGATACGAATGCTGGCGAGAATGCTGGCGAGAACGCTGGCGAGAACGAGGCTTGCTATTTAGTTCGCGATTAGGAAGCCCAACCGTACGGTCCGGATCATAGCACTCAGCCTGTTTATTCCGCTCATCTTTACCTAATACCCATACTGCCCATGCTGCCCGTGCTGTTTATTAACTTGTCTAGGAGTTTCGAGTTTTCTAGGCACCTATCAAAGCGGGACAGGCATTCTGATTACTAGCTCAGTCGGCCTTGTCACTGATACGAAAACAGTGTTTTATATCAAAAAAAAAAACTATTAATATATTAAGTTACTAGGCGCGATCTCTTCCTCCAACGCCATCTTGGGTCATATGATTGTTGGCTCCTCTCACCGCATCTCAAGTCTCCGCCTGGCCGCGCCTCCAAGAGAACCCTGCCCTTCGGCATTCAAACCACAAGCAAACTCCCTACGCGCTCTATCTCTAGGTTCCGAGTGCGCTGTCCAACACGGGCAGTATTCGCCTATATTCAGTCATGACAGGCGCCACTTCGGAACGATGGGTACTAAGGAAACCTCACATTCCGATGATTAATACCTACATAACACATAACACATAACTTCGCCTACGCCAGCTTGCCTCACACGGCAATGTTGGTCCGAGAGCAAACTAATTTCGCTGAAACACCACCACCGAAATATCTGCACTGTCTGGAGCAGGTTACCGTTCTATAATAATTAACTCCTATCTAGCTAGCGTCTTCCGTGATACGTCGTATGGTGCAAAAGAAAGATGAAGAAGAAGAAGAAGAAAAAAGCAAAAATGTCACTTGTTATTATTTCCTAAGAAAGCGCTTACGCTACTGCGACACCATTGACACCATTCCCTAGGCTCGATGGCTCGATGGCTCGATGGCTCGATTGTCCCGATTGTGTTAAAAATACGCGGCCACCTCGCCATGGATTAGCGATCAGCTGTCAGCTCACATTTCGCCAGATCAATGATTTTTCTGTCTCGCAATTATGGTCTCCAACTCTTTCGGAGCCTAGCATCGCGTGCCGCCGCCTCCTGTGCATTCCCGTGTAAGTGGTTTCTAGGCTTACGCTGATTAGATCCTCCCGGTCTCTTCGTTCGCCTTTCGAGAGCTCTAGAATAGGGCGTAAGTGGTCCAGACTGTTGCATAGGCTCATGCAGGAGTTGCAGGACCAATCACGTCTTAATTAGAATTCATGATATCCAATGGTAGAATTCGCTTAATTCTCATTCTCACATCAGACGCATGGGATCAATTTTCTTTTCTCGGCCGAGCCATCACAAATAGTGTGTCATATTATGAGTGAGCGCTTTTTATCAGCCAACTCGCCGCGCCTTTTAAACAGCGTTCCCGGTCACATCAATATCGATGTATATCCCATTCCAAGTCATTCCACAGCCTCGGCCACGAAGCACAGATCACAAATACACTCATTTTTGCGCCCCCAAAAAATGAGTAGGGCAAAATACTGAAACGTCCCCTTGCCGGATAGGAAATACCGAGACCCTGAACGGCAGAAGCTTTGCAAAGGCTCATTTACGGACACAGTCGCCTTCCAGTTAACGGCTTACTTCCGCGGACCCAAGCATCCCGAATATCTAACCACAACCTGTTTTGTCGTTGGCGAGCTTGGATTTTCCCTACCGCATAGGACCACAATTTGGAAATGCGGAAATATAGTCAACTTGGGTAGGATGTTTCAAATAATCGGTTTAACGATACGGCGATCTTACCACACCTCGCCGGATTAACTGATAAACATGTGAGACTGATCAAATTCATTCGCGACTCTTTCGTATCGAGATATCCATCGACGAATGGCCCAGTGATCGCTTCCTTCGAGGCAGGTGGATAGCAGCCTATAGCCGTCACTCACTGGCGCATTCGCATTCGCATCAATTTATGCGACTATCCAGCTTCTGGCAGGCGTATCGCTGTGGTATAAGCAGCAATACTAAGAACATATCACTGAGGCACAGCCTCACTTCATGCTGGCTTAATTTAGGTATCTCAAGCCCACGGATACCAACATTCAACTGTTTCTTATATTGGATTGATTTTTACCGCGCGTCTGGCATAAATAGAATCATTCGCAGTTACTAAACTTGCAGCTAGTACTTACCTACCTATGCATCACGCATGGTATCAAGACGCCATGCATAAGAGGACCTAACGACCTGGAGACTAAGCTGGTCCTGCAGCATACCTCGCTTGGAGTTTGTCGGGACCGGTGGTGATTATGTTGGAACACCTTTAAAGCCTGCTTCTCACCGGTGGCGCTCGCTTGCGACTCCGCTTTGGATATTTCGAAGAAACGAATGCAGAGTTTAATCTTCACGAATTACCTACCTAATTATGGTCAATATTTAGGACATGTAAACACCAGTGCAGGACGAATAAACGCCACAGCTTCCAAACATTTAAGGCCACAATCTCAATGGCGGCCTTCGCTTAAGAAAAGCCTTTTTCAAGTGGCGAGTCTCCTAACTAGATACCTACCTAGGTAGGTTCTTAGACTACGCCTTCAAGACTTTACGAGCTATGATTAGGATCGACCAAGGGCGGGCATTTGATATCTTATATCATGAATGTCTGGAAGCGGAATCAATTTGCGACTGAAGGATGATGCGCTTGCCGTATGATAGAATCGTCTCCTTGGATGCGTCAATTCTAGGCTAGGAGGGCTTGGATAGGGTGACCTTTCGCTTTATCATCTTCAACAATCTTTTAAACTCTAGTGTCAGATCTCACAGAAGGCACATATCCACGAAGTAAGTGATCTACGCCATCTCATCTTATTGAACAAACGTAAGTCAGTTTCCTAGGTGAGATGCTTTCTCAGGACACATACTCGCTCTTCTAAGATATATGACTCATCATAAGACTGTTTTCCTCATCCTCTTGGAATACAAGTGTATCATATTATCAGGACAGATCATCTAGTTCAATAAAGTTTTACAGGATTATCAATATTCGCTCTTTAGCTACATGAAGTCGCACCCGCATTCATTGTTAACACGTGTAGTCGGTCAAGTCAAGTGATCTGAATTATCTCCCAACAAAACAAGTTGGGGTGTTGTGATAATATCGTTGATCCACTTACTATGTTGTCCTTCGAGAGGGGCTCGATAGTACTTCAGGTATTTTGCTGTTTAATGTACATTCTTCGAAGTTCCCGAAAGATATACCGGTGGTAGTTCTCTTGTGATGATCTTAGGGGTACGGGGCTAGTTCAACATCGGCAGTTAAGCATATCCCGAACTGCTTCACCTAATGTCGTCGTGTCCACGCTCTTACTGCTTGCTGTCTATATCTAGACAGCCAAAATGTAATAGTCGTTAGTTTCCTTAGGTAGTTGGGACCCATTAGACATACCAGGAAAAGGTATAAAACGATATTGGTTTGACACTTCGATGAATGCCTCCAACATGCTTACTAGTTACTCAAGGTCCATAACCACGGACGGAGTCATAGGAGCCCTGACTCCGGGTCCGAGAGATTGAGAGAATGTACCATGGTGACACGGGCGTTATATAGGTAGGTGTTGAGTACCTAGGCAGGTAACTTGTCGGCTAGCAAGTCTTATGTTAGGAGTGTATTGTTTTTCCCCTATTTTTTGCTCCACATAGCCCCTTATCGAACCGAATATCTCGCCTCAACCTTCAAGCAAGGCTGCAAGGGGTTTTGTGTAATGGAATCTGATACCAGCTTTTCGACCCTTAGACTACGAGCCTTCATCTCCTTCAAATTAGCTACCTCATTGGCACTGGCCTTTAAGAACATCTTCTAATTCAAGAAATAACCGATTGGTAAGCATGTTAGCAAGGAGTATAGGGCTACCTAGGGACGTTTGATATCATATAAGTTACGCGCAAACTAAGCCAACGAGATCCCATGCGGCCTTGTAGGCAGCAGGATGATATATGGACAACAAGCTTAGGGATTATTATGACACAGTCGATATTTATCTCTTGCTATTAGAATGGATTAGCTAGTTGAATGAATGAAAAAACCTCTTGCTAGTTATTGCTATCAATGAGCTACATTTCATATGAGTGCAAGATAGGAGAAACCCCTTAAATTGGTTATCTATGACATGTACGAATGACCAAAGAAGATATCTCCTGTGGCAGCTATGGGCATGAGATGTACAGATGAGCCTCCATAAAGGCCCTCTTATGGATTCCGTATCATAAAGGCCACGCTATGATGAGACGGGAAATCATCCATCATTCGATCGCAACCACGACGTATCAAGGCATATTGGTATATTAGCTATACAGTGGATGAAGGGTCTATTAGGAACTTCGAATGGAGCATCAAGTATGACTCATTGAAAACTATGAGTAGGTACTATTGTCACTGTGGTTACTGTCCAGTAGGTGGTCAATCCACGAGGCACCAGCTCCGGAGTGAAGGTTAAATAGCACAATACAGTCCCAAATTCTCGACCGGCGACACCAACTCCGCAACCTTGAACATACCCTAAGGGCCCTAGGGTTGGTTGAATGGTCAGTGTCACAGAAACCTCATCGAGTCTGCTTTAACGACCACTCTGAAATGGGTGGTCTAGGGTTCGATGCTCGAAGATTGCACATCCTTCGAGACCTTGAAAGAGGTTGGCAAAGAAATACCTAATAGCGGGGGCGCAGTAGCTTAGAGCCGATACCCAGATCCTAAGGCTGCGCCTGTTTTTTTATATTCTTTTATTGTTTCTTCTTTTTACGATCATGTTACGAAGTTGCATCCAGTCACTGCTTGGATCGCGTATGGTATTTACCTACATTACGGCGACGCAATGAAACCAATGCCTATGAACGAAGATTTATTTCTATTCATAGTAGATATCTGATAAGTATTCATTATCCTCCTGTAAGAACATATATGAATAGCGAAGCTATCGACATCTCTCAACTCGTTACCGACCATCGACTTGGCTAGATATATATCATATGTTGGCATACCCGGGCAAATCGTCCTCGACGTTCGAGTAATCTCTGGGAATGAGCTAATCCCATGATCCAGGGGCCATCACTGGGTCGCTCTTAAGCCTTTAAAACAAGTTACATGAACTTTCGGGGGTAGATGTCTAATAACTCCTTTCCTCAAACATGTATAATCTCAAGCCCTTCTTGAAAGGACACTTCAAGAAGAGAATATCATCTCGTGTCATACCCCATCTAGACCCCCAAAGACATGAAGTGTAGTCCAATATAGACCCCACCGCTGACCAAAGTTTCCGTCGAACCTGGATACACAAGCACCGAGCCGAGTAGTCCCCTCCTCCTCCCCAGACGCGCGGAATAGACACCGGCGGTGCGGATGCGGCAGAAACTCCGCGTGGGTTGAAGTGACCAGCACGGGAGAAGATACCGGTGTACATTAATCCATCCATCCATCCGACCATCTTCTTTCAGTCCTACCTAGGTACATATTCGCGAACACCTCGAATATTACCTGTCACCTTGTATGTATATAAGACCCCTGACGTCTTATCTTATCATGCGAAGGATTCATCCCCTTCCTCAGCTCCCTACCCCCTACCTACCCCCTACCCCCGTCGCCCCGTCGCCTATTGATCCCATCACATCCGCACGCACGTGGATACATCGATATCACATTTTTAGCCCCGTCCGGCCTAGTCCGCCCAGCCCGCCTCAAAATCCTTAGCTTTTAGTCTCGGGCACTTGGCCGTTGCTAGGAAAGGCGGGCGTTAGGAACGAATGTGCCGTGCATGAAGAAATCGCGGGAAGGAACCGAAAAAGAATAAGAGGAAAATCCCACGTTTTTTTTTCTCTTTCGTCTTTTCAAATGTCCCAGTTCGCCTAACAACTTTTAAACAGGAATATTGACAAAAAGCCCGAACAAGCTCGGTCTAGGTCCAAGCCCGCTTGACCTAGCTGCCTAGTAAAAGCCCAGAGTATCAAGTTAAGTACCTGTAGGCAGCCTGGAGGCAGGTAGACAGTGATCGGGTACGCGCATCTAAGACCTACATAGCTAACGTAGAGTGGCGTCCGACCGAGTCCGATTCGGCTTATCACATCCCGCCTCGTCTCGCCTTCGCACACCTACGTCTCTTCTCTCCCGGCCATCCGTCGCCCCTATCCCTGATAGTCCTACAGCTACTAGTTGTTTACATGCCGACCTTAGGTAACCTGACAGTGTCGCACAGCAAATAGCGCGATCGCATCGTATACCCGCCTCTGACCTACCCACAATACACCTACACATCCATACCTAGGTGAGCGGCGTGAGCCAAACGAAACCGAGGACCAAGCCTCGTATAAACTGGTCAACTGGTCCCCATGCAATATCGCAAAAACGTCACGACACCTAATTGCGTTCCGCGAACTGCACACGTGCATCGTCGACCCCTCTAAGCTCTGACCAGGTACAGCTCTCCGAAACAAGAAAACGAAAAAAAGAAAGAAGGAAAAAAGCCGAAAAGCCCACACCGGGGCACCGAGCCGAATCGGGATATAAGCCGCGAGAGACGAAGCGACACCTAGAAAGATGGCTATATGTACATACTACGTAACCTACATGATATCTTATGTACCTAGGGTTTTTGTTTTTTATTTTTTTGGTAGAGGCTGGTACAGTACAGTATAGTACATGAAGAGGTTCTGCTGACGGCGCAGGCCTTCCACGTGCTCACGACCAATGGGCTGCTCATCTGCACGATTACTCCTTACCTACCACTAACCTAGTCCTTGTCCCTCCTTGTCTCCCCCTTCCCATTTCCCATCCATTCAGTCGCTGTATGTACTTACCCGGCCGATAGATATGAGACGGGATGAAGATAAAACACTACCTGGGCCATAAAAAGTATTTTATCATTTTCCAACCCGTCTCTTCTCCTCTCCCCGTCAGACCGGTAAAAAAGAGAAGAGGCGATAGACGGAAGTACACCAAAGTACCACGCATACCTACATAGCTACATACCCTACATACATAACATAACATCATACATGACGATGACAGCGTATGTAATGTCACCCGAACGTAAGTAAGACACGGAGCAACCATAAGCCATCACCACCATTGTCGTATTCCCCGCGAATAAAGGGGGGGGTGTGCCGCTTACTTACCTCCCTACTTACCTAGGTACTTACCCACCTACTCACCTACCTATCCACCCCAGTTCTAGCTCTGGCTCGCAAGGCTATCGACAGTGTGTATGCGCACATGGCCTGCGCGGCGTGATTCGCGCAGGTATTGCATTCCTACGCAGATAAGCTCGTGGAGCCCTACAGTGCCTCCACTCCCTCTTCGAAAAAGCTCACGAACCCCTGTCCTACCACGTCTCCGCCCGCATTCTCCGCGACCGGTGTGACCAGATGGATACATCCATTCTACTATTGACTATTTTCCTCGGTTGGCGATTGTTGTATTACCTACCTACCTAGGTGTAGCTACCTATAGAAAAGCTCCTCATCATCGCGTACCTACTTATCCTAGGCGCCTATCGTGTTTACTTTTTCCGGCGATAGCTCCGTACAACATACGTAATCCCGTCCCTGTTCTCGCAACATCGATAATTAGTTATGGGGCCTTCAACAAATCTTCAACAAAAGATACATGCTTGCCGAGCTCAATAACCGAGCTGACTGGCGCCAGATAGCTACATACTAGGTAGACGGGCGGGAAGAAAAAGGCGGGATGGCGTCAACGTTGCTCGACGCACACCCTACGTAACCGAGCATTTCTTCATTTCTTCATTCATTCATTCATCTGATGTCGCACTCCCGCGATCGAACGACGCTAAGACGAGAACCTCGCACTGGCCTTAATACGTAGTAGTCGTGAACTCGTGTATGTAGATATATGTACATCATCAAAAAGAAAAAAACAGAGATCGCCGCTAATGACGGATGTTTCAGAAACGTGCTGACGCCAGTAAGCCACAACAGCTCATCACGGCTTAGTGTACGAGGTTTTCTCTCTCTCACCAGCGTGTCATAAATTACCTACTGGGCTACCAAGTATGTAGGTATGTAGGTAGGTATACTAGGGAGGTAGGTATGTATCTGTAGCGAAGCCGGGGCTGAGATAAGCGGGTTGAGATCTCACTTTTTGATGAGCTTATATTTACCCCCCACAATTTCGAGTTCACCATCAGCTATCTTCTCGCCCAGGAACTCCTGCAGCTCTTCGTTGCTCCAGGGGAAACCGTCAGCGATCAACATTTTCATCATCATTGAAATTTGGCCGAGAGGCATGGTGGAGCTTGCGTTGGTAAGCATGCCGACGATGAACTGCCAATACACCTGTCGCTTCTCCTTCTCCTTTTCACTCATACCCGATTTGGCTTTTCGCGGCGTTCCTGACGTTGCGTCGACGGCGGCGGCGGTCGACGGCTGGGCTGATTGGAGCGATGACGGTTGTTCAGCATCTGAGAGGCGTTCAATAACGACATAGGTGTTATCAGCATGTCTGCGGAGCACATGCTTCTTCACCCAAAATTCCAGCGCCGCCGTGAGAAGATCTTCGTCCATTTCAAGCTTCATCCACAGATCCTCAAAAGTCCAGCTGGACGAGTTCTCCTCGCTAAAGGCATAAATTACAGCCGCTTCGTATGTATGAACCTGCTCCGAGATCGTTCTGTCTTCGAGCTCGAGCTCCACTGTGGCTTGGCCGAGATGATTAAGCCATTTGATCTTGCGTGATGGTTTGAGATGTTCGAATATGGTCTCGTACATCTTTTGCATTTCAGTAATGCTAGGAGGTAAGTGGAAACGTTCTTCTCCCACTTCGGGCCAGTAAAGTCGAGATAGGATTCTCGCGTGGATTGTCCAGTCTCGGTCTACTTTTTCTGGGTGATTAACAGCCCCGCGGTGGATGACGCCGTCAAGTCGAGCCGAGTCTTGGATATCTTTGATCATCACATCGCAAGCCTGCAACGAAGACTCGCCAAACCGTTTCTTTAGTAATTCGAGTACGCCCACTTCTTGTTTGAACCCTGACTGCTCAGATAATAGCCGCTCCCCAATAATACTCTGGAATTCCTTAATGAACACCTCTGGTGATCCCAAGGCGCCTATAAGCGTACCGATGACATCCTCAGACTTCCGCCGTCTATAATTGGAGCCCGCATCTACGGGTGCAGGGGCCCAATCCAAGTCATCGAAGTCCTCGTCTTGCCGTTCATTACGGTAGTCGTTAGAATCTTGCAGTAATAACTCGACAAGCTCAACCAACTTCGTATTCCGAGCTTCGGTGTTAACCTCCTCTCGACCGGCTAATAACCCCGTAACGATAATCCGTACGGTATCCTCCCGGGTACATAGGTACATCTGGAGAGAATAGGCTACTCGGTCTAAAAGCACCCTCGTATGATCAAGCTTGTGGAATGTTCGGATCATAGAAATATATGTGCGGAGTATATCTAGCGTCGAACGTCCAGCATGCAGTAAGCGCTTTTGTAAGGTGGACGAGAATGCGTCTGTCAGTTGTAAGCGTCGTTGAGGTGTCGTGACCGCGTAGCGGAGGTCATCGATTCCTCCTTCGCTATTCGGCCAGTTGATGACAATATCGAACAGCTCGTCGATGCGGAGTGCCGCAAGCCGCCCAGTGGCGATCTCCTTCCATTTCGTTACATCTGCCCAGGCAACATCTACGTCGGCACCAAGAGTGCCAATCACCTCTGCGGCCAGTCTTGCATACATGTCTTCGACCCAGTCCAGGAGCTCTTTTATGCATGTCGGTTGTACTCGAAGATGAGTAGTAAGACGTGATCTCATTTTTAGGTCGTCATTAGGTTCCCATATCCCGGCAAAGGTCTCTTGAATATAGGTGATCATTATGTCGTCGAGAAGTTCTGCAAATAGAATTTGAAACCGTTCTCCAGCCAGGCCGACCTTATTAAGTGAGTCAAGTAACTCATGCAATTCCCTTTTTGCTTTTTCCACCTTGTCGGATTCTATTATCATCTTTTCCCCATGTTTAAGTGCATCCTCTGGCCCCTTAACACCAAGCAATGTCTTCATTAAACTGCCGAGGACCGACTTTAGAGCATCCATCAGGGCATTAGACATCGAGTTCCCTACGAGAGCATGTATATCACGCTGGAATTTCATTAGAGCACGATCTCCCTCGTCTTCGTCCATAACACGGAAGATCAACCGGAGACCGAATACGTATTGTCTATATGCAGCTTCTAGAGTTCGTATGCTGCCTAATAAGGATTGTGTCTGGTCCGAGTAGCCATCGCAGACTGCGAGTAATGGTAGGACATTGGTAACAAAGTGCAACCGGACCTGCTGGGTATGCCATTCTAAGATATCATCGGTATGAGTTGCAAGCGGAAGACGTCTAGCCGGGTCTATCACATCACGGAGAGCCTCCCGGAATGCTTCATCCTCGAGATCCTGCGAGTTCGGTAGCGACCCGAAGGAATCCTCCGCCGTCACGGAGGCTGGAAGTGCTATGCGGGACGTGACCACGTGCCACGACCGGTCAAAGCGGGTTTGTTGTGTGGCATAGTCATTGTTTGGCGAAAGGAAAAGCTGTGCCTCAACGCCTCCTTTCCGGGGTGTCTGAGCCAATGGCCCCCCAAAAGCCTGGCCATGCTCGGGAAACCGTATGGATGGCGTCGAATACGGCGTAGGCTGTGATATGTCTGTTTGGAAAACGGACTGGATAGCGCGTCTTCTCCGCGCATTCCACTTCGTATCCATAGTCATCATGTTGCTATTGTCGTCCGTAGCAGATAAAGATGCCCCATTCATCCATCGACAATATATTATCAACCCCCTGGACTGACGAGATTAAAAAAAATCTGTCAGTTGATTGAAATTGTCAGAGATTATTTTTAGTGAGGTATCATCTCTTAGCTTCCTGTCCTGTCGTATAATTTAGGCAGCTGAGTTGTGAAGTGTGTATCAAATTAAGCTAGGAGACGACAAGGTTGGTTAGAATGGCTAGCATCTTGGAGTTGTCAAGGCAAAATTAGCAAAAATGGATGTTTTTGGTTTGTTGATTTGGAGATTGGGGCCATTTAGGTAGGCGGTGAACAGCGCTTACCTCCAAATCTCGTGGCAGTTGTGGCTGTTGCGCCCATTGTGGGTCCCGGACTTTATGCTGCGCGGCTAAGAACTGGTCCGTGTGCATTGATTACGTTATACTAGTGCGACACAGCCAACGTAGGAAAGCCTCGCGCGGCTGAAGCGTTTGTCGCAACATCCTCTTTTAAATGTGGGGCTATGATCTAGATATGTACCACAGTACCTATAGAGACGGGTACATATTCGATATGCACTCCGGCCGTGTCTATACAAGATTCCATGCTTCTCGATCTAACCCCGGACAGCCTTAGCTTAATTTCCTCCACTGATACGGATGTCGCATTCGTATGTAATATCGAATGTATCTACATGTACCATGTATCCATGGATGTATGTACATATGTACCTGCTAGGTAGTTTGTATGCAGGACATTCATGAGCACTGAGCACTTGGCATGAAGGCCGATTGCACTGACCAAGTCCAGGATGTTAATTAAGATGCACTAACGATAAGGTGCTGGGGATCGACTTTCCAGTTTCGCTCGTTAATCTTAATCTTAAAAATATGTACACGATCAATTTTAGAATGTCGGAATCTCTGACACCATCTTTTACTGACAATACATATCAGACTATGCCATTTTTACTATTATTCGATGCACATCTGGACGGCCAGGACGACGGAGAATTCTGGGTGTAATTAAACTCGTCCAGAGTTGTCGGCCCCCTTCCAATTATCCCGGATCAGCGAGAGGGAAATTTTTTTGTCGATTGCGGCGCTGGCGAATAAGAAGCTTGCCTTGGTCTGCATGCAAGTGGCATGTGGGCAAGCAACGTGCGGCGGGGGCACACGCGAATAGAAACGACGAATCGAAGGCGACCGGTCAGCGTGGCCACGCATCTTTTACGATAGATGCTTCTCAAGGTACCGCAAAGTATCAAAGCATTTAGTCCACTCAGGCTGTCAGGGAGGGTATCAGGGCATCAGGGTATTAGAGTATTAAGGTATTAGGGTATCTAACAATGTATCACATATCATTTCTCTAGCTATGCGTCGACTCCCCCACTCGCAGCATGGAACTGGGTCCGACACTGTCGATCTGTCAGACTCGAGCCGTATGGCCTTACTGCGTAAAAACTAGGCTACACGGTGAGGACGGCTGAAGTAAGTGAGATGATTTAGGGCTGACACTAGCATCTGTATGTAGGTACTCTATGTACGGAAGTCGACTCTCCGTTTCGAGTCACGTCACCGGTAAGGTAACAAGTCGGAAGACATAATCAATAATTTTGGTCAGTTATATCTTGGCCAGGTACTGCAGCTAACACCAAGCAGTCGCCAAGCCTGTGTCACGTCAAGCGCACGATGATGCTCGTTACGTGGGTAGATATGCGTTGAGTGTGTGTGTGTGTGTGTGTGAGTGTTGTGTTGCTTTCTGTTCCTCATACGGGGAACTTCCGATGTATTGAACAATGACACTAGTCAAGAATCATGAAGTTTATGACAGCTGCGCGAGCCTGGTTTCGCTCTCGTACAGTTGATCAACAGCTGCTCTACCATACTTTCAGATCAAATATGTATAGTAAGCGCAGAAGACGCGAGTTTACTGGGCGAGCTTCATGTTTTTGGTTACATTCGGGGTTGAATTAGCACTCGCCTCCCACGTTGAGCCTGCAGCTTTCACACGTGTAGGTCAGGTGGTTTGGGGAAGACTGAACTGGGGTTATATGTACGCTTTAAACCTGACAGGTCCTTGCAGCGTAGTAATCACCACCCTCCAAGCATCGTTTCAAGACATGCACTGCAACCGGACCGGCTCTAGTGCGAGTCGGTCGCAAGTTCGCGTGGTTGGTCGCCAACGGCTACTCCGTGAGTTTGGTACTTGGTTAGGGCATATCCGGCCAAGCTATGGCCATTTACGTCCCGAAGCCAGCATCCGAACTTTCCTCCGCCGAGCGGTGCGGCACGGACAAGAGCATGTTATTACGCAGTCATGGTTATGGTTGATGTTAAGCGTAAGGGTCTATCGAACAATGTTACCAAAAATGGCCTTGAAATTAAATATCTGCAAGGGAGACCACCTTCGATTGTTCGAATTAGCGGGCCACTGGACCACTAAGACACCAGCTGGTGCTGTATGCGTACGGCGCAGCAGAATGTCGGAATCTCCAGCTCACGACGTATCGAGTGAGATCGACGCCGGCCTGAGATTGCTCGATGGACGGGTAACATCGTTCTGCCGGTCTCCTTCTTTCTTCGAAAGGTCCGTCCATTACTCCATGTTAGTTCCTATTCTTGGCCGTGGTCACTGTGGCTTCGGGACCGATCGAAACAATCTTGATCATTCTGTAATATGTAATACATATGTTTCTTGCGACACAAGGGTTTCGATCGAAACCCTTGAGGTGCCTTCTATTTAGAGGTGCAAATTTAGAACGATTTTCAAATGATCGCGAGTTTCTTTCGCCTAAAATGTCTTAAGATGTCTCCGTGGGGGAAATGAGAGATCGCCGTTGTCGCAATAGTACCCCTCGCCTTATCATGAATATGCTGACCGTTAATGGCCTATGACCCATTCTTGCTCTTCTCGGCAAAGAGTCAGCCATTTTTCCGCTGAACGCGCGGCATCATCAGCATCAGCATCAGCATCAGTTGAGGCTCGTAACCACGATTACCCCACGGCCCCCAACGTCTTTTGTGAAACGGCGCCAGAGTTCTGTGGTATTGCGGAGTGTCCGACGCTGTGTAATTGTAACATGGTGGGTTGCCAAACTGGTCACTTAGCAACGAACTTGCCTCTAACTCCAAGATTAGTATAGTGTTGTGTCTGTTGCTTCTATTTCCCTTTATTACAAGATGTTGCGCGGTTATAGAATGTCTGATAAATTCTCCGAGGCGTTGACTTTTGATAGACTAAGATGTTGTACTACACCATAAGGGCTTCCAATGTTCTTCCTCGGGTACGGAAGGTAAGTTGAAGGTAAGCAGCCATAGCTCTAGCTCCTAGGTAGCCACGTTGTCTCGTGTCTTTCGGCATACTTTAATTCCTTATACACCGAGCAAAACATCGAATGCCGCGTCGGACGGAGTATGTAAGCGTGTTACGTGATTCGACGCAATATCCATCGTCGGAGTTTAGGAAAATACATTTTCTACAGCGAGTGATCGTTCGATGTTAAGGACCACTGGAAGCTATGCTCCGACCCACAAGATTGCGCGGGCTTCACGGGCTTCGACGATTTAGCTATCCTAAAATCCGAGAGATGTTATCTCTAAGAATACTGAAGATTGCAATATACATACCTACCTAGGACCTAGTCACATACGGACTTCAACGCCTTGTTAGTTTCAAGGTTCATTGTTTATGATAATTGTTCTATTAAGCTGATCGGAAGTCTGTCCCGTCGCTACGCAACGTAGGCTGTAAAAACGTGCCGATGCTAAATAGCAAATATACTCTAGTAATAACCGATTAATATCAAATATCGCCATTGATAATAGATCGGATAGTCGGTTGCGGATGGGTCAGTCTGGACTTCGGATCGTAAGTGATGCAAGGGATAGCGGTTGTCAATAAGTCCGCTTTGAGTCCGTAGTGGCAGAGTGGATATTTTTTTGAAGAGTTCCCGAGGTACTTTCGAGGTCGCTTAAAGGGATCCAAGGTTCATGACCCGCAGTGATTCAAGGTTTCTCTAGTTTGCCAGTCTGCTAGTCTGCTAGCCTAAGAAATAAGGAATTAAACTTTGGAGGGTTTACCCGCTCCGTACCTGCTTGGCTCTTACGATAGACGCAGAAACGTATTGTACGCTGCAACCTTGAATTGTACAACCTTGATGCTTGATAGCACAAGTGTAACATCAGTTTGTGTGTTGTTACGCAGTAGTTCACGCGCAAACGAAGACTATTGTTTGATTTCCCACTCGCGCCAATCCGCAATCCGCGTACCCATTTTCGGATATGGATACCGAGCAAGCGAATCGCACGTCCTACTCAAACCCCGTGATGACGATGCTGCAAACTCCCGTTCAACATGATCGTCGGTAAATAAACTGCGTCGGTACTTTTACTCGGTACCTAAGAGTGGATGTACCTACCTCGACTCATTTAAGAATTGAAAACGTGGGCATCTAAGGTTAAGGATTTTGTGGGGGAGGGAAAGAGAGATAAACTATCTAAAGCCGTTTCACGCTTATGTAAAGTATCTTTTGGACCCTTGTCTTACGTAACTCTACTAAGGATAATCCAGCATAAACACTGAACTAACCCATGTAATGTACCTGCTATGTAGAGACAGGGACTTATTTATATTATCCACGATGGATTCAAGCTTCAACTCTATCACGTCGATCCACATGGCATTTTTTGGTCTCCGTCCACGGAAGGAGCCTTTAGGTTTAGACACTAAGCCCTGCATATCAACGATGTGGATTATGTAAGGATTAACGGGTCGGATCTACATTTGTACCAAAGTATATTTTATTTCCACTAACTGAAACTGTCTTTAAATCATTTCCAAAGATGCAAGTCTCTGCAAGTCCCCGCCAACAAATGCTACGAAAAACAAAGCATGTAATGGATGCCCATCTTCCTATATGGAATCAAATAGTTCCTCGCGTCTAATAATTTTATCTATACCTATCTTAGAAGCCAATGACGATACGAGCTAAGAACCTTGAAGACAAGAAAAAAATACTCAAACCTCTGACATAGATGCAAGGAACTATCCACACGATCGGTGCACATGTTATGTTCGAAAAGGTAGGAAGATCGTCACCCTCAATCAATCTGAAAACCAATGCCGTAGCTTCGCAGCCTGCTTCTATTTCCGGCAGCATTTGGCACACAGACGATATGGCACATGGCTTCCCCCCCTGTATATGCCCCTGGTCCCCAGTCTAACCATGTCCAGCTCTGAACTTCTGGAAGGCTATGCTCGCACTCTTCTCAGTCTTCTCCAACACAATCTCCACGTTCCGACGGACGCTCGGGGGGGTCGGGTAGTACATTGTAATCTACCTGAACAGTTTCGAGAACGACAATTGGTCGCGGTCTTGTGTTTGACGTACTTGACGTACTTGACACATACGACACTGCATATACCACATACGATTCGGCCGATCTCACCACCACCATCATCAAGTAAAAAGTAAAAAAGCTATGCCTTTAAGATCTGGGTCCTGTATGGAACCTCATGCTGCAGAACGAAGGCGCATTTCTTGTATCACGTTAGCTGGCCAACCAACCCCCTCCATCCCATTGCCGAAGCTTGCTTCGAGAGAATAATTGCGCGGCCGACTAGCAAGTCCACCTAGTTTTTTTCCTCTTTTTTTCTTTAGGTCATTTTTACATGCTAACACGATGCCCTAAGTGGTTCCGACGGGTGTTGAATGTTCATTCGCTACCTGTACGAAAAAACCAAGCGATCTAACTGGATATGACCTAATGGCGCAAACGATGATTGGCGGAAAGCCGACCAGTTAGCTTTAAGCCTAAGACTTAATAGTAGCTGCTATTATTATGTATGTATTTCAGATGTTGCAGGCGACCTAACTATATTGGCGATAAGATACGATGCCGAGGGAATGAATATTGAAACACAGATTATGCATAAAATCTACCTTGAGAGCCACAAACTGGACCCCTCACGTGGGAGAGAGGCAGGAAAAAGGCCCCAGTTTCGGCCGAATGGTTTCGTAGCGAGAACGCGAGGGGGCTTGAAGATCAGGAAATTGTGTATGCACAATACACCAATACGCGGGTTAGGATTGGTAAAAGCATAAGAGCGCGGAATTGTTCCCATCGTTCCATTGCGACCTTGGCTTGGTCTTGGTATAGGTTGTGTTCGTCGTGACATAACCATTTCCAGATGACCGGTTTGAAGAGGGGGGGGCCACTCGCTCTCTGCTGCTCTTCTAACTGGACCCTGACGAAAGCACTCAAGGTGCTATGCAGTACTAAACAGCTACCAGTTACAGCTTCTATAACCAGGCACTATTGTACAGAACAGGTTACGATCCAAGGTTAAGCATAACCTAATGCGGAAGTTGGTTTTGGTCCTGGCGCACACATGCTACCTAACCGTACCTAGCATCAGTAAGTTATAGTAGTAGCCATTCATGTATTGTAACGCCATCCCCTGCTTGCCACCTGGCTAACGGGCGGGCTGGCTGCACTTCTGCACCTGTATTATATGCTGCTGCGTCTATAGCTAGCTGAAGCAGGTCTACTGCAGCTAGGCTATTCCCGAATAGGGGTCCGAATCCATGTCGTCCACGTCTTCCCTCGCGCTGCTTTCGAGATCATCTATGATCTTTCCCACCTTTTCAGTGCTCCACCGAAGAGACCATGGTCGCATCGCACGTTGCACGTACATACATACCTACATACCTACCTAGCATATCTAGGTATATTATGTAGGAATGTGGGCAAGCAAGAACGAAAGCACAAGTCGCCTCCTTGGCTCGACCCGATCAGTCGTGATAGACGTCTAGTTAGAGAACGATGCTACCGTAGCCAACTAAAAGGTTCAACCCCACGTGAATCTTTAATATGGTACCTACTTAAGCGTCGAATAAATGCGTGCACGCACACGTAGAAAGGTGGTATCAAATTTACGTTAGCGGGGCCAACCCATGTCCCGTGTGTTTTACCGACTTTGAATCTTGAATCAAGATAACCTTTCGGTCCCGACAAGGTCCGTAGAGATAGTCTATCGCTAGCAAGACACTAAAGACGGCGCCAGTAACGTTGGAATAGCTTCGCTTAGAAGAAAAATGGATTGTTACCGCAACCGCAACCGCACGCGCGCTTCACAGATTGTTCACGAGCCTCAGATAAGTCTTTTGATGATGAGAAAGGTAAAATTTCATTTCCGATGATGCCAAAATTTATACAAGGTTAAAAGATCATCTAAGATCGCCAAAGATCGAAGATCGAACGAAGAAGGTCGAAAAGAAAAATAGGGGTATATGCTTAAATCTTCCACGCCATATTCCAAAGCTCATCAGTTACCCAAAATTCCATGGTCCCATATATACTCCATGTAAAAATATATCCGAATGTTTTGAATGTCGGTCGAGCCGTCGTCTAAAACCATATCCCGCTTCCCAAGTTCTCGTAGCTCCCATATTTTCACATTGACATCCTACAATCATCCATCCATACAGAACTGTCGAAAGTGTCGTCTTAATTTTGAAATGTTTTACGAGTTTCGTCTTTGCTTGCACTTGTCGTGTAATAAATGTCCATTGCGGGCCTAAGTGATGGATTAGTGGCTTATTCGAAAGTGACCCATAAATTAGCAACTTACAGTAGTCCTCGTGAACTCGGCGCCGCAGTTAGGGCATGTAGCTTTAGCTGCCTGTCCCGACTTCTCGCGTTGATGTCTTAAAAGATTGCTGAAGGTCGAAAATTGCCGTCCGTTGCACCCATGCTCCCAACATTGCGGCTTAGGTCGGCTTTGAACAACTCGAACGTGACCAGCATCGTGTGCTGAGCCTCCGGAAGAAAGGACTTGTGGGGGCTGAACAGGATACATGATTTGTGCCTCGTGCATCGGTGGTGAATGTCGGCTGCTTCGGTCATTAGAGCTGAAATTCATACGAGTGATCGTCATTTTACTAACCTGTATTGAGAAGATAGGCTGTGAGCGGATGGTGGTGGCGGAGGGTATCCCGGTGAGTAATTCAAGCCCAGGTAATCGCTAGGCGGCCTATTATGCCGATTGTCAGCATTGTAAAAATATATAGCGTCATCACCTAACTCACAATTGGGTAAATTGATGTGTGAACATCGGGCTACCGTGGTCGGGGAGAGGCGACGTGGAATAAGATGACATATATTGCGGAGCAATAGATGTCGCGGGCTCTGCAAGGAGTGATATTTGCGACGGAGCGGTCGTATACACTGGCACGGGTGATGCTGAGGAAAATTCGTGTAGCGAAACTGGTGGCGACTGAGAAGCGGAAGAGTATGTGCTCATAGCTCGGCGCGCGCGTGCTGTCGTCTTTGAATCCCGTCGGGCTTGGTCCCGTTGCCTCTTAAGCTCTCGTTGCTCCGGTGTCAAGGTAAATCGAGGTGGGCTGGAAGTTAAAGATCGAGATCCACTTGGAGGGGTCATGCTGGCATCAGATCCATGGCCAATGGAGCCCATATCGTGACCTAATAAATCCGAGCCCGAATCGAGACTTGCTGGCCAAGTGAAGGAGGAGCGGGGAATGCCCATCTCTAACCTTGGGTCGAATGCTACAGCTACGGTACTGTTCATCGTGAGCTATTTCGTCCTATACTGATCAATGCGCGCAAGGAAGCTCACCTCATAGTTGATGTTACTGGAGGTGGTAAAGAAGAAGAAGAAGAAGAGCTATCTCGCGCTGATTCGACACGTAGTAAAGGTGTGCCTTGAGATTGTGATTGACCCTCGTTCCACTCGTTTTCCAAAATACTCTGAGAAGGATAAGAAGTAGGCTCTTGGAGATAAGTCGCAGGGCGATGTGGGAGGCGGTTGATATAAGACGGCGGTTGAGATCTATGAACCGAATCGATAAGATTTAAGTTGCGAAATCCACTTGTCGTCGAATTCGTGCTACTAGCTCTTGATCTAGGTAGGTGTGAGTAAGAGTCCTCGGAATCTCGTTCTAATCCAGAGCGATGGTCCATCATGGCGCGGAAATGTGTCTCATCCAGATATATAACTTATAAGAAAACACGTACGATATATACTGTCTATAGTTCTTGTCTTATGTTGGTGTATGACAAGTGTTGTTGGTTGGGAAGCAAGATGGGGAGGCGATCTGTAGGACTTATAATATAAAGACCAAAGGCGTAGCTGGTTTGGCAGATATGAGAGTGAGTAAGAGATAGTCGTGAAGGAAGATCTTGTACAGTCGAGTATGGTAAGCTGTTTTGTATTTGAGAATATCTCAGCCTCAATGGTCGCGATGGCAGGACAAGAGGAACATCAAGTGCTTATAAATTATCACCTGGTGGAGCACAACCGGCTTCTTGACCTTACGTATGTATGCCTCTGCGTGGGAAACGACCTTCCCTGTAACGACGAAAGATGTGTACCGTGGAGTACATCTTACATTCGACTCCGTAGTGAGGAGTATGCTAGTACCTCTTACATGGGTCAACAGGTCAAAAGGCGGGTACGACGTGAATGTAGGTAGGGCATGGTAGGGTGAAGAAGTGGGTGTGGGTGTGGGTGTGGGGTGGAACCAACGAAGGTCCTACTCTACATACACATACACATACATTAGTAGAAGTACCTCGCCTGTGGATCTCCCTCGATAGTACTACTATGTATGTATGTATAATGAGTGGACATGGGTAAGATAGGTCCATACATAGACGGGAGGACGGGACAAGATAGACTGGCAGGGTTGGTGGGAGAGCGGGGGTCAGATGGATACAGCATCGAAAGGTACGTATGTACTAATGGTATGTATTGATTGTACAATACAATACAATACCTGTACAAGACGATAGCAGTTTAAAGGTCTCTCTCTATTTCTCTTCTCGCGTGTAGGGGTCCCCGGCGATCGATGGCTTGATCATGTTCGGTTCAACATGGTAGCAGCCTAGCAATTGATCCCAGGCAATTCTGGCAGGGTTAGAGATGCCCCATACTGCCCATGGCAAGCCGTGGGTGCTTTGCTGACAGGGGAGGCTTTGGTTGCTTGGTACCTGGCATCATCTATAATAAAAGTAGCTTTCGAACGGGGGGTAGGCGGAGTGATAAGGCGGCATGCGCGTGGTTCGTGTGTGTTGCGTCAAAGGCGTGTAGAGAATCTGCAGTCCGAGACTTGGGTACTGGGATAAGATTTTCGGAGCCGTGGTGTGCAGCTAGGTCTCAAGCGCGACAAGCCTCTAGCACGGGGTAGGGTGGCTTTTGCGTTTCTTCGCGGAGAGAGTAAGCGGGCAGTGCTAATTCTGCGACTTGTTTCTTAGTCGACCTGCCTTATCCATACCTACAAATCTCGCCCACATAACGTGTAGCTCATTAAAATAAAATAAAATAGAATAGAGTAGAATAAAATAAAACCGTACATACTACTGTATTCCGCGTATAATACGGCACGCCATGCATACGCCTGCAAGGGTCTTCTCGTGCAAGAGTAGTATGCTTAGGTACTATGTAGAAGCATCAGGAGAGGCGAGCTAAGGTGTCATGAACATGACTGAAAGGTAGTCGAGGCATTAAGAGAATGCGAGAGCCCACAGTCAAGGGTACAGTGTGATCGCGCAAGTAAAAAGTCCTCATGTCGCTGAGAGCAGGTAGAATGACGTCTGAATTCTAGCGAGGTAGTACATGACCGTAAATCCGAAAGTCATGATTTACTCGGAGTCTGAGGCCGTTTGTTGAGGCTGCATCATCCGGGACCGACCTGAATGAACGGAGCATTCTTCTTTCGTCAACGGCGATGAAGGATTTAGGGCCATCTCAAAATAATTCAGATAACCTTGGTTATTCTTCATTCGACTTCTCCTCGACCGCGAAATGCGGCCGGCCGCATGGCAACAGCAGGCATTGTGAAGCACCCCATGGATGACAGAGCATGGCGATGTCCGCAGCGCGTCAACTAACTACTAGTTTCTGTTAGGCCAAGCAGGTCAAGGTCGTTGCAGGAATCTAAAATGAAACAGAGCGTATGACTGTGTGACGGATTTGGAATAAGAGAAGAAGAATGGTAGAAATGTTCGATGGAGGAGGTCGAGTTGCATCGAAGACAGCCACTAGTTGGGTAGATTTGCAAGTTGCGAAAAGTAGAAATGGCTCTTTAATTGAGAGAAGAGGTACATAGGATCGCAATCCTTGCAAGTGCGACTGTATCTCCCTTACCTGATTAGTCGATGAACGCAGAAGCAGGGGCGCACGAACCAGCTTTGGCAACTTGGTACTTCTGAATGTTACCATGTTACTGTCAAAATAACCGTATCTCTTAGCTTCGAGCTTGCGAGCAGGGGTTTATTGGCAAGCGCTGGCGTTTAATTAGTCGCTTAACTCCATACGTAGTACCTATTATTAAACATACCCCAATTATTCTAGGAGTGATTTTAGAATCTTTACTTTTATGTACATTCATAATAATATACTACTAATGTACCTAGTTGATAGTATTAGAGGCACAGTTTCTATTGTTACTCTTTGCTTACCCTTAACTATTTAGTAGTATTTAGTAGTTGATGATAGCTAAATAAGTCTCATATGTAAGTACTAGAAGAGTTTTCCCATAGTCCCCCATGTAGCGTCCGTGTAATGCTAAAATCGGCAGTTAGAAGAGGATTTAAACTTCTTTGTATATGAACGTTATGCGGTAGTAAATCTATTCCTAACGGTTCCAAGGTCATTCTTATGGGATGATTCATACATATGTATGGGTATGTAGCTGATATTAGTTGTATAAGTGGTGTGGTATGTGGTATGTAGTATCTTGTCATTTGAGATTGGCGTTATGTAAGAAGTTTGGTTGAGAAAGATCAAATCATGTCGACATATTCCCTTTCCTCTTTCGAGTATTCGAACCAAACTTGAAAATACTAGGGTTCTAATAGGTACCCGAAATACCTGGAGAAATGCAGTTACCGTATCAGGCTTCAAAGTAGCGGATATACGGACCTTTGACAGTGTCCGTATAGTTTGCGCACGTTCATCGACTAACTGTGCCGCTCAAGCTAGTAGGTATCCAAGCCGCTAAGTTGCCAGGTAGTTGCCAGTTGCTAGCCCTCTATTAGGTTTGTTCTAAGAAAAACACCCGAATAAGAGAAGGTTAGAAGATAATTCAAGCAATTAAACATTCATAATTCGTATGTTAAAGGCAGGTATGTGTTCCTGGGCAGCTGGGTAAGGCTAATTCAGTTTGAAATATCGACATTCTAAAAGTATGCCTAATTCAATGCAACCTTGAACCTCCTGCGTCATGTAGCCGAAACATACTACCTAGTATCCAAGCTCAGCAGTGGCTAATGCTTTATCCGAAGCCCACATATCAAGGTCAGAATATTGTGTTCTATTTTCGGTCCTATATGTGGGTAGACAAGTCATTCGAGTTGCTCGATACTGAATCTAGCAACGCCACATCTTAGACATCCACTCGGGCGGCACACGGAAGTCCCATAGTTCCGGCCTTACCTCTGCTTAATATTGAGTGATCTAAAAGTCACTCTATCTCCGGAGTTCTTCGGACTCGGCATCTTACTCGATTCGGGTTCCCAACGCTTGGCGAATAACACCGTCGCAGACGATAATTTTCTGTATATCACCTGTGCCAACTCATCTAGTTGGTGAAGTCAATAACTTTTGTACACCGCCGGGCAGTGTATAGGGCATAATGGTATAGCCTCCTAAAAAGCGTATGTGAGCGCGTCTATTTAGACCCGCCCTCGGCAAGCCCATCATAGTAGGCACTAGTTAGCAAGGCTATGATGATGTTATGGGCATAGCACCCACGAGCAAGCATCATTTGCCGCCATTCGAATTTGTTAGCGGGTAGTGGTGCCCTGTACGTCATGGAACTTGTGAATCCTTTCACAGCGGCCCGCTCAGAGCGACGGCGTCGACGCTATAGCAAGAGCCTATGAAAGCACAACTCGTCCCCCACCACCTCCTTAACCTGCCAACCTAAGGCATACTATCCGATCGGCGCCGCAACGCTAATACTTACACGGCGGACAGGAGGAAGCGATGAATATTTTCAGATATTGGTATGGAGACTCGATTCTGAAAGCGGAAAGCGTATCTCGCCTGAGCAATATGTTGTGCTATGAATGGCATGAGTATCTTTGACTCCTGCCATATTTAGTAATTTCACAGCTGCTAATCATGTCGCTTGTTTCATAGTACGAGCTAGAGCTGGATTCAATCTTGAGGCCAACAGGTCATATCACGACAGTATCTCAACGCCGCGGTTGTTACACTTGCCGCGCCTGAAACTTACGAGCATGCCACCTTCGCGAATAATTTCCCACTTCAATGTCCAGGTACCTAGGCTTCGTTGAAAGTCATTATTTAATTTACTGCATTTAAGTTAGTGTGACAGCCACGACTAACCTGCAGGTACCTAGTATATTGACATCAGCTACTGATCGTTGAGAGGTGGCAGACAAGATTGCCTGCTTTCGAAACCCGCATATCGGAAACTAAACGGATATGCAGAAACGTTCTGGCATAATTCTAGAAGCATATCCTCGTCTGAGGGTACGTGGGACGAGGCGTTGGCCGATCAAACCAATGAGAATAGGCTGGGGTGAATAGGCAAGCGTTTAATCGTTCTGAAATGGTAGCAGCTGAATAGAGAATGCCACTCGATGCAAGGTTGGGGGTGAGGCGCGCCTACATACTAGGTATGTTATTAGGCTGGTCAATCATCTTTCTCTGACACCCACCTCATAAGTCATCTCCTTCCTAAGCTGGCAGTATACCTAGATAGGTATGTATATTGTCGCGAAACTCTCATGATGATAATGCTTTCAATATTTCGCGATGAGGCTGTTGAGAAAGGCGGATTGCTGTTGTTCATTGATTATTGTGAAGAGTTTGGCTTTTCGCAGTCGTTGGCTAGAACATTTCCGAATGCTTGGGAAGGGATACATTCTGTTGTTAGTGTTCCAGAATGGCGGTATTGGGAAAATAAATCATAGCCAATATTCTGGTGAAA